TCGAGGCGGGGGATGCCGATCTTGTTGCGGTCCTCGACGGGGGCCTTTTGGTGCGTGTAGATGTGGTTCCAGAGGCGGTAGAGGCTGGGATAAAAGGGAAGCGAGGAGTAGGGAGCGAGGTCGTCGAGGGGGAGTTCCGGGTGTGGTGTGGAGGCGGGTTCGAGGTCTTTGTCGTAGGCGGATGTGAAGCGTGCGAGGGCCGAGGCGAACTCGGCGACGCATTCGTCCCGTTGGCGCTGTTCTGCTGAAGCTGGCGGGTTCGAGATGAGGTAGTGGTGTTGGTAGTGGTGGATGGCGGTGGAGGACGGCGGCGGAGGGGGGAGGAAGACGTCTTTGCAGGATGTGACGACGCTATTGATGTGCTTGTACCACTGCGAGACCGCGTAGTCTTGGAAGGAGAAGTAGCCTTGAGGGATGTGCTCGCGGCGTTCGGCCTCTGTGTAGTCCTCGGCGGCGAAGCAGCGGAGGGACAGGTATTGGAGACATTTAGTTGCGAGGTCGCACTGGACGAGTTCTGCGTTGATGTGTTCCGTGTTGACGAGATGTCTGGCAAGAGTTAACGACTGTCGTCACGTTTTCGTATGCGACATGTTGGCTCGCATATCAATGACGGGAAGTAGGGCAAGGTCGACGAGAGCGTGGAAAGGGGGAGCGCAAGGGGCCACGTACTTTTTCGCAGTGGAATGGATTAGTCTGATATTGTCCCCAGGCAGGACCTGGACGAGAGAGCCGAGGAAGTCAGACACTTTGTCGGTGCGGATCATGAGCAGGTCAAAGTTGACCGTTTCTTGCTTCGGTTCGAAGGCGAGGATGGCCTGGATCTCGTGCCATTTAAGGGGCCGGTGGGCGCAGGCGAGGAACCCGAGGAGCAGCTTGGCCTTGGCCCAGTGGTCGGCGGATATCCTGGTGAGGTTGTCTTTGAGGGTGCCGAGGAGGGTGTCATATCTAAGAGGTGTTAGTTGGGCGAATTTGTGATGGCTGATGATTGGATGAGACGGGAAGGGGTGGAAGACACGGGATGGCGCCAGACAGGAGACACTGGATAGACCAGCCGGAACGGAGAAGTGAAACATACAACTTGGATATGTCGTCTGGGAGCATTCCCGGCCCGACCTTTTCGAGCAGGTCTTTCTTGGTCAACTGCTTGACGAGATATTCCATGGCGAGCTCGGCATACAGAAACAGACCTATGTTCTGAAGTCAGCCCGGATCACAAACGGCATCTCAGTTCCTCTGCCCACGAACCTTCACTCTGTGCCGTAACCTGGTCCTCAATCACCAGCATGTTGTCTTCCGTCAGGTTGAAAACCCGGTTCACCTTGCGCAACTCTTCTGGGTCCAGCCTCTTCTTGACATAGTTGCGAATGTCCTGCGCGTTGTTCTTCACGTCGAGCTCGACCTCCTTCCCCCCTCGCCGGGGATGCCGTGCTTCGTCATGACCCTCTTTACCTCGGATGACATCTGGCTCATGAAGAGCACGCGCAGCGAGCCCTGGCTGATGTCCTCGCACCGCGTCACCTGCCCTGCGAGGAACGCGACCGTCTGCTGGATTTCGGTCGACGCGGCACACTCGTCGAGGCCGTCGACGACGAGATATTGCCGCGGGTTGATGTCGAAGAAGGCCTCGAGGAGGGTAATCGCGGCCTCGGGGGAGCTAAGGGAGGAGCCGCCGCTGGTGGTGATCTTATCGGCGCAGAGGGGGAGGATCGTGGCGTTGTTGTTGGCGGCAATGCGCGGTGCGTCGTCGGAGGAATCGGGGGTCAGGACCTCGGCGGCGGAGACGAACTGGTGGAGGATGCTGCGCAGAATGCCCAGGTACGTGGCCATGTCGTGGTCGCCCTCTTGACAGTAAAAGTAGCACACCTGAGCACCGTCCGGTATCCGGCCTTCCTGGACCAGCTCCTGCAGGCGGGTGACGACGAGCGACGACAGGATCGTCTTGCCCATGCCTCTCGGCCCGTGGACCCAGAGCGTCGAGTCTTTGGGCGGGTCCTCACGCATCCAGTTCGACACGGGATCGTAGCGCTTGTAGAGCCAGCGGCCGTTGTCTGGGCATAGACTTCTCTTCTGGACGAAGCTCTCGTGGAGCGTCTCGGTCTTGTTGGGCGCGGCGATCCATTTCAGGATCTTGGTCTTTTGCTTGTTCTTCCGGTCCTGCTCGCTGCTGCGGAACTTCTTCCACAAGGTGGTGTAGTCGACCTCGTATTGTTGGTACTCGCGGCGGAAGTCGGGGTCGGTTGGTGCCGGAGGGGATGCGAAGCCCGAGTCGACGCCTCGAAGGGCGTGTCGGTCACGGTAGGCACGGCCGTAGGTTTTGATGAAGTCTGCGTGGAGCTTGAGGGACGAGGCGAGGTGGGCGAAGGTTGCCTCGAAGTCTTTCCATGATGCTCTGTGGAGTTTGGTCCATACTGGGAGTGTAGTGTCAGAACTGATCGCCATGATCAGGGTGGACACTGATCCTTGTGGTGCGCTTACGTGTTGTGCGAAGAGAGAAGAGCTTGTATGCTAGCCTGTGGAACTCGAGGATATCGCGGTAGAGATGTAGCAGGCATGTCTTGGCGTCCTGTGAGCTTGTGAAGAACTGCTTGTATTGTTTGAGGGGAGGGATTTCAATTCCTAGATGTTGGTAGACCTCGAGGACATGGTCAAACGCCTTGTCGTTGATGTTTGTGGTCTGGCGGGGATGGTGTCAGCTATTACTCAAACTTAACTCACGAAACCATGGCTTAGTAGACTCCATGACGGGGCACGCACGTTTAGCAGAAACCTCATTGGACCCCAGACGTACGCCATGATGTTCACCGCTTTGGCAGGTTCCAGCTCACCGAGCACTTCCTGTAGGCCATCCATGCCCTCGAGGAACATCTGGATCCTGCTCAGATTCATCATGGTCCTCTTCTCCTGTTGCTGGGACTGGATGGTATGGAGGTCCCTGTAGACACCATGGCTGGTGGCCTGTTCGAAACTGACAACATGCCTGGTATCCAGAAGGGCCTTGAATTCCTCAGCGCTCTGTGTGAGAGCATCTCCGAGGTCATCGCGTAGGTCCAGGTTCGGGGCGGCGCCGAAACTTTGAGCCATGGCTAGCGAACGACTCCGGGTCTAAAGACACCGGAACGGCACGGCACGGACAGTAACGGGACTCTTGCCCGCTGTATACGGGACCCAGCGCCGCGGGTTATAGGGGTTTGCAGATCGCTGACTCGGTCAGACCACACAACAAAACATGAAGAGCACACTCAATTAGACCGGACTGCTGGCGGGAGTAAGAGGACACACAAACAGTGGAGAGCTGAGGCCTGAACAAGAAACGAAAAGACAAGTCTTTGAGAATCAAGACGGAAAAAAAGAGGAACGGCGTCCACTCGACTTGCACTAGCGGTTGGTTGACAACGATTGAGGCTGATGTCAGTTCACAGCAAAAGAGGCAGCCAGGCGTAATATCCAGAATACCACACCGTCCGAGCAACCCCTGCACAAGAAAGGCGCTCCCCCCGGCTCGCCGGACGCGTGCTAAACAGGAACGCCAATAAACGTTGTCATCGTTGGCCCGCCTAGCGAACGGGGGGACACGAGGGAGAGGCGCTAGGCAGCCCATATGCACTGCCACTGCCACACTCTCCATCTCCATTCTCCCCGTTCTCCCCGTTCTCTCTATGTGAGGCGTGGTACGTACGTGCAGAGTGTTTCTTCGCTCTTCAGTCGGCCTATGCGTTGTCAGGCCAGGCCTTCGTCTTCGGTCTCTCTTTGCCCAACAAGCCACTCGACCTGCATCGTTTCGCATCCCACCCCTGACCATCAACCAACCGTTCCCTCGCGAGCCCCGCGCTTCCCCGGCTCACAGGGTGGCCTTGCTTGGGGGATTTCTGTCTCCTGCGGACGCCTTGTGAGGGGGGGGGGGGCACTCTTAGGCGGTGCCGCGGGGTGTTGCTCTTTTGCTCTATCTTTGCTACGCCCGTCATTCCATGTGAGGGTAAGGCTGGCAGATCGACCGGCAGGCTGTTTCGTCGAGCTCTATACAGTGACAGAGGGTTGACTTGTCCGATTGTGTGGTGCGAGGCATAATGGGGCCCTTCTATGTGTTTGTCATAACTCGTGTGTGCATGCTTTGCCGTCTGTCTTTTGGTAGTGCCAAAAACGTCCCACAACCGCAATGGAAATGCCGCATTACTAGACCCGAGGCCATCGGCTTCCACGAACATCTTCAACCTACGTCACCTGTAAACAACGGAGCCGGGTCCGAACAAGCTCATGAGAACAAGCATCGGCTGAGGGGCATTTCCCCATCATTTGACCTCATTCCGGGCTAGTGAGGCTCTTGGGAAACCACCCGGTCGGAGGACTCCGACCTCTCGTGAGGCGGAGCAACCGTCGGTGAACCGGGGTGCCGGGGCTTCGATGGCTTCGGGGGCGGTGCAAAAAGCGGGTGCAAAGCGGACGCGAGGAACGAAAGAGAAATGGACCCCCAAACAAACCCTACAGAACCCCCTGGACGGGCACTAAGAAAGTGGAAAAACTACGTATGCGCGTGCTGGGAGCCGCTGGAGCGCAGCCGTAGTCTTCGGCGAAGTGCGAACCACCAACGGGATGCACGATTGCCTTCATCGCCGTCCGCGCACTGCGCCTCAAGGGCACAAGGGCACTCGAGGGGGGACGGACCGAGTGCACAGCAAACGCCCGCCCTGCCGATGCCTCACGTCACCGGTCATCATGTGGACAAAAATGGTTCGCCCGGCGCCTTTTTCTTGTTCCTCTCTGTCTCTCTCTCGCCTGCCGAGCCTCATTATTGCTCCTCCAGCACTGGCTGCTCGAGTACACCTCTGGAACCGAATTGCGAGACAACTCGACGAGTCCCCATTAAAGTGCAACGTTGTTTGCTTGGTCAAAGACAACACGGGCAATTGACAACCTCGAACTTGGTTCCGGAGAGACGGGCATACATACAAACATACAGACTTACAGGCACTCGTATCGACGGTTGAACCCCCGACCACTCCACAATGTCGTCGCTCAAGAGGCTTCTCAACGAGGAGGATGAGGAGCTCCACTATCCTGACCTGTCGTCCGTGTCCTCCTACGGCTCCGTCCCGCCATCGTACCAGGGCGACCAAGATTACACCGGATACCACCCACGCCAGACCCAGTCCCAGGGCTTGGACATGTCCCAGGAAACACCCGTCTTGGAAGATCTCCATTCCATACACGATGTCTTCAGCAACATCCTCTTCCAGTATACCCCTGGCGAACAACTCGGGGCTATCAACTTCGGGGACCACCGCGAAGAGGCGCCCTATGATTTCGAACAAGCGCTAGAGACGTGGGGGGAGAACATCGCCGCCGTGTCTCCGACTTCCTATACGTACAGCTCCCCCAACCCTCTTCTGGATCATCGCAAGACTCCCTACCCGTGACGCATTCGCCTTCGCTCATACCCGAGTCCAGCGTCGCCGGCTCAGACTCGTGTTTCTCTGCAGGAGACGAGGAGACTAACAAGGTCTGCTACGGAATGGTTAGTTGCCAGCTTTCTTCCGACCCTTGCCTCCTTTCCCCGTCTTTTGACAAACCAGCCAAGGACCGGCTCATAAGCAATAGCTGTACAATGTAGATGTCAAGTTAGTTGGCGACATGGTCGTCATCGACACCAAGATCCGTGATACTCACCAAAAAGAGTCGATGCACGCGCCCGGCAGGACAGTATACCAGCGCTTCACCCTCAGCGAGCAGCCGGAACATGTTCTCCTCGCCTTCAAAGACGACCTGGACGCAACCGAGTTTGGATATCTCCGCTCCGGCCCCGGCAAGACCCTTGCGAAGCTCCTGAGCAGCGAAAACCTCGAGTTTGAACCCATCGCCCAGGCCGTCGCCCTCCGAGAGACCATCGGCCGCGCCAAGAAGCCCGTCGAGGCCATGGTAAAGGTCGACATCAACGTGTACGGACCGCGCAACAGAGCGCAGGATGTCGGTAAAACGCTTTCCGAAGGGAAACTATGGCTGCAGATGTCGGACCATGCCCGCCGGGAGTTTCCCTACGATAACCCCCACATGTTGCAGATCAAGAACGCCGAGCACATGTCCGCAGAGGTTGCGCGGGAGGTCAACAGTCGCGCTCCCACAGGACGACAGCCGCGCGAGGAAAAGCTGCGGATTATGATGGAGGAGGTTTACTATTCGATTCAGAACAAGCGGCACCTTCGCCGGGAAGACGGTGTCAAGGGGCTCAAGCATGAGCTACAAGAGTAAGGCCACACTGTCTGTTGCTGGACAACGTCGTTGTGCAGAGGGAAACTAACGCGTTCTTCAGGCACCAAAAGCAGGCGCTTGCATTTATGCTCGAAAGGGAATCCGGCCATATCGACTTGGCGTATCGCCTATGGCATCCCGTTACGGAAGAAGGTCAGGAATGGTAGGTCCCTTGTTCCTGTAAACGTCAGAGGTTTCTGCTAAACGGTATCAGGTTTCGCCACAAAATCACGAACATCAAACAGAGAACCCAGCCAGATGAGAAGGGTGGTGGTATTCTCGCCGATGAGATGGGTATGGGTAAATCTTTATCTATCCTTTCGCTGGTCGTGACTACCCTGCAAAATGGGCAGCAGTGGGCTCAACAGGAAGAAGAGAACAAGGACAAAGCCAGAGAGCTGTACTACTCTGGCTCGACCCTGGTGGTTGTGTCGTCTGCTCGTGAGTGATATAACTCGTCGCAGTGCTGCGCCAAAAACTGACTCAATCAAGTTCTCATCTATGAGTGGAAGAACGAGATCTTAAAGTGAGTAGAGCCCCGGTGCCGCTTCTTAAACTTCTTACACCGCTCTAACGTTTGCCAGACACGTCAAAGGAAAACTGAATCAAATCGAATATCACGGCCCGAAACGTGAGAGGCAAATTGACAAGATCAAGAACTCCAACATCGTCATAACCACCTACAACACCTTGGCCGCCGAATACGAGAGAAAGTCCTCAATCCTCCACAAGATCGGATGGTATCGAGTGGTGCTCGACGAAGGTAAGTCGTTGGTATCCCATGATCGAGAATAGCAACTCACCGCCCCAGCGCACGTCATCCGCCGCCCGGCCACGACGTTCTTCCACGCCTGCAGAGCTCTCCACGCCAACTCCCGCTGGTGTCTCACCGGAACCCCGATCCAGAACAAGTTGGGCGACATTGGCGCCCTTTTCGCCTTCATCCGAGCGAAGCCCTTTGACGAGCCCGCCATGTTCCGCCGCTACATCGAGGTCCCTTTTGAGCAGCACGGCGACCCGAAGAAGATCAAGGAGCGCCTCATCCTGCTCCTCGACTCCCTTTGCCTGCGCCGCACCAAGGAACTCTTGGAACTTCCCGGTCTCGAGGAGCGCGTCAAGGAACTCGAGTTCACGCCGGCCGAGCGCGAGCAGTACGACAAGACCAAGAAGATCCTCATGCGCACCATCAAGCAAAAGGTCGGCGAGGTCGAGAAGAGCTCCAAGTTCGGGTTGTTCCAGGCGAACCTGCAGATGCGCATCCTGTGCAACCACGGCACCTACCAGAAACCATTCTCGTGGTCCCGTCGCAACTACAAGCTGAGCCGGCTCGAGGAGCGCGAGGCCGCCGTCTCGGCGCTGGGGCAGAACGCCGAAATCACCTGCGACGGGTGCCATCAGCCCATGCCCATTCTCGGATCAAGCAGGCTGCGCAACGAGACAGAGGAGCAGTGCGCGCATGTGCTCTGCTCCGAGTGTCTTGAGGAGTCGGACATGTCGGCGCCTGGGTCGCATACGCGGCATTGCCCCGTGTGCGAGAACTGGATGAAGACAACAGCGTCTCCTTCGATTAGAGTCGACGGCCCCGTTGCGTCAGGGGACATCGACATGGCTGATGCACCAGCCAAGTCGTCTGCGGACAAAGACGATGAGCTTTATTTTAACCACGTTGGGTATTCTACCAAGATGGAGGCGCTGATCCGCGATGTCAAGGAGGATGTTTGGACCACGAAGAGGTATGTGACGCCGGCACCGTTTGGCGTGAGTTTGTGACATATTGCTAACTGTATCAGCATCGTCTTCTCCTGCTGGACAAGAACGCTGCATCTGGTCGGCATGCATCTGGAGAGAGCCGGCGTCAGATTTGCCATGATTGACGGCAACTGTCCCCTGTCAGAGAGGCAGAGGATCCTCGAGAAGTTCGCAACGGAAGATGGCATGCGAGTGCTCATCATGACAACCGGCACTGGAGCTTTCGGGTAAGTCTCAACTCCCGAATGAGTGGTCTAAGAACACCTTCTAACATCGTCACAGCCTCAACCTCACTTGCGCCAACCGCGTTTTCATTGTTGAGCTGCAATGGAACCCTAGCGTCGAAAACCAGGCAATCGCTCGAGCCATCCGGTTCGGTCAGGACCAAAAGGTCCTCGTGACAAGATATGTCATCAAGGGCACTGTTGAAGAGGTTTGTTTCCCGTTGTCTACGCTCCGGCGAGTTTCTTTGCTAAGTGACTTGTTGCAGGAAATGAGATCACAGCAAAACGTGAAGAAGAACCTCGCGGCGATTGGCTTCGATGAGCCGATTTACAACGCGGATGACATGGACCAGTCACATGGATAGATGAGGCACGATACTGGATGATGGCACGATTCATACGGAGTTTTGGGGGTGATTACGGTGGCTGTTCTGAGAGGGAAAAAGTTGGATTGTTGCGGCGGCAGCGCTGCCACGATGCTGGCATCCTCATTCTACTAATCTTTTTTTGTTGCGACAGAGTCGACTTTGCGAGCTGGGCTTCGACCAAACCTCCATCACTTTTCTAATACCCCAATAACAACTCTGTTCCCGCTCTACTTCGAAGAACATCATGCATGAACGTCTGCAACGTGTCAAGTCTGCCAACAATCTGAGTGGTCTAAATGAGAGTCAGAAATGGCTTGGATAAGAAGCAGGCAACGTGAGTTTGCAAGCTAGAACAAAAGGCCTTTACAGATGGCCCGTAATTCTGCCTGGTCGCCCTGTTTGGAGACACTGCATGCTTAGACTGGTTGCCTTCCTGCAGCACTCAGCCACCCTTGCTCCGTCCAGCCCCCTGTTGCTCATTTATCGGCGCATAAGCCCCCTCGATGACTCTACGAGGCTGACTTTCTTACAAAGTTCCCATTGCCATTCTATCTTACGGGCTACTCTATACCGCCTCCCAGCCTCTAATAGCTTGGTCATTACCAAAGGCAACAGTGACGAGATGACAACAATACCCCATAGGCCAGTACAACGCGCGCGGCCCCGGCCTGAGTTGGATGACGAAGAAATGGCCCCTAGTCCAAAACGGGCCCGGGAGAGTGGTATCGATGGGACGTGTTGCTCTCGATGTCGGCTGCTGCTTACGAAGGACGGCCTGAGGGAACTCAACTCGCCTCGAGGGCTCCGGCATTCTTCCTTCACCGAGTGCTGCGCATCAGCCAGGAATGGCTGTGAAATATGCCTTTTCATCATAATCGCAATTGAGAGGAAAAAAGACCATGAGTGGATTGCCGATGACGTTCTCACGTTTCGGAATCGTCTTTCCGAAGGGCGTCCTGGTGCCGTGCCCTTCGGTATAGATGTTCTGGAAGGTAGTTTTTCTTCTGGCATGGTTATCTTAAACATATATCCATATGCCGAGCAAGGTGAGGGATGCACACTGAGCATTTTATCATCAAAAAGTGCTTGAGTAGCCTCTAACATAAGCAACAGGTAATCCCGCAGCCGGTGCGATATACCGCAGGCCACTTCAGAGAGACGTGAAAAGCGAAAGGGCGCTCTCAGCGGCGCGCAAGTTATACAAGGAATGCAAAAAGTCCCATGCACCCTGCCGTTATGCCCGAGACACCGTCCTTCCCTCCCGTGTCCTCGACCTCGGCACAGCTGAGGCCCCAACCCTGAAGCTCTACGTCAACAACACCGAGGAGCACGGGGAGTATGTCGCACTCAGTTACTGCTGGGGCGGACCGCAGCGAGGTCTTTTGAAACGCAAAACACTAAGCAACATGGAGGGCGGAATACAGCTTGGCAACTTGCAGCTGACTGTACGAGATGCCATCACCGTCACGAGAAGACTAGGGTTTCGATACCTCTGGATTGATGCGCTATGTATCATTCAGGATTGTAACATGGATAAAGAGAGGGAGATTGCAAACATGGCGATGATCTACAAGAATGCTGCCATGACTATTGCGGCTGGGACGGCAGTGAAGGCGGCGGATGGGTTTCTTGATATGAAGGCCACTTATCTACCAGACGACAAGTTCAGCGTCCCAATGCCTACTGGGGAGATGGGGACCGTATATCTCAGAGCCGAAGCACACATCCCTAAACACACGCTGGACGAGCGCGGCTGGGTGCTGCAAGAGTTTCTGCTGTCATCGAGGATGCTCGTCTTCTCCGAGTACGAGCTGCTTTGGCAATGCAAGGAGGTGGAGCTACGTAGTGTCATGGAAAACGGCCTGGAATATCTTCAACCACAAGAAAGCCTCCCATGGACGGTTTTCGACGAGGATACTGAGTCCCTATTTGGGAACGAGGATATGGAGAAGCGGTATATCTGGAAGACTATTGTCCAACAGTACACACTCCGCCAGCTGGGCTTCAAGGACGATCGGCTCAACGCACTCACGGGGATCACGAGGGAATTGGAGACGCTTTGGCGGGATACCAACGCGTTTGGGTTGTGGATGAAGTGGTTTGTTGAGCTGCTTGCCTGGTCAAAGAGGGGCTTTGATAGCGACGAGGGAGTGAGGGAGACAAAGAGGGAGGGACGAGCGCCGAGTTGGTCATGGGCTTCGGTGAATGGGAGGATCCGGTTCACGCAGATGTTTCAGAGGGAAGATGCGACAGTTCAGCAAGTAAATCTGTTGGAGGCGCGGGAGTCGAGGCGTGTTGTTTTGAAGTGTAGGCTGCTCTCTGATCATGATGTTGATCCTGCCATGTTTGAGGAGGACGAGGACAGCGGGAAGAGTCGGGTTGAGATGTTTTACGATATGGACGACAGTGTAGATGAGGTTGGGGACAGGGCCTTACATTATCTGCTTTTGGGGACCATCAGCGAGAGAGGGAAGAGCCTGGACGTTGCAATCATGGTTATGGAGGTTTCGGGAGGCTTCTTCCAAAGGGTTGGGTTGGCGATTTTCGACGATACTGATGCCTGGAAAGATAGTGAGCATCGGAATGTGAGACTCCAGTAGAACTACAAGTAGCTGAGACCCAGAGTGGAGTTGATCATCTTCCACGCCGTCTGGCCCGTTGCTGAGCTTGTTTCATGGTGTTATTAACCAGGTAGGACAGGTTACATGGCTACAGGCCTGGCTGATCCAGGTATTTGATCGCAGGAACAAATGTTGAGGTCATCCAACAGCCACTTTTCATGGCCGATTGCATTACATTCAGTCCGCACGCGGGGCTACCAATGCTCGCTACGATCCATGCGCCAACTAACGAGAATATGTTCCACCATGCTAGAAGCGAAAAGTCGAATGGTTCCGCCGCTCCATACGCCAGATAGTCGAGACCCAGCCCGCTCACAATATGCTCAAGAAACGCTCCCAAATGCATCAACATCGCTCATCCGACCGTTCACTTTTTCTGTTTTTCTACAAGAACATGACTGCCAACAACAGAGTCGAGACCACGGGAAGAATGCTGTGTCCTGTTGCGGCTGCTGATGACACTATGCCTGATGCTGGGGTCCCCGACATTTCAGGGGCGGGACTGGTGGGTAGATTTGACCCCGTGCCGGAACCTGAGCCGAGACCAGAGCCCGGCGAGGTGGTGGTGCCGTTGGTGCCCGGCTTCGAGGCACCGATTTCGGCAGGACTGGGGCACAAACCCTGAATGGCCGCAATGTCTTCCGGCCTGCTGATAGCCATCCTCCTTGTGCCGCAATTGTTGTACTGCGCCAAGTAAGCGACGTTGCTGTCGAGGTCGAACACGGCTGCAAGGGGAGTTAATATGTGGTTCTTATAGGTGGAACAGGGTCGGCCATGAACCTACCATAGGCTGAGCGTAGAAAGGTGTCGCCCAGTAATGTGAAGTCGGAGTTCGGAACGATACCCAAGTAGCAAGTTGGCGGAGACGTACGCAGCTCACGGATCATCTCGCTGTAGGGGACCTGAATCTTCATCCCGTCAAATTCGAAGTCGACGGTACCGTTGAGACCAACGAGACTGCATGAGACAGGGTAAAAGCCGTTGGCGTCGACACCAGGTGAGCCGAAATCGGCAGCGACCATGTTAGCGAGGTCCTCAGGAAGCAGAGTGAGGGTGGCGCCGCTATCTAAGAAGACGGGCATCGAACTATTGGCGTACACACGGGTGCGACGACTTGGTGGCGTGAGACTGAGCGAATTCATGTTCACCCAATAGCGGGCGACGCCGTCCGGAGACTGTTCTGCAGGAACAATCGGCAGGCGTGCAAGAGGGCCAGAAAACTTTGAGGTGTCGATGCCGCCAAAGATGATGGCGCCTTCTTGCTCGTCTTTGGAGCCCAACCCAAGGCTGAACGCCCTGGTGCGGGTGACTCCCTGGGCGGCGAGCTCGTCGATGAGGTTCTTGTACCGGGTGTTGACGCCTTCTCCAGCACCAATACCAAGAATGCCTGCGAACTGGTCCTCTGAACTGGTAGCGACGCCGAACTGGACCTGCTGCATCGTGGAGCGGGAGCCGGCGAGGGCGAGGCTGTCGCGGACGTAGGTGATGTTGGCGGCACCAATACCGTAGCGGAGCGTCTTGGATGTCTGCATGGGTTCGGCGGTGGATGAGCGGGCGGGGTCGTAGAAGCCAACGGCTTCGCAGAAGCGTTGGTCGGAGGCGGCGAGGACCGTGCAGTCAGGATTCACCCAGAGCTCAAAGGAGCCGGTGTCGAGCTGAGCATACACTGCTTGGGGCGGTGTGCCGATGTTGACTGAGAGGGGAGTTAGAGGAATACCCCTATGTGGATACAGATACGATACGTATTTGGAGGGAGTTCAAACTCACGTTGGGCGTAATATGCTACATCAGAACGATTGGCAAGCTTCGCCTCGACCTGTCGACTGAAAACACCGCGCTTGGTGGAGTGGATGACGGGCAGCGTGACAAAAGCGCTGTTGACATCGGCATCATCATCGACGGGCAGGCCACGCATCGAAACTGGAGGCTCGACCTGGGGGGCCGGAGGCAGAGGTCCCAGGTCGTCACCGAGAATGTCGTCGAGCAGAACCTTGCGCGGTGAGCGCACGCGCCGTTTCCTCGGCTTCGAAGGTACGGGCAGGGTCATCATCATGCTGGCTCCGGCATCCTCCTCGGCGGGGAGGGATAGTCCGCGTGGGGCGACATCGGCCTTGTCATGCGTGGTGTAGGGAATGACGGGGAGCGTCATGAGTGTGCTGAGGTCGCCATCGTCTGTCGGTAGTTGAGGCCATGCTTGGGTGCTCGAGAATAGCGAGAAAGCCAAGAGAGCGGAGGAGAGGAGCGCCATGTCCGGCGCTGGCGAGGGTAATTCGTGCTATCGCGATTGTCGCCACATGGGAACTGTCTGAATCGGAGTGCGATCAAGCGGGTTGGTAGTGAGCGCACGACTCGGAATGATGGCGGGAGATGTGATTATCGATTTCGGGTTGAGATCGGTGATTGCGCTAGGGGAGTCGTCGATTAAAGAGCGTATGGATTGCGAACCGGGTAGGGCAAGACAAAAGGAAGAAAAGGGCGAAGAACCAGAGAAAAGAAGGTAAAACAGCAAGCTGTTGGCAAATAATAGTAACGCTGCGACGATCCCGCGGGGAGCTTGATGGAAGAAAAGGTCTATCTCAAACGGCAAATGCAACGCAATGCAAAAAGCGCCTTGGCTACTAAGAGAATGGAAAGAGAAGAAATAGAAGCAGACCCCACCGTCGACATGAAAACGATTGAGGGCACGAAGAGAGGAATTGGCGTCAGAGAAAAAGATACGACGAAAGAAGAGCTATTGCGACAGGAATAGAGATTGGAAACTTGAAGGGGGCTAGACCACCCAAAAGAGACGAAGACCGAGAGAGAGAAGACGAACCAACCGATGGCCTGTCCAGCTGTCACCGCCAAGGGAGGGGGAGGGTGCACTCGACGAGGATGAGGAACCACTCTTGTCTCAAAAGTAGCATGCCTCGCACGTTTTCCATCTCTCTACCACAATGTACTCTTTCCGTTAAACTTCCATCTGGATGGCCTGGGAACCCTTGACAGTTATCTTTCTGCGTGGTTCGGCTTGCTGAGCCAAAATCCAAATTCGGCATATGGAGACAACCGTGCTAGCTGCCTTGGTGCGGGCAATCTTCACTTCGTTTTCGGTCACGGAAACAAGCCCAGCAATCCATCAGGCAACATCACCTCCTCAGTCCTCAAGCACTTTGAGGAAAATATCCTACGCGGCTACTGCTTTTTCTTCCGAGTGCCGTCTCACCCTAACGAAGGGGGTGCTGGTTCGCTTCACTTGGCAGTCCGGCCTTGGCTGCTTCGAAAGGAGAGAAAAGGGTCTGTGAGTGGCAGCGAGAGGACACTTCAAACAGTTGCCTCCAGGGCCTAGCGTCACAGATTTGACTAGGGGTTGGGGGCGAGCCGGGGTGGGGAAATCGTAGATCAGACAAACCCCTGAGACGAAAGTGGATGCAAGATGGTGTAGGAGCCGTGGCCGCTAAGCCTGAATAGGTCACCTCCAGTTGCTTTGAGAGATTCTCACTGTCGAACAGACAGACGAGACAGGCAGGCATTGGAACTGGCCAAGTGTTCTGGAATCATCAGGCCACAGATGTGCCCTTCTCAGCCCATATCCAAGAGAGCAAAACGACAAGGAGTAAGGTGAAAAGCAAAGGGGTTTCGGCTGCTTCCTGGAATGTTGCTGAAGAATGGAGATGCTAGTTAGTGGACGCCGCTGCTCATCTTAGATGAGTCTTTAAGGTTAGATTTCTTCCGTGCGGCACATGACGGACGTGTGAACTCTGCCGGTACGTACACATTCCTATTCCTGGGTCTTCCATGCCCGTGCTCTTGCCGTCCGTGCCGAGTACCATCGTCTCCGGATTGCGGCAACGATTTTCGATTATTGATTGAGGGACAGGTTTCATGAAGACCGATCGAGTCAAGTATTCGTGCTGATCAACCGCTCAGCATTGCAAGATAGCAGTGCAGAGTCGTAGTGCTGCTTTCATCCTAGTATGCATATGTACTTGTGGCTAGTTATGTGGTATGGTCTACTCACAACCTCTCTAATAGTTCTGTCTACTAAACCGAGTTGCATCGTAGAACCATTCAACGTCTGGGCGAAAGATCTGCTATGATGCAAATGCATGTAATCAAAGAGCATTGGGAATATGCTATATGTGCTCTATCTTTCATATTGACATGATGGTGACAACGCCGCATATCCGTTCACCCATGGGTATCAAACTTTCGACGAAACAATGACAACTGAACTTGGAAATGGACGTGCGTCAGGAAGATGAGATGTCTTGTTTGACACATCCATCAATCCAATCACCCCAACCTACGAGATCATCATGCTGATCGTTACGCCCTCGTCCCACTCGATTGCAACCCTAAAACCTTAACTCTAACACATTCGGTATCGTCTCTCAAAGCAATCCGGGTGGTTGGTTATGTCTCTTTGGCAAAACTGCAGAGGGCGATGTCGAATTTGGTGAACTGCTCTGATGAGTAGAATGTACATTTCAGCCAAAGCCTATATGGTGTGAATATCAGAAAGTGGTCAGATTCCCTGGATCCATGCCTTGGCTTTTGCAAAGTGGTACCAACTCTGCCTTGGCGGGGGAATGGCAAGCTCCGCCTAACTCCCGAGTTCGAGATACAGCACCCGCAACAAAGGTGTGGGCTTATCGTCCAGATTAGTCCTAATGAGCTTCATACAAGCGATCACAGCTTTCCCCTCCTTCAATGGTGGGCACCGCAATTGCATTGGAATGAAGCATACTCTACCTGTGTCTACAGATGCGACCAGAGCGTGAAGCATGAGGTGGTATACTTAAAAAGCGATGAAGTAGAAAAGAGACTATGCTAGAAGTAATGCTGGAAACCAAGCTCAGAGTGCCTTTATTATTAAAGATGGACTGTGTACGGGACGCTCCATGGGCGAAATATTTAGGACGAGAACTTGGCGTCTAGCTGTATCACGCCAACACATCTGCCGGTGATGACGGGACGATAGCGGCAAGACGGACAGAGACATTGATGCCATTGTCATAAATTGCATTCACACGAAGTCAGTGGAAACCTGGAAATACAAGATGACAGGTGGGCAAAGTGTGAACAGGCTAGAAGAAAACCACATGCAATCCGCAGGGGTCTCAGACCCTTGGACCTTCACGTATGACTAGCCGGCCGAGTTTTCTGAGTTGCCAGATTGATGGTATATGTGCAGCTGGATGAAGCATGGCAAGAAAGCCAATGTTTTGGCGGAGGCCACCAGATGGTTAGTCGGTGAAGGTTCGCCGAAGAAGGTAAGCTCTAAGAGAGATAGTCAAGTTGCTGTGAGGATTTGAATGATGACTATGATGAACGGACCGCACATGATAAAGAGAATGGATGTTGTACAAGTTTGGGTGTAAGAAGTAGAGCTTTCTACAAGACGACGTGCAATTCCACTTTCGAGGCTTGTCGAATCATCGCAAGCTTCACTGAGCTGGTTGAGTCGCAAGACATCCTTGTAGAATTTGAGATCAATGGCTCAGTTTGTGCTATATTGTGTAAATCATCTTTCAGTCTGATGTCTTCTTCTCCCTTCTAATTTCTCAATATTGAAATGTTGTGACTTACTCATACTTGAGGTGGCGCTGAGCGTTGGAGTCTGGTGGTCTAAAGACAAGGGCTGAAGCTCTATGCTGCCCGCAAGACTGATGTCATCTTCATGACTGACGTTTTCTGTTGTTCTTTCAGCTTCTGGCACTGGTATGCCAGGGCCATGAGTGGCCACTGTTATATTATTACTAAAACTGCTTGGGAAATGTAATTAACGGGGTTGGCTTACGGGACTGATAGATGAGAGGGCTAGTTTTCGACGCACTGTCCCTTTGATTGGGGCCTGTGTCACAAGACAAAGGGTTAGAACAGTGAATGACGATATCTGAGGTACACTTGGGCCAGCGCTTACCCACAAATAGAGACTTAAAGAATAACTCAAATAGTTATAGGAAGTAACGGAGATAATAAAAGAGCAAGAGAGATGACCTGCCCAAAAGTCCAATCATTTTCCTTCGGCCTACCATAGTCACCAAGCTCCTTGAGCGATTTTATGTTCAGGGTTCCCAAATGGCGGACAATACGACGGAAAAGAGCTAGAGAAGTTCTGCATTAGCATTTTGCATCTCTATTAGCAGCCAACCGAGTCATACCTCAGCGAATACAGATGTATAGAGGTGCAAAAACACTCTTAACTTGCAGTAAATGGATGCCTGAAAAGATAGAAGCACCATTCCAAGGAGCAATAATCCTCCAGGTTTTTTATAGCTAAGCCATTGTTCCCACTTCTAATCAAAGCTTTATACCCTCGATCCAGTGTAATGAAGGCGTTGTGATATTATTTAATTAAGGCCTTTGAAAACCTTTGCAACTCGAACGAAATAGCTATATACTAAAAGAAAAAGAGATAAGATCATTGATACGAATGCGTTGGATGACGTCCTCATAGACATCTTGAAAAAGCACGCAGCAAGCGATTTATAAAGAACGCCCACTTCGCTATGACCGACATATCTGTTCTGGAGCCACAAATACCTCGTTTCGTTTAGTTTGTCATATCGTCGGAAATGTTAAGCTGAAAGACCGGCATGCCTGAAGTATTCCAGTTCTTAGGGCCAATTGTGCCGTTTTCTGATAAAGCTACATCAATGGTGTCCCCCAAAAGCAATGGGTAACATCGAGGTCCGTTAAGCTGAAAGTCATCGCAGTTCTCAGGGTACATCCCCTGCCCCAGATCAATGAGTCGGGCGAATTTAATCTGGTCGCCAAGGAACGCGGAGTGACCAGTCGGTATGAAGGCCACAAAAAGAAGAACAAGAAGGATAAACATTAGCGTAAGGCGCCATAGGCGTCCTGCTGGGTGTTTCGCAAGGTGACTTCGTAAAAGTGTAAGAGCCGATAGATAGGTTACTCTTGAAACCCAAGCTAGAGATATAACAATTTTCCAATGATAGACACTCAAGCCCGGACCGTGCCTTAGCGATCAGTACCCATTGACGAACATGGATATACCAGTGATCAACTGTGCGTCTGCAAGAGAGAGTATACACTTCGAGTACGTTAGAAATAGCAATAGTGAGTTAGAAAAAATTCCAGTCAGGGGCCAACCTTATGGAATATGTTTTCACCTGAGTTTCCCTTGAGGTTTTCGCGTATCCGCAAATATCTCGTGTATTTAGCTAACAGCGCATCAAGCGGATTTGGAGTGTAAAGGGTTGTTGAACTGTTCTGTTTACTTGTGTTCCAGAAAGGGTCCGCGTGCGGATCAAAGGCAAAGATGTAGTAAGCAACGAGAATCAGGATGGTCAAGCATGCACTGGTAACGAACCCAATGACAACCCGAGAGAGTCGATAGAGATTAATTGTTTATTTTTTACTAGCGAGACTGGGAAGTAATTTACGCCTAGCCCTGACATGTCTCCGTACAGTTCAAGCGGACCTGGAATCTGACGGCAGTCGGCCTCTGAAAAGTCCATTGCGATCGTCTGGCTGCAGCTGATCGACTAATGAAAAGAATTTGACGAATCCTAGTGTTCAAGCATGCAAAAGACTCGAGAAACCCGGGACGTCAAGTCAGGACTTTAATCAGGCTGTGGTTGTCTTACCAGGTTCTTGGCAGCGCAGAGCAAGTACGCCTAAGGTCTCAAAAGCCGATATGAGGGGGGCTAGGCAGCTGACTTGCGTCAAATTCTAGCCACTCAGACAGAGTAACATGGCCATCAGGGAAATAAGTGGGTGCAAACACGAGAGCTGATTCCACGCAATCCCGTTCCACGGAGGAGCCATTCACGCGCCCTTGAAAGGCCAAGATCGATTCTGGGGTTTCACACCAACTTGGTGTCCAGAGAAACCCTAGAGTGAGGAGGCATTTTGTCATGCGTGGTGCGTTGGGCAAATGTTGCCTCTATCCTTATATGAGTGTTTGGTAGGTTGATAATTGCTGAAACAATGAAGCACTTCATACAGGACGATGGTAGGTGACCAGAAAGCCTCGTTGCAACATTGAAGTATCGATAACATGGAAGCGAATGAACAGTGCTAGTAAATGCACTTTTTTCAAAACAACAATAGATCACATTGTTTTCAGGGGCTCTCCAAGTGCATATCTGGCAGGTGGCAAGGTACAGCAGACTATTGAAGATGTCATTTTTCTATTGCCTGGAAGTTTAGGAAACATTGGCCTAGCGATTCATCTGGCCACAAGAATCATCAAGAAATCTATCAAAGACTTGAACAATGCGACAGCGATGTTGATGACTAAGTCTTAGAACGACAAGGTCTTCGTGTCAAATCTCAAGACCTAGATTGAAAGATGCAGGTACACCTAGAGGGGATAGTCTTGAACAGGCCGCTACGGTGTATCGCTGCATACCATCTCCGGCGCAGTCACGGTGCGTTGTGCGCGACAACAAGGACCACATGGAAGGCAGACAAGTTCTAGAATTTCGCAGCAGTGATTTGCAATCGCAGACTTTCATGGTTGTTGTTCATTGATTGCTTTTCCATGAAGAAGAGGTGTGAGCTAGCATAACGTTATGCCTGCCTGTTGCGAACGTAATCATCAAAGCCGTGGGGCTTATCTGTGAGGTTGCTTAGGAATCAAGCGATCAGCTGTCCATACAATAGCTATCTGCCAGACTTTGACATCACCGCCACGGATAAATTGTACGGAGAAGCTTTGTCGAGTATATATATACTATAGATAGAGTTGCATTGTACGTGATTTCGACTCTAACTATTCATTTTTGCGATAAGAATACTCACTTCAGACGGTGTTTCGACTTTCACCATGGCTCCATCAATCCCTAGTTCCATCAAGCAGTGGAATGTTGTTGGTCAAGAAGGCTTCCAATCCCTCGAGTTCTCAGAACGAGAATTGCCCGAAATAGGGGATAGTCAGGTTTTGGTGAAGTGTCAGTCCATCCATTTATCTGCCGAAAGGACCCTAGGCTAACGATGTGCGAATAATCAAGTGCAAGGGGCCACCTTGAATGTAAGTGTTTCACCGCAAAGGATGCCACTGGACTAAAGCCCTATTCAGTTCCGCGATATCATCATCCCACACGGCAAATATCCTTGGGACGTCAAGTCCAACGTTGTGCCGGGGTCCGACGGCGCCGGCACGGTCTTAGCCATTGGGAAGGACGTTACTCGGTTCAAGCCGGGCGACAAGGTCATTACCGTACTCAGCCAGGTATACCTTGGCGGGCCTGTGACCGACGTAATTACCAAAAGTGGGTTAGGCGCAAGCATCGATGGTACTTTCCGCACTACTGGCGTCTTCAGCGAGCAAGGACTTGTAGCAATGCCCGAAACATTGACATTCATCGAAGGCGCTTCATTAAGTTGTGCCGGGGTGACTGCGTGGAACGCCTTATTCGGATTGCCCGGAAAGCAAGTCTCGGCAGGCCAGTGGGTTCTTACTCAGGGTACCGGTGGAGTGAGCATCTTTGCCATTCAGTTTGCCAAGGCAGTCGGGGCGAGGGTCATCGCGACCACAAGCTCTGACAAGAAGGCTAAGATTCTCGAGGAGCTGGCTGTCGACTATATCATAAACTACCGCGAGACAACCGACTGGGGACTGCAAGCAAAGAAATTGACTGGAGGGATTGGTGTTGATCTTGTTGTTGAAGTTGCAGGTCCAGCGACTTTAAGCCAGAGCCTCGCCAGCGTGAGACTTGATGGCACCATCGTCACCACTGGCTTTGCTGGTGGCGAGGCAAAGGGACAGGAGATGCCAACGTTCTTGGATTCTTGGCTTAGCCTTGTCACAGTTCGGGGGGTTTGGGCTGGTAGCCGGATGCAGATGGAGGATATGTGCAGAGCCATTGAGGCCAATCCGGGCAAGCTACGTCCCGTCATTGACCCCAAAGTTTTCAAGTTGGAGCAGCTTAAGGATGCATATGAGTATTTAGAGTCGGCAAAACATCAGGGCAAGGTTGGGATTGTAATTGATTGACAAGCCGTCGGCAGCTCCGAATGAAGTCGACTTTTCGGCAGCTTGCGTTGAATGAGCCGTAGACCCGATAGACTGATAATGTGCTCAAATGCATTGGGACCTGTAGAGGCATTTCAAACCTAAGACGGCATAGCGGCTTGTAGACTTTGTTGGCCGCATCTAGCAGATTGTGGTTGTCCTGAGCTCATACACCCTTCACTTCTCAAGACTACTCAATTGTCCCTAAAACCGAAGAGATACCCATATTGTTTACTGAATGCTCTTTGGTGATTAGTTATATGCAATATTTCCAGCTCCGATATTTGAGCGTCTGTCGAGTCATGGTTAACTTACATCATACTCTGACCAACGGAGCTCGGGGTTCACTACTAGAGATGGAACTTGGTCTAAGCTTCTGATTGCTAGTCTGAGCTTCTCGAACAGAGATTCCCCGCAAGGTATAAAGTCTGTTATATAGCAGTTGTCAAGCAACCGGAGACTGTCTTATTACACTGTTTTCAATAAGAGGAAAGTTCATGCGGATCCCGTGCTCATGACTTAAAACTTTAAACTCAATTTTGGCCGCCTTGATCTTGATCGCTTGCATCAATCTGAAGCGATCCTGCTTCACAATTTTCAAGCTCCTATACCTGCAGTGTGACGTTAGATCTGTCAACATCACGACTTAATTTCCAGTAGCAGCGACAATCTGAAGTCCAGACCAACCCTAAATTCTAGGTCCCTTAACAAAAGCGCCATACAATGATCGAGGCTGCACGTTATTAATAATGCTTAGCTTAGCTACGAAGAGATGGGACTGGCTTTCGCGGCTTGTACACCAGCCAGAAAACCAGATCTTTTAACTTCCCGAGGAAACGAAACGGATGGAGCATAGTCCAAACGAAGAAACCATGTCCGGACGAAGCTGAGGTGATGCGCGTGTCCGGGTGCGAAGCCAATGCTCTTTCTAACCAATCAGTGGCGAAAGATGCCGGACGTCGAACGACCCGAACCCTTTCAAGCACCATGTGTATCGAACTCTCACAGTTCAGCGCAAACTTCTTTGGACGATGGCTTGTGTCATACCAGACATGGATTTGTTGGATGCCATGATTACAATGTCGAGACAATATCCAAAAGGCGTTCGATGAAGAAAGTTCGGCACTCTCGGATCATAGCGAGTGTCATGTTGATTATGGATTTATGGAAATGCGTGCGTGTAAAGGAGAGACCCTGCATCTCCAGATTCGTCAGTTTGGCTAGCGCAGATGCGCCCCTGAGCCAAAGAGATGAGTCGGTGGAGACGAACAGAAGCAGGGGTGTGTTGCGATGGGCAGAAGCTGTCAATTCCTCCGCAAATCAGCTTCGAGTGCAACACCAGTCAGGGACCGAAAACTTACTCTTGCTTGACATGAAACGGTGTCGTTGGAAGGCCATCAGCCTTAACCCCACACGATATTTCTCTTTGAAGAGCTAAATTTCAACTCATGCAGCAGCGCCACCAAAACCTTCCCATACAATGTTGGACGATTAAGGGAAATAAAAAATAAAAATAATAATAACCGCCTGTCAATTCCGGATCGATCTTGCGTAATGTGGGCAATATCCACTCACTCACGATTGCTAGGCCATGCCAACTGCTCCCAAAGAGTCTTGTTCACCCGTTCGGACGGAGGAGGGTCTCCAAAGGTCCTCCAATCATTGAAGCCAAACTCTCCGCATGTTACATTACCGCGTGTTGGATCTGAAAGATATATAATACTTTCCCTTGGCACCCGACTTGGCGTTTGTTCCCCAGTCAGTTTCCGATTCTCAATACCGCTTACTGCTCCATTTGATTCACCAACGTCACTCTTTTTTCTGCTTCTCTTCCCCACGCCAAGATGGCCAAGTTTTTTGCCCCTGCTGCTGCGGCTCTGCTGCCCGCCGTTCTGGTAGCGGCGGCTCCTACCGCCTCCAACGCCGTAAGACGGTCCCTCAATGGCCCCATTGGATCTCTCGAGAATGGCTTTTGAACTAACCCACATTGTGCTCTAGACTGGTGGTTGCACAGTCACCCAATACGCCCAAATCGCCAACGCAGTCAAGACCTGTACCGACATCACACTCTCTAACATTGCTGCGCCTCCGAACGGCTCCATCGATCTCCAAAAGCTCCAGAAGGGAGCCACCGTTACATTTGACGGAACGACTGCGCGTCCCCAAGACCTAGAATGAATTTTGAGACTGTACTGACTCGTTGCGCAGACCTTTGCCACTACCGCCGATAATGACTTCAACCCCATCATCATCTCCGGAACTGACATTACTGTCACCGGCGCCCCTGGGCATGTGATTGAGGGCAATGGCGCTGCGTACTGGGATGGCTTGGGATCTAACGGCGGCGGCGCCAAGTAAGCAGGCCCTTCCCAACCAATCAAAATACTTGATGTGATCGTAATTGACCTCCAAACAAGGCCTGACCACTTTTTCGTTGTCAAGAAGACCATCAACGCGAAAATTACCAACCTGAACATCAAGAGCTGGCCCGTCCATTGCTTTTCCATGACCGGCAACCAGGGCCTCACTGTCAGTGGCCTCGTGCTGGACAACTCTGCTGGTGACGAGCCCAATGCCAGAAGCGGTAGCAAGGCCGCCGCGCACAACAGTGATGGCTTCGATATTTCTTCCAGCGATAACGTCCTGCTGGAAAACATCAAGGTTCATAACCAGGACGACTGTGTCGCCGTCACCAGCGGATCCAACGTCGTAGTTAACAACCTCTACTGCTACGGAGGTCACGGCCTGAGCATTGGTTCCATCGGCGGCAAGAGCAACAACACCGTCGACGGCGTCACTTTCTCCAATTCCCAGATCGTCAAGAGCTCCAATGGCTGCCGCATCAAGTCCAACTCTGGTACCACTGGCGAGGTCAACAACGTCACCTACAAGAACATTACCCTTACCGACATCGATACGTACGGCATTGACATCCAGCAGGACTACCTTAACGGAGGCCCGACTGGTGTTCCCACCAACGGTGTCAAGATCTCTGGCATTCATTTCGTCGATGTAACTGGTACTGCCACTAGCGATGCCTACAACTACTACATTCTTTGCGGTGAAGGCAGCTGCTCTGATATCACCTTTGAGGACACCAGGATCACCGGAGGCGGCAAGGGAGGCAGCTGTAACTTCCCCGCCAGTGGATGCCCTGCATAAGCGCATCTTGATCCTTTTTCTTCTTCCTCCGTAAATATTGCATGTCTAGCATAGCGCACGACGTAAAAGGAGTACTTCTTTGGTCGGAAGACGCATATATACAAAGACCACCTAGCCAAGTAAATGACTTCATGAACAGGATCAATTTTCCACACATTCTACGTTTGTTGTTGATGGCTTACCCTACCATGGTCTGACTCCCGGTAAAGCCAGCCGCCTCGGGTGTACGCTGGCTCAGAACCGGACTAACGGCTTGGTAATCCTTTCTAGCGTCTTTTTGCCAGTTATGACAAGCGGATCCTCCGGAAATGCAACGACCCTTCCAACTTCAACTTGGTATTCTCATACCGTTGTCAACGCTGAACATGAAAATTTAAGATGCTCGTGTCCCAATATTCTCTGGCTGAACAAAATATCACTTTCTGACAAGTTTGCCAGTTTGGTTTGTGTCCCCATCATCTGTTTTGATCGGCTCCGGGAGTGCTGTTCCATCGCCCTTAGTTTCTGAGGCCAGGCAAGTTCTCACCGCCACGATTACCAGTTCCTGACTTTGTCCCTAGTTGCCACGAGGAGGCTTGAGAGCATTCATCTGCTTCCAATTCTTAATAGTTTGAGCAGCATACTATGTTCGCAATCTTAGTGCGACGAACCACTAGTCGGGAGTTATTTGTACTCAAATAGATGGCATCTCAGTCCATATATTTCGTTCCAGTGTTTCTCTGGGCAAAAGCTGTACCGCTTGCGCCAGATACCTAGCGGTTTTTTTGGTCGTTATACGTGGTTTACCTAGCAGCTGGCTGCTGGGGAAGAGGTTCACCAAAGCCGTCTACTTGAGGTATTGACATCAAGTCAGGTAATACATCTTTCTCAAGAGCAGGAATCAGAAACACAATCCCTTCCTCATTCGCAATCCATCTATCCGTTTGAATTGCTTCAATTGTATTGTGGAAAGAAAACAGATGCATTTCAATTCTTAGAAGAGGTAAATGTACAACCGCAGCCTACCGACGCCCATCTTCCCACGACATTCGCTCACTCGCGCAGTCATCCCGAGCCTTTCCACGATGTTTGTTGAACCTTGTGGAAATCCTGATAACATGCTCCAAGTGTTTATACGACATCCTCTCTTCTTTGAATCGGGCCAGTTGTCTGGCCATCGTAATGGCATTGCGGATCTGATGGCCGTTCATCTCCTCCTCGGCTAGTTCGGCAAGGTGGCGTTCAAGATTGTCGATATCGATGCCTCTCGCTCCTTCGAATTTTCGTTTGTTTTGCTTAGTAGTCGACTGGGCTTCGTCGTCATTCCGCTCTGGAAGGTCCAATTGGTTGAAAAAGTTGGCCCAGATCCTGCGGCGTTGCGACTTGCTGAGGGGCTCGTAATGAATGGGCAGCTGGATGCGTGACGTGAAGGTTTCGTCGAAGGCGTCTACTCGGTTCGTGGTCATAATCAGTATGCCCTCGTAGTTTTCGAGTGCACGCAAGAAAACAGAAACCAAAACATTCCGTCCCGGGTCAGCAAGAGTTCGTTGCTCGAGGAAAACATCGGCCTCGTCGAGCAAAACCACGCAGCGCCAAAGCTTTCCTAGATAAAAGATCGCCTCGAGGTACCGCTGCATCTCCTGGGGATCATAGCCAATTTCGCAGCATTTAACATGGAGCAGCGGTTTCTTTACCTTCTCCGCGACGCTTTCGGCTGTATGGGTTTTGCCGGTTCCTGGGCTACCATGCAGCAGGATAGTGAGCCTGTTACCACTACCTTGAATGATATCCGTGCTCTCCTTGGGTTCAATGCTGTCGGTAACGAGAGCACGAATAAGCTCTTTTTTTTCCTCGTCTATCACTAATCGGTCGAATGCCTGCCTGTTCCAAGACATGCTTTGCACCATATCCAGCTCAACGTTTTCTAAGTGGAACGTCAGTATAATGCTGTCACTATCAGGGCTGTGGCTGAATCACTCACGCCACTTATTCTTTTGCAGACTGTATCCCATAAGAGTACGGGGGAAAACCAAGATTTCCGGAGCTTGCGGAGCAGCATCACATTCCATGACCGATTCATCCAATTCTTTTCGGTCACGAGCATGAGACAGCCGGTACACCTCCTTGTACTTGGGAGAGTCGGAGTTTTGTTGCTCGTAGGTGCCAAAATCAATCATATACCTTTCTCCTTGCTGTTTGACGTCAGAAGTGCATCAGCCTGAAAGGAAACATGTGCGTTTCACCTTCAAAATATCATTTCCTTCTCCGTAAAGCGAAAAGAAGGCCCTGTGGCGACATTCCCACGCCATCTTTCCACGGCGAATGAGCTTTGTACGAATCTCGTTGCTTGAAAAGCGTAGAGGTACGACCGCCAGCTCTGTCATATTGACGTTTTTATGGTTGCTGAAATCAATATCCAGGTACAGGTTCGAGCTCTGGCGGTAGAAACGACCATCGAAGGCATAAGACCATGCTCTGAGACACCATTTAGAAACGTTTCTGCTGGTTAAATCTTCTTCGCTGATGGGCATTTCAGCAATATGGCCTTGTATTGCGGTACCAAGCTTCGATACCACAACCTCTCCAGGAAGAAAGAACAAAGGCATTGTTTGACACGAGACGAAGCCACTTGTGAAAAGGCCCTCAGCTTCGGTGTAGAACTCGTTGTAGTTCTTGTCAATCCACCCCGTAAGCAGGCGCAGTTGCTTCCTGTGGGGCTCGGACAGCCCATCAAAGCAGTCCGCGGACCGATAACAGTACCAGAACAGGAACGGAGACTTGATGGGTTCCTTGGATATCCACTGTGGGAAGCGTTCTCTGAAACTAGGCTGAGTGTTGAGGAATGCCTCCACTGCGGTGATCATTTGCTCGGAAAGCAGCTGGATGGTTTCGGTGACTGGAATAGGAGGAGGCAACGCGATATTTTCGGTTTCGGCCCGTTGCGCCGCTTGCAACTGGCTTGCATGATCGTAGTATTTGCATATGACAAAATCCAAGCAGGGCCTTTGGCGAAGATACTCGGCTTCATCGGCGACTAGTAAGTTTCCTCTGAGGCGGATGCTGCCAGATTTGTGGGTGGTCCATGAAGGTCCCAGAAGATAGGTTGCTTCCTCGCCTTCGATTCTGTGGAAAACATGCCATCTCGTAGACTCAAGGGTCTCTGTCATGAAGTCATTCTTACTGGCAATGTGAAGGCTTCCAGATGATTCCGCACTGGCATGGGTGCCCTCTAGGTCGTCCGGATTCTGTCTCGCCAACCACAATCTCCTTGCATTTTGTGACTGGATAAGAGCCCTCTGGTTCTGATACTCCAGGAGTTCCCTGGGACTGAGACCCATCTTGACTTGGTTGTCGAATTGCTGCAGTTCAGGTGTCTTCCTCGTGCAAGCTAGCAAAAGTTTGGTTGCAGCGCATTAAAGTGCGGAGAAAATGGTCAAGCGGTTTTGATTTGATAGGTCCTTTGGTCTTTCGCTTGTTTGCAGCTCTCCGTATTCGTCTCCGTAAGTATTACCTTTATCGTGGCCCTCGTGCTAAGATGCTGGTTTACGGAGATTTCCGCGCTCTCCTGATGCTGCTCTCAACCTCTCGACATCCTCAGTTGCCACTATATTGTTGCACTTGACAATAAAGACGACACTCAGTCGTCTTTACTGTCAACTGTATTCTGGATATCGGCCGTATTCCCTGGTTTCAGGTGCCTCGTTAAAATCAGAGATCCAGTATTCTCTTTTCCGTAACTTCTCCAGCGGCTTGATCTAAGGTAGGTTGATTAGCTGTGTAACCCGTCTGTTATCAAGCCAAGGGATAGGTCGGTTGTACCTGTGGCCACCCCAAGGTATTCCGAATGATATGCTTGTGATCGAAAGGGGGTTTGAAGCGCGAAAGCACCGCTCCGATACAGCAGCTAGAATAAACGGAATGTTAATGATGTAAAAGAGGTGGTAAGGTGTAGTTTGTAGAATCAGGCTGAGCCTGTGCGGGGACAAGAAAAAGTTGCTGGTGCAAGGGCGCCTAAGGCCTCGATGGCTGCAGGAAACTGAGGATAAGCGAACGCTGGATTGCATATCGGGATGGATTTCGTCCGCCATTCCGGCCAAGACTGTCCCTTATTGGTGAATTGATGATGCCGGGTTCGCAACTGTTGGTCGTGTTGAACGACCAGCACTGAATGGCAATGTGGCGTTGCAGGGGTCGGCGGCTACACCGTTGCGGCGGCCGTTGCGCAAACCTCGAAAGCCCTTGCCCCGATTCCGGTTCTATTGTTTCTTCTGGGATATTCTCTCAAAACCTGCCACTAACGGGTCAGTCGATCACACCAGTACGCACTTACATCTCCGGTGTCTGGTTGTATTAGCTGGCACCGTAAAGAACTATTCCATCACCATGCATTGTGGAAGCCATGTCACCCGCGGCTTCAGTCTAAACTCGCAGCAGCCTCGTAACAGAAGAAAAGACAGAACTAGTTGTAAGCTCATTCTATTTACTCATGGTCACATTGGATTCCCGTTCCAGATCGAAAAGATTAGCTGGCTCCTTTGGGAACATGCTGTTAATCCCCCAATCAACGAGAAGCGAGACTATACCCTGTCTCTGTCATACTGTCGTTTCGATACCGCTACGTCGAATCAAAGATGTTTGGAAAAAATTTAGGAGTTTCTGCTGTCGAAGTTCTATACCATTGTAGAACTCGTGTTTGTATTTTTGAAGGGTGTCATATGCCACCTGGCAACTGCGGCTATCGCTTTGTTGCTGTGAGCCAGGAGCCAACGAAGCACAAGAAACTGAAAGCTCGTTTCCACAAATACATGAACATGATGTCTCACAACTGCGTCAGAACATGTTTTTACATAGAGGCAGGCCGCTTGCAGGTTTGTCACTTGGAGACCTTGCATCGAGTGTGGGGACTGATCTGTGGCTGCTTTATCCTGAGCCGAGAGTGAGCAAAGGTGAGCAGAGGGTGAGCCTAGATTGATACCCTGGGCCCAGCCCTTTGCAGAAGCGGTATGAACACAATATATCATTTGAGTGGCATGCGAGAAAGGTCTCTAGAAACTGTTGAACCTCGGAGGGAATAGCTGTACAGCGTGTACATAGCTGAGGCAGATATCGAGGAAACAGGCGGTAACCTGCACATTGGATGAACCCAAATTTTGGAGCTGTGCCAGTAGGCCAGACTAATTGATTTTAGATATCGTTGCTGTTCTGTGCTTCCCAATGACACCTGCGTCTAATCAAAGATTGCTTGTCATTATGTGATGACGGCCAAGCTTGTATTCCGGCGGTTTGGCGATGCGTGATGTGCAAGCCAACCAATTGCCAACAAGTACGGCCTGGGACGGATGCGCGGTGGGGTTGCAATAAAGTCGCGTCCAGTCGCGTCCAGTCGTCCAAGTGAGGTTTTGATCAAGCTTTTCCATGGTTAAGATCTCACGGTTGAGCAGGCGCTGATTGTGGTGCGGACGCAGCGCTTTGGGCCGACGTACCATCCACAACCAGTCGTGATTGTCAACCATGTGGATCAGATCAACCTCCACATTGACACAGGTGAGTGCGCAAGAGAGAGCTGGGCTCGTCGAGTTTTTATTCGTCGCCTGGCTCAGAGCAGGCAGCAGACACACCACGCACGCATCGATAAGCCCACAGAACAGACTTGGCAGTCATCGGTGAGACAGCAAGCAGACAGCAAGCATGATACTCATTCATCCAATGGAAATTTGAACTGATGGTCCAACCAGCAAGAAGCAGCACAGCTCTGCACTGTGCTGATTATTGGAGGACCCATTCCGTAGCCTGCTGTGCATGTGACCCCTCGGCGTATCTTGACCCCGCGACGAAATGCGGGCTGCCTGCAACAACATCTTTCGCTACCATCGCTGGGACGAGCAAAACACATACAGTCTCTCCCTGTTATCTGGAACAAATGGCGTCGGTCGGCTGGGCCCTTCTCTTGGCTGGAACAGGAGCTGCCCTCTATCTTTGGCTCCACAGCACCACATACTCTCATTCAACGGCGCCGCAAGCGAAGTACTCGGAACGAAAACCGGGCGTCCAGCTTTGTCACGTTAACGCATCTGGCGACGGTGAAGACGAGACGGAGACTGACATCGATATCATTGCTGTTCATGGTCTGGACACGAACTCACCGGAGACCTGGGAAGATAAAAGGCCAGGCACGCCTACAGTGAATTGGCTAGCTGACAAGACCATGCTTCCACAAGAAGTCTCCCGCGCTCGCATCTTCACTTGTGACTGGCCCGCCGACCTGTTTCGCAACTCGAACGTGGAGGAGAACTCAATGGACGAACTTGCTCGACTCTTGCTTGAGGGCATCCTTGGACGACCACAGGCAACGATTAAGCAACCAAAAAGCCGACGAATTCTCTTCATCGCCTCGTGTCTCGGAGGTATCATCCTGATGAAGGCACTTGACATGGCTTATGACAAATATCTCCCCATTCAGGAAGCTACTCGTGGCGTTATCTTCCTTGCTACGCCATTTAGTGGCACTTCGTTCGAAAAGGTGGCAGGGTGGACTGAACCGGGTCTGAGGACTTGGGCGTCACTTCGAGGACAAAAAATAACTCGGTTACTTGATTGGGTGAACGGGGGCAAATGTGATCTTGATGAGCTCGTGCGTCGCTTCACTACACTTTATCAAAGGAAGGACTATAAAGTATACACCTTCTACGAAAAGGGTTTTACGGATCTATCTCGCAAAGTCCCATTTCTATGCTTCTTATTTCCTTCTGAAAAGACGCAGGTAAGACCTTTGCCTCCTCATCATCACATCTATAGTAACTTCTGTGCTAATGCTTGTTAGCTGGTCAATAAGAGGTCTGCGACTCTATCCACCGTGCAACATCCAATCCCTCTTGAGCGAAATCACGTAAGGATGAATAAGTTCCGCGGGCCTAAGCACTCAGATGCAGACTACAAGTTGGTAGTGGGCCAGATTCAGCATTGCCTTGACGAGATACGGAGAGGAACACCGCTTGAGAGAGCAAACGCCTGGATACACAGCAATCACTATAACGAGCAGAAGCTTAAGATTGAGCGGCTCTCGGGGTGCCCTTTAAACATGGATCAATGTTATATTAACCTTGCGCTTGTGGAACTGCAACGAGCAGACGGCTCGAAGCGCAGCTCTGAAGAGACAGCGCTACGGTTTTCACATTTCTCCCTATCTGATCGGTTGAAGGTTGAAACTCCGCACGAGGACGTCCAGGTAGAGCTACTGAAGCTCTTCGAACCACGCAAACTACACGACGGCAACACGAAAGAGCCAAGAAGAATACTCATTCGAGGCCGTGCTGGAGTGGGAAAAAGTACCCTATGCAAGAAAATTGTCCACAACTACATCCACGAAAGCATGTGGCGAGAAAAGTTTACACGCATGCTTTGGGTGCAGCTACGAAGACTGAAGGCATGGTCTGGGCCATACAATCTGGGTGAGATGTTGCGTCACATCTACTTAGAGCAATGCCAAGACAGCGCCTCTCTTTCTACAGAGTTATGGAGAGATATAAAGGATGATGCATCCTGTCAGACCCTCTTTGTCCTCGACGGTCTGGATGAAGTGTCTGAGCTTTTGGACCCGGATCATAACGCCTTCGGGTTCCTTGTGGGACTACTGAACAGGCCTAACATCATCCTCACAACTCGGCCTCATACCACGCTTCCCTCCAATTTCAAGACGCCGGACCTAGAACTAGACACATATGGGTTCCACCCAGATGAAGTACAGAAATATCTCGAAGCTGTCATTCCTGAAGATGCTGAGCAAATCCAGTCGTTCCTTCAGAAAAACCGGCTTTTGCAGAGCCTTGTTCGGATTCCGATCCAGCTAGATGCGCTCTGCCTCACGTGGGACAAAAATCTCAATGCCAAGCCTATCCCGACAACGACGACCGCCGTCTACCAAGCCATTGTGGAGCGTCTATGGAAGAAGGACATAAAGAGGCTGAAGAAGGATTTCGTACACACCGAAGCCCTCTCTTCATCTGAGGTCGAGGACCAAGCTGGGGACTCAGTGAAAATCCTTGAGTGCATGGCCTTCAGTGGTTTACACAGCAGTATTGTTGATTTTGAGTCAGCGCACCGTGACGCTCTATATAAGCATTCTAAGCCTTTGCAAATAGAGCTACCGCTCAATGAGATGTTCGGTCGTCTGTCGTTCCTACGGACATCAGACCCCTCAGCAGACCTAGAAACCCGAATTTATCATTTTATACACCTAACCTTCCAAGAGTTCTTTGCCGCAAAGTACTTCGTACGGCAGTGGAAAGAAAACCAAAATCTCCAATACCTCGGCTTAAATCGTCGGAAAATCGAACGTCATGAGATCTCTATTGAGTCTTTTCTTCAACAATACAAGTATACCGCACGTTACGACATCTTCTGGCGCTTTGTTGCCGGACTGTTGGATGACAAAGGGAAAGACGAGTCAACTCGCTTTTTCAAGGCAATTGAGGGAAGGCCGCTTGACCTTCTAGGGCCTACACACCAGCGGCTGGTCATGCATTGCTTGAGCGAGGCGGTTTCCTTGCCAGACGGGATTCGGGCGAATAGAGAAAAGCGACTGCAAGACTGGGTTCTATTCGAAATCGACATCACAAAATCATCGACGTTCACGAGAGAATCAGAACTTCCAGACAGAGTTCTACAAGATGCTTTGGGTGCTTCTCGAAACAAATCCGCCATTTTGCACAGCCTGAGATACTATAGGAGATATATGTCAGAGACGACCATGACTGGCCTTGTAGAACTCTTCAAGGACAAGGACAGCGATGTACGATATTCTGCCGCTTCAGCTCTAGGTAACCAGTCGACCCTTCCAGAGACGGTCATGACTGCCCTTACAGAACTCTTCAAGGACAAGGACAGCGATGTACGAAGGTCTGCTTTTAAAGCTCTAGGCAAGCAGTTGACCCTTCCAGAGTCAACTATGACTACTCTTATGGAACTCTTTAAGGACAAGGACAACAATGTACGATGGTCTGCCGCTGAAGCTCTAGGCAACCAGTCAACCCTTCCAGAGATGGCCATGACTGCCCTTACAGAACTCTTTAAGGACAAGGACAGCTATGTACGAAGGTCTGCTGCTAAAGCTCTAGGCAACCATTCGAACCTTTCAGAGTTAACTATAACTGCTCTTATAGAACTCTTTAAGGACAAGGACAGCGATGTACGATGGTCGGCCGCTAAAGCTCTAGGCAAGCAGACCCTTCCAGAGACAACCATGACTGCTCTTATAGAACTTTTCAAGAACAAGGATAGCAATGTGCGATGGTCTGCCGCTGAAGCTCTAGGCAACCAGTCAACCCTTCCAGAGACGGCCATGACTGCCCTTACAGAACTCTTTAAGGACAAGGACAGCTATGTACGAAGGTCTGCTGCTAAAGCTCTAGAAAAGCAGACCCTTCCAGAGATAACCATGACTGCCCTTGTGGAACTCTTCAAGGACAAGGACAGCTATGTGCGAAGGTCTGCCGTTAAAGCTCTAGGCAACCAGTCGACCCTTCCAGAGTTAACTGTAACTGCCCTTACAGAACTCTTCAAGGACAAGGACAGAGATGTACGATATTCTGCCGCTTCAGCTCTAGGCAACCAGTCGACCCTTCAAGAGACAGCTATAACTGCCCTTACAGAACTCTTCAAGGACAAGGACAGCGATGTACGATATTCTGCCGCTTTAGCTCTAGGTAACCAGTCGACCCTCCAAGAGACAGCTATAACTGCCCTTACAGAACTCTTTAAGGATGAGGACGGCTATGTACGAAGGTCTGCTGTTGAAGCTCTAGAAAAGCAGACCCTTCCAGAGACGACTATGACTACCCTTGTGGAACTCTTCAAGCACAAGGGCAGCAATGTGCGAAGGTCTGCCGTTAAAGCTCTAGGCAACCAGTCGACCCTTCCAGAGTTAACTGTAACTGCCCTTACAGAACTCTTCAAGGACAAGGACAGCGATGTACGATGGTCTGCCGCTAAAGCTCTAGGCAAGCAGACCCTTCCAGAGACAACCATGACTGCCCTTGTGGAACTCTTCAAGGACAAGGACAGCTATGTGCGAATGTCTGCTGCTAAAGCTCTAGAAAAGCAGACCCTTTCAGAGATAACCATGACTGCCCTTGTGGAACTCTTCAAGGACAAGGACAGCTATGTGCGAAGGTCTGCCGTTAAAGCTCTAGGCAACCAGTCGACCCTTCCAGAGTTAACTGTAACTGCCCTTACAGAACTCTTCAAGGACAAGGACAGCGATGTACGATGGTCTGCCGCTAAAGCTCTAGGCAAGCAGACCCTTCCAGAGACAACCATGACTGCCCTTACAGAGCTGTTCAAGGACGAGAATAGCGACGTACAAAGGTCTGCCGTTGAAGCTCTAGAAAAGCAGACCCTTCCAGAGACAACCATGACTGCCCTTGTAGAACTCTTCAGGGACAAGGACAGAGATGTACGATGGTCTGCCGCTGAAGCTCTAGGCAAGCAGACCCTTTCAGAGACGACCATGACTGCCCTTGTGGAACTCTTCAAGGACAAGGACAGAGATGTAAGATGGTCTGCCACTAAAGCTCTAGGCAAGCAGACCCTTCCAGAGAAGACCATGACTGCCCTTGTAGAACTCTTCAGGGACAAGGATAGTGACGTACGATCTTCCGCCGCTGAAGCTCTAGGCATCCAATCTAATTTGATGGACAAGGTCCTGGACGCCTTAGGCCTAATAATCCGGTCCGAATCACAAGGCGATACCCAAGCTTCTGAATTTCGCTATCCTCAACACATTGAACCTCTTTATGAGAGTTTTCTGCGGCGCAGTTTCCGGGAACAATTCAGTTTGTCCATTAACGACAGTCTTTGCGTCGTTAACCAACCGTCTGGACTCCGAACGGCTGGTCTAAAAAATAGCATTCAGGTGCAGACTGCAGTTCATAATGGACGATGTGACTTGAGAAATATTGATAGCTACAACCTATGGGACACTTGTGAGGGAGAAGATGCTTGATAATTACTCTAAATTCAATTACAATAGTCTCCTACCTTATGTAGTTAAAGTGATAATCCAAGTACACAGGTTTTAATTTGCCATACTTTTGTAAAGTAAATTACAGGACGCTGTGCACTTTTCTAACCTATTCTTTCTTATTCAAAGCAGTAGCAGCAGAGACGTAAGACAGGGGGCTCAGATTAGTTGCGATCAAGAAAGCGCCAAAGTCGTAGTCAATGTTTCTGCTAGTATTAGTAATAGAAATACCTCTCAGGGACTGCAAAGTACAAGAATACTGCAACGTGGTGATGCTTAAGGCCTCAGCAGCTAGAGCCCGTAGTATCTCATTGCGTGCTAACTAGCTGCACCTCTGCTAAGAGCGGGATGGTAGCAACTAAGAAGTGATTGACTCAGCCCATCCACCAATAGTTCCGAGATACTTCCCCTGGCCTCTATTTACTACAGTATTTGGGTGTGCCGGAGGTACCAATAATCTCTATAGATACACAGAGCTACGTTGTAATCCAAACAGCCCTACCAGGTCTGCCGCCGGCGTGCCAAAGTGAGGTTATTCCCAGCTAATTATCTCGGCCAGAGCCTTCCTTGACTTCAGAGCCCTCGTACTACTACAGAAGACGCAAGGCTTAGGCAATGAGGCCGCAATCGACCCTTAGAATAGCTAAGCCGCAGCACCCCTACCGGCCATACGGGACCAGCCCTTTACAGTGTGAGCTGGTTTCTCAATTATGGAAGTCACAAAAAGCCTATGTTAGCTACTTAGGTGACAGTTACTCTAAACTTATACGCCTAATCTCTCCCTGATTTGCTTCTCATCTTCATCGCTAATAGACAAAAGGAATTTGTGTAATGGAGAAGATTTTCTGCTGAGAGAGCAGCCCTTCTTCTCCTTTAACACAATTTTCTCGAAAGCCTTGATATTTGACTCTTTCCTGCCCTTCAAAGCCTCAAGAAAATTCCCGTGCGCTACATCTTGCAATGACTCTCTGATGGCATTTCTAACGTCACGGATATCCTCTTTAATATGCATGAATGAATCCAATGCGCACACTATTTCGGATTGAGAGCCAAATGGGTCGAAACTCCCAACTGATTTTGGACCTGAGCGATAAAGCTTGGCGATGGAAGTACTTTTTCCTACGGTCCAATTATCCATAATCATGCCTGCAAGGTTGAAAAGATAGTTGCGCGACCGGTTTGACACAGCTTGTATGATGATCAGCCTCGAGGATATATTGATGATCGACTTATAACCAAGTACTTACTTTGACGGGTTTGGAATAAGCAGAATCCATCAAATTGGTTGAATAACGCCTTGGAGCAGGTGTTCTTAATGGCAAGGTCCCATTTGATGATTTGTGACTGCGTACCCACAAATACGGATCCATCACGTTTTCTCATGGCTGTCTTGTACACGAGCGAGAGTACGAAAAAGTGACAGTTCTTTTCCCACAATGTATAAGTCTCAACTTGACTGATGATAAATTTCGCCAACTTCTCGATTTGTTGCACGCTGAACTGTGTTTGCCCAACGTTGTAGGCTACTAAAGCCAGTCGTCTATTTTTCTTGCCGTTGGGCCCGTGGAATGTATGCGTGTCCACTTCTCGTCGGATTGCTGCAAGGTCCTTTTCAACTTCATCCAGGCTGAAAGAGTCGATCTTTAAGCGCGGGTTTTCCTTGTTAGAGAGATGGAAGAAATGTCCTTGCGAATAAAATGACCAGTGTTTTGTGGAAGTTGGGAAGCCATAGTGAGGTACTGTAACGAGATATATATCATGGAAGGTATCTGACGACGTGTCGTACTCAGGTAGGGATCGATGAAACTGGATCGAATAGGGTAATAGCGCCAGTTCTGCCGAGTTGGGCCAGGCTACTGGAAGAATTTTCAATCGATCTAGAGATTTCAATAGTATCATAATCCATGGACGATGGATAGGAGGGGATCCTAGATCGTCAAGTGAGTCCAGGTAGCCGTCAAGGTCGTCTTCGACCAGTTGTATGTTTGGGGGTACCGAGCAGATCCGAGTCATTTTGCTGACTTGAATGTAGTTTTCATGGGCCTAATGCAAGGATTGTATCATAGTGACGGCACGCGTATATTGATGATATATTTAGGCATATGGTGAATGGCGATGTGTTCGGAAATGTGCAGACCTAAGCTCTCCATGCATGAGAGGGTACCTACCTAGATCTAGCTGACAGCTGGCCGCTAGACAGCCCCTCTTTTGGCAGCCGGCAACTGGCTGCTGGCTGCCCTACGTTAATTCAGCTCCTGTTCGTGCGTTCGTAGATTCTCTCCGTTTCGCGCTATCCCTGCATCCAATGTTCCTTTCTAACCCTTTTGTTTTGGAATAGCCGTAAGAGGCATCGGATATAGGCGAACAACATGATGTGTCCAATCACTTAGACACAGGACCTCGGCCCCAGCCAGTAGAGTTTTAGCACAATGCTATCCATCGAAGTCAGAGTAAGCAGTCCGTAGCTCAGGCCGAGATGCAGCTTCACCAACTTGGCGCTGCCCAAATACAGCCTGACAGGTTACCGACCCTTGATCCTATCCAACCTCCTCCTACTGTACTGTAGTGTGCTCACCCAATTGCTGATGAACATGTAGCAAAATACGGCCATTACCAGACCTGCAGCGGCCAGAGGTCCCAAGATAGAGAAGATCGTGAAGCCGTACGAGGCCGACTGGAAGGCTTGGGAGCCCTGGAGAACCTCTGTCGCGAGGCCAACTTACATCGCCGTCAACACTACAGCGATATAGACGGTTAAGCTGGCCAGCCAGGTAAAGTTGTCCTGGAAGAAGGAGCCGTACTGGTTCCAGCGAGACTTGTAGCCGCGGAGCGGGGTCTTCCAGAAGAAGTAGATCTTGTTAAGCCGGCTAAGGCGGAGCTCCCCGTAGTAAAACCTGGGGTCAATCCAGGGATTAATAGGCAAGGTCCCCAGAAATTCCCGCATAGCAGTCCGCCACGCCAACCACTATACCTCTCCAGGAATAAGGTATATCGCCTTAGCAATATAAAAGTCGCTCTTATGTGCTATAAGGGCCGCATACAAGAAGAGGAAGCCAAGAGCGCGTTCCCGCCGGCTACCACAGCTACATAAGTCTACATTAGAGACAAGCACTATATAACAACAAAAGAATCTTTCCCAGAAGCGTGGCTCTAGGAGAAAGCGCAAAAGAGGCTTAATGAAGATACATCCTGTCGTCCACACAAAGTGCAGGTCCAGCTTCTCGGTGATTGTAATCTCGCAGTTGAGCAGGCGCTGCTGGTGGAGCGGACAGGGTAGCATGGGCCGACCTACCATCCACAACCAGTCGTGGATTTCAGTCAGTCGGTGGAGGTCGACCTCCTCATCAATCCAGTCGTGGATATCGGTCAGCCGGTGCATGTCAGCCTCAACATCAGCGCGATCGCAGATGGGAGAAAGAGCAGGCGCTATCAAATCATCCTCCGTCGTCCGCCTGGATGCAGGCAAAAGAGACGTGAGATCTTTCTCACCGCCTTGTGATGCTTGAGTCCCTTGCGCGATGTCGCTTTCTAATAGTTGCTGGGTGAAGGGAGGCCACTTTCAAGCTTAATTAATATGTACGGATTCCCAGACGAAAGCCTGACAGAGAGCATACTTGATTTGGTTGCGAAGCCATCGCGAGTGAAGTTGGAACACTGTGTTGCCCGTGACTGGACGGCCTGCGACCGATGCCAGCTCGTTTTATACTCCAGCCGTCATGATATACATGATACACATGCATCTCACAGCTTGACAATAAGACACTGATGTGATGAGCAGCCAATCTCTTGCGCAACGAGCCATCACAAGCAGGCATCAAGTGGGCCCGATACGTGTTCCCCTCTGTATGCTTGCCCGCACCTCTTATCGCCAGTATGTAGCCATCACAGCGGCTAGCAGGTTGTGCCTCATTGGTTTGTCTCTGTAACTGCCAAGCTCGAACCCTTAACATATTTCTTCCAAAGTGGCCGGTAACCCCTTATGGGCACTAGAGGGGTGCTGACCGAAAGTGCAGGCGGCCCGCATACGCGCTTATCATCTTGCCCAATCATCTCCAGAGTCGCTGAACAACTATGCCTACGCAGACGCTCGTGATATGCCCCCAAGTACCTACACTCCATCCCTGGCGCATGGGCAAAGATGCAGCCGATCACACCAAACAAATCAGGTGTTGATAGCAGCCCGGTCAACTAAAGCCACATAAGGACGCAGGCACCTCGTCACAGGAGACTTCTTTTCAAACCTCGTCTCAACCACAACAGAGTATATCGAGTATCACACCTGCCATGTACTATCGTAGCAACACCAGAGGACTATTATATGCCTCATCAAAATGGTAAACATTCAGTCCCATCATTAGCGGCCGTTTTCTAAGGTGTCTAGAACCCAAGAAATCGACAGGCCCTGGAGGTGGTCTACGAGAGCAAGACCGGCGCCCGCGTTTTCGTCTCACGACTGCGCTAGAAATATCCATGCGTAGAGGCAGGCCACTTGCATGTTTGTCACTTCAAGAACTTCTGGGTTGTTATGTCATTGCAGGTAGGTAGCTAACCAGCAAAAGTCCGGGACACTATGGATTACAGGTCGTCAACGAAGAAAGAAAACATACTAAGTGCGGTTAGCAAACCCCACCAAAGACTAACAACCCAACTGTCTCTCGGAACTTGTGCTTGACAGCAGTACACCACAGACCAGACACCTAAAAACGCAAAAACTGAAAGGGACGAGACTCGAACTCGCGCGGGTTGCCCCACCAGGAAACAGATGTTAAGCTGACCTTAACCTGGCGCCATAACCAACTCGGCCACCCTTCCGTAACGTGATCCTCGGATGTGGTCCTCGGAATCGGTTGGATGCTGCAGAATGACGGGGAAGATTTTGATATCCTCGGCAGCCGCGTGGCGTGGGCGTGGGCGAGGGCGAGCTTTAGGGCTATGGGGTCGCAGAGGTGGGAAGAGATCCACCGGCGTTGATGAGTGGGTTTCTATGCGGAACCGAGTGCATGGAGACGGCGGTCTTTCGCAAACAATCACCGTCCAAGTTGCCTTCCAAGGCAAAGTCCAAAACCAGGCTTTTGGCTGCTCAGAGATGGTTGCAGCCGGACCTACTGCCGTGTAAAGTTCCTGTTATGATCCTACACCCGAGAGTACTCCACCGCCCACCAAACTCGGCCAGCAGGAACCATGGAACGCATGCCCAGCTATTAAAGTTTCTTGACTCGATGCATGCCTTTGTTTATGAACGTCTCCCTAAGGGGCTCTCCCGAAGAAACGTCGGGCAAACGCCGTGGCTAAGACAGCCATGCACCAGGCACGACGACGACGAACCCACCAAGCCCGAACCGGCCGGCGGCCGCAAAAGGGTGGCCGCCAACGGAACGACGACGACGACGACGACGGGCGAGGCCTTGGGGTTCTTGACCCCTTCACGGCCATAGGGTTGAACGGTGCATGTGCATATGCCTCCCCCAGGGCGAAGGAGAACGTCATTCCGCTACCAAGATACAGTTGCCGCAGACACCCCGGGAAAAGAAGATTGACTATTTGCTATTTAGAATCCATCGACGGGCAGCCCACACCGAAACGTCAATGATCACCGCCGGGGGGGGGGGGGGGAGACACCCGCACTGCCACACAAAAAAAGAACATCTCATTCCCCGAAGCGAGAGAAGCCAAGTTGCTTGTTTAATCAGCCTTCATTTACCCTTATTCGCGTCTGGGTCCGGTCGAGCACATCGGATGAACATGCGGGATGAGGACGCAAGGAAAGAAAGAAAGAAAAAAGATGATAGGATCGATCGAGGGCGCACAAGAACCAAGAACCAAAGAACCCCAACGACGCGCGTTCCCCACCCTCTCGAGGTACTGACCTACCCCTTCTGTCCCGAGAGCCTAGAACCCAAGGCCATGCCAAGTTTTCTCTTCCGTGCCCGCTCGCAGGGCCGCTGGGCGGCTTTCCTGTGCCGGGCCTAGCTCCAGGTACCGCCAACCCATGATTCGCCGCGTACCTGGACGTTTGTTGACAGTGTTTTATTTTTTTCCCTTTTGGCTCAGGCGAGACATGCTGTACGTAATCGCGCGTGCTTCTCGTGTACGATTCGCCTTCAGACCACCGCGCCGTCTGTCTCTCTCTCGCCCCATCGCCTTCCAGAGGCTGCGTGTACTCCGTGCCGGCTCGCACAAATGCTAGGCGTGCCGTGATGTGCCGAAGTCACGCGGACTTGCACCGGCGCGAACGCTGAACCAAATCGCCCATCCCACCCCCGAGATCACGAAATTCAGGCTCTAAATTTAGCTCGCCACTGCGCCTGGAAATGTGGTACCCGTGCTCCCCCTCCCTCCCGGCCGCCCGACGAGGAACTCCCCTGGGCGAGGCAGGAATACGAACCAAAGAGAGACGAGGAGCCGCTCCATGGTCCAGACCTCGTACTGCCTAGTGCGGCCTCCTTTGGGTGGTGTGATCAGCACCGACTCATTTCCGACCCTCTGGGGGGTGGATTGGGAGGGCGGCCTGGGGGCTTGGGCTTGGCGTGGCTTGCCCCATTGGAACGCAAAACAAGGTCATGGACGCGGCCCGCGAGTCCTCACCGAGTCAGGCTTGGAGGAAACAGGGCATCGCAAATCAAAGAATGACGCCGTGGGCTCGGTGTGAGAGCCCCAGGCGGTCACAACGCGAGTGAGTGCAACACCAACATTAGACATCTGTCCATCGTTTTGAAATGAGTGTATGGATTAATCACATTTTCTTCTGCTTCAGTCTATCCTTGATCTATCCGTGATTATGATACCGAAAGAAAAAAATACACATGTCCACTGTGAGAATCAAAGACACCTTGCCAATGCGCTAGAATTTTACCCAAAGCACGCACTCCCGTAAATCTTTCTCTCTTAGTAGAGGAGAGCGAAAGCGCCGACAACGGCGGCCAGGGCACCGGTGGTGAGGGCCTGGACGCTCGAGGCACCAGAGCCAGCAACCGTGGAAGGCGTGCTGCTGGACGCGGAACCGGAAGAGCCGGAGCCAGAGCCAGAGCTAGAGCCGGAGCCAGTAGCGGTGGGGGAGCCAGTGGAGACGGTCGCGTTGGCACCGCTGCCAGAGCTGCTGCCAGAGCCGCTGCCAGAGCCGCCGCTGGAGCTGGAGCCGGAGCTGGAGCTGGGCTTGGCGGTGGCGGTGCCGCTGGCCGAGGAGGACGCGGTGCTGGTGGGAGTGTCAAAGGTGGTAGGGCAGGTGAGGTTGAACAGGGGGGTGGTGGACAGGTCCTGGGTAATGGCGAACTTCATCTCGTTGTCGGGGTTGGAGTCGCGGAGGTTGTACCAGAAGGTGGGGACCTTGTTGAACAGCTTGCGGCAACCGACCTCGTCCCAGTACTTCTTGGCGTTGGCCTTGCTGGGGACGGCCTCGTCCCAAGTCTCGCCAGTAACGGGCCAGCCGGTCTCGGTGACCCAGACGGGCTTGCCGCCGGCGGTGGCGATGGTGGCCTCGTAGGCCTTGTCGAAGAGGGCGCCGGCGTTCTTGATGTCGTTGCCCTTGTCGTTCTCGTAGTAGGGGTACTCGTCAACACCGACCCAGTCAACGGCATCGAGGACGGGCTTGTTAGTGCTGTTTCCCCAGACATCCCAGGTGTCAACGTGGCCGATGGAGACCTTGGACAGAGGGGTGTCCTTGAAGGCGGTCTTGAAGTCGTTGATGAAGCCAACGAGGGTCTTGGGGTCGGCACCGACACCCGACTTGTTCTTGACGCCAGTGACGGAGTTGCGGTAGAGGTCCTCGGAGCCGATGGAGGCGCCGATGATGAGGTCGGTCAGCTTGGTGCCGTACTTGGTGACGGCCGTCTTCAGGGCGTTGATCTCCTTGTCGATGTTGTCGGTGCCCGAGGTCCAGACGCCGAGCAGGATGTACGTCTTGGTCTCGATGGCGGCCTCGAAGGCCTCGATGGGGTCTTGGGTGGAGTAGGCCTGGATGTTGGTGTAGAGGCGGACGGCGTTGAAGTCGCCGGGGGCACCCACGAGGTTCTGGGCCGTCTTGAACTCGGCCTCGAAGTCGGCCTTGAACTTGGCGGAGCGGTCGGCCTTGGTGGCACCCGAGTTGAAGCCCAACCAGTTCTCGGCCTCGGCGGTGGCAGCGAGCGCCGTAAGGGCGGCGATGGAGAGAGAAGCCTTCATCTTGACGGTGGATTAAATGTGCTTGAACGGTCGAAAAGGGGAATCGCGGCGTTGGTTGAGGATATTCGTTTGGATCGACGAATACAGAATAGGTCCCAGAGAAAAAGGTTAAATAGTCGGACTGGGAAGACCTCTTTGTTTGTCCGGAGACTGTTTGGCTGTGACTAAAACAATAAAATAAAGAGTGTATTGAGTTGGTGTTGTCGTTGTCGTGGACCCAAAAAAAAGAATGACTGGGCAAAGTTGAAAGAGTGAGCAGGACCAAGAAGGAGAGAGGTCGACAACGAGGGGTGGGACAAAGATGACTTTATTGTCAGGACTCGGCTGTGGATGCGAGCGAGACGAAGAGAGTGAACGGGGAAGGGGGTGGAGGAAAAACAATGACGGTCGTATTGGCACGTCACGAAATTAAGGAGAGCCCGGCCAGGGGGGTGGGGCATAAGGAGTGGCACAGCGGACGGTGGACACTGACACGCTGGAAAACGGGGCGTTTTGCAGTGTCACGTGATTCCGGCTCCCCCCTTCCTCGCCTGTTTTGTGGTGTGTGGTGCCTGTCCAAGTTTGTTTTCCGGGGCTGAAATTCAAGCTTGGAAGCTTGGAAGCTTGGAAAGCTGCACCGCTGGGTCCGCCTCCACTTGTGCTGGAAGGGGGTCAAGAGTGCCTGAAGATCACTTGTCGCCCTCAGCCAATGCATGCACCTCGCATCCCCATCATTTGGCTTTTCCTCCCATCCATTGGACGAACCGGCGCACTGGCTGACGCAGGGGAACGGACGCTGCATGGACGTGTCGTCCCATCTCTCGCATCCATCATCTTGTGCTCAACCTCTGCCCAATGCCGGATCGGCACTCGCAAGTGCAGTCGATCTTCAGAAACATTCTGTCGATGATCCGCGACATGTGAGGACGAAGGCTCAGGCGGGAGTGGCGGGCGACAAAACGCCATCATGTTCCTACCCAATCACCGGCATTCCACACCCGAGAAACTGCGTCAGATGGGATTTGCTGCAATGCCGCGCTCCGTCCGTCCACCCACCTCAGAACGAAACATGGAGTAAGTCCAAACAGTGGCTGATTTGGCCATGTCTCTCACCGACGTATTCAGCTGCTCTCGTTGTGCTCTGGATTTCTCGTGTGCGGGTTGAGCAACTACTTACTGGTTTATGCATACGCTATGCTTCTGTGACGACAAAAGTGGAACCACAATTGCCAGACAGCATATTACCTACGTTTGTACGCTTCGTCAATACCGGCATAAACCAAATAATGTAATATCTCTTGCGTTGCCATTTTTCTCACATGCAAATCATTTAAACCCCATATTTCAAAACCTCCACTGGAGACGCTTCATTCAGGACTACATGTGAAGTGGTGGTATCTAGGTAGTTGGAGTCATGCTACGAGTACTTCAGTCAAACAGGCCATTCGTCCCTCGCTCTCCCGCCAGCCAACTCTCCATACTCCGGTACATCTTTTCGCAAGAGCCCAGGTCCTGCCCCGTGACGAGCTTGATGTCGATCTCGTACCCTAGAGTACTCTGCGCGGCCCCGAGGTACTTGTACCCTGTGGGATACCTGGCCAACTCCTCCTCCTTGAAGGCAGGGACCAATGTCCCGTCCACGGGGACGACCTTGTCCTTTTCGTAGACGAGCTTAATAAAAGCCGCTTTCCAATCCCTCCTTCCACCACCATCTCCAAAGCTGTCCACCTCTTTCTCGCAGAAGAAGATGAAGCGGCAGTCGCAGTCGACATCGTATTCGAAGCCGTCGGGGTGCTTGAATCGCTGAGTGATGGTAGCCTTCATCTTTCCGACAGCACGATTGGTCTCAGGGTTCAGCTCGACAAGGGTGCCGCATTCGCGATGCAGGATGAATGCGCCTGTCTTGGTGCCCTCGATGGAGATGCGGATGAAGTCGTCGATGGGCTGCGCGCCGCTCCAGGCTTTTCATTGACGGTGCGTTAGCTCTCCAGGACCCGCCGCGGTGATTTCGACGGAATATGAACGTACTCGTCCAGACATAAGCATTCGTGGTGAACAGGGAGCGGTAGTTGGCCCACTCGCCGGCGTCGCGGTAGACGGGCCAGCCCTTGCAGAGCTCGGAGACGGCGAGACGATCAAGGAGTTCGGCAGGGGTACCTCCGATGTGGGAGTATTGACGGGTATGAAGGTCGGCCATGACGTCAACAGCAGACAAGTAAGCAGATGATATGTCTGGTAGAGTTGTTCTGTTGATGATATGACAAGGTTCAAGGGGTTGGGTGCCAAGAGATGAGGGGAGAGTCTGTTATGTGGACATTGCTGGGTGCCGGCTGGCTCAAGATGCGATTACTACTCCCTCAACTGCTTGGATTGGATCGTATCTCCCTTCCCATAGCCTTCTTGCCGACGATGTATCTTACGTCAAACGCCAAAGACATTGAGAAAGGCGAGCGACTCCGTAGGTGCGTAAGCTCAGGGGTAAGGCCGTAACCCCACCGAAGTCGTGATGTTCCTTCTCAGACAAGAAAAGCATCACCTTAATGATTATCTAATCTAGAATGAGAACCAAAAAGACAAAAAGTACTGTTCAACGCTCTATTCCTGCAGGGAAAGTCGAACTAGAGCGCCCGCTAATTGTGGAGAGCTCCTGCTGGCACGGGTATCTTTTTGTGCTCCTAAATCAGACGATTGAGCCACGCACTCATATACCGCCTGTCTGCTGACCGTTCTGGCGTTTCTTTTGAATGAGTAAGAGAGACTGTTTTTGTCTGGGAAGGAGGCTTCATGACGGTTGCTGCCTTGCTCTTTCCCGGGGAGGTTCGAAGTTCTTCACGGAAGGAGCCACCCTAATCTGCCTCCTTCTATCTGGATTCCCCAATGACACAACCTTAAGAAATTGGCCCCGCATGGCCTCCAAAGAGCACCAGGTATATAAGCCTGAACGTCGACTCGAGCGAATTATCAAACATGTCAAGTCTTGCTATGAAGTAACTGTAACACTGCCCTTGATTCTCACGTCAAAGTCGGATACCTCCCTCAGATAATCTCCTTGAAGCTCGGAACAAACAGCATGAAAAGAACCAGCATCAGAACAAACCAGGGATAATTCCACCATGAAATCGGCTGAACATGATCTCCTCCGTCTCGAAACCCACACTTCTTCGCGGCAGTGACCCTCTTTTCGACCTTACTCGGCCTGGAGACTGTTTGTGCAACGGCCTCCTCAGTCTCATTGTCAACCTCGAACACCCTCTCGAAAACTACTTGGACACTGCCATTCCCATCAGAGGTCGTGTGCTCGATATCCTCAGTCTCATCCACAATCTCAACGATCCTGCCAAACTGTCCCCTTGCGTCAGTCATCTCATCAGCACACACACTCCGTCCAATGAATCTACTTTCGAGATTCGGCATCCTCCTCAGACTCCCGCGCCCGCCACCCCTCCACCTCGACAAACCAAAGGACGCTGGAGACCTGGTCGACATATCAGACTCGTCCATCTCAATCATCTCCCTCATCGTTCCAGTCCGTTTTCCCATCGCCATCGCGAGACCCACAGTGAAAAGGTCCCCGACAGGCGTACCCACAGGCGTCTCCGGCACACCTCCCGTTCTGCTCTCTACGCTCCCTCGTCTACTGCTACCGCTCTCGGCCCCTCCATATCTCAGGGGCATACCCGTCGGCCACGGTGTTGTCGCCGAAGGGGTAAAATCCGAAGGCGATAGTTCCCGCTCGCTCTCTATTGTCATCGATTCGGGGCTCACGGGGAACGGTTGGAAATCTGCGGACCGTTCAGAGGGTGGGGTCGGCTGTACGGGGGACCAGGGTGCGGGGCTTCGACCGGCAAAGAGTGGGCTGTTTGCGTGCCGACGGATTCGGATCGGGTTTGGGGCACCGGCGCGGCGTCGGCGTGGGGAAGAGACGTACCCGGGGGTGTTAGTCAGCGCCGCGCAGAGCTAAACACCCCCTCCTCACGGAGGGGGCGAAAAAAGGGGGGTTGCAGCAGGAAAAGGGGGGTTGCAGCCTGTCCCCACTTTGTCCTGACTTTTGTTATATTCTCACCAAAACAATCAATTATTTAGACATTTCATCGACAGATATCAACACTATTTAAACCAACCATCCTTATCTAATACAGTCAATATGCCCTGCTAATGTGACAAGAATATGACTACTGCCAAAAAGGCCGCCGAAGTGGTATTTGCTGCCTAGCAACGGGCTGGCCACTTTGATCGGGCTGGCAAGCAGATATCTGCTATATCTATCCGCGAGGTTGCCTGGCAGTATGGCGTATCTAATACGTCTATTCACCGGCATCTCCGGGCCCTTCGGGCTAGCCGTAACCTCCGGGCAAGCCCACCGGCTGCCCTTAGCCGGCCCCGGGCGTTAACGGACGCCGAAGACGCGGCTCTTGCGGCCTTCGTCATATAGCTTGCTGAAGCTGGCTTCCTGGCCTTGCTGATACAGGTCGAAGAAACGGCCAACTACCTCCGTGACCTCTGGGGTATCTGCCCTGTCTCGGAGCACTTTGTCTACACTTAGCTTGCCGACTACCTAGAGCTTTAGAAGAAGTCCGCCATTAAGCTAGTTGAGCTATACCGGAAGGGAGCAGAGCTAGATCTGGCCCTAATAGAGGAGTTCTTTGCCCGGTACCGGGCAATCATACAGGAGTATAACCTTGGCCCTTCTGATATCTAGAATGCTGATAAGTCTAGGTACTGGATTAGTTGCCTTAGTAGCTGGATACATGTAATACTACTTTAATAGCTACCAAAATATAACTGCCTATTAGAGGTTATTAATTCTATAAATTAAGAGTTATATATACTTATTAGATATAGTAATACTACTAATAATAATATACTAAAATATCTAATTTTTAAAATATAACTAGTTACTGTTTAAGTAAATTATTAGGTCTAAAAAGATGTTTACTTTATATATTTATTAATTAGCTTTTTAAACTAAGAGGTTATAATAGACTATATATAGTACTTTAATACTAAGTTATATATAAGGTTAATAAAATATTACTATATAAGCTATTTACTTAAGGACTATTTTAGTATTAATATATATAACTATTATAACTATAATGTAACAGACGCTGACAGTGACGTCGGTCGCAAGGACCCTTTGACTCTACGGCCTAACCAATTGACCCAATTGACCCAAAAGATCCGTCAGTGCTTGCACGCGTGCAAGCCCTGCTGTCAACACTGCTTATATGCCCTTGTGACGTACAACCATCTGGCTAAGGGAGTTGTGCTATTACAACTATACCCTCTCCTAGGCTGCCTTGTCCCCAAGGCACACATAGGCAATGCAGACCCCCAAGGTTAGAGTTAGCGATGAGACAAGTCCTACCCCGCCTTTCGCCAGCGCTCGCCTTGACAGCCAGGGACAACTACGGGAATCGAACTTGTGACGGCAATCAAGCCTTTCTTTGCCACATGCCAAGTCCAGCAGCTGTTAGTCTGACCGTACGCGTGCAAGCACAATTGTAACAGACGCTGACAGTGACGTCGGTCGCAAGGACCCTTTGACTCTACGGCCTAACCAATTGACCCAATTGACCCAAAAGATCCGTCAGTGCTTGCACGCGTGCAAGCCCTGCTGTCAACACTGCTTATATGCCCTTGTGACGTACAACCATCTGGCTAAGGGAGTTGTGCTATTACATATAACTTATATTTACTTAATAAAAAGCTAAGTAAAGTATACTAATAATACTATAATTATTAAAATACTATTAAGAAGTTAAAGTAGCTATATTATCTGCTTTTATTAAATAAGTTTACTAGCCACATTAGTATAAAGCTTATAAAGTATTATATTAACTTTAATATTATCTTAAGTTTTTTTTTATCTTATATAATATACTTCCTTTAGCTAATAGATATTAAGGTCTTCTAGCTATTTAAGAGTACTTAGTAAAAGGTACTTTATAACTATATATAAGATAATAACTTTATATTTATAAGAAGTAACTTTATTATTACTTTTACTAATATAACTAATATTACCTTTATAGCTATAAATATTATAAAAAGGTTTAAAAAATCAAGTATTTAGCTTATTAGAGATAATATTATATTAGCTTAGTTAATAAAAAGGATATAATAAAGTAAAGCTAATATATTATTTTACTTTATATATTTTTTGTTATATAATAATTACTTTAATAAGGCTATACTTATTATTAACTATATAGAGGAGAAATATAGTAGCTTATAAAGTACTTTTTTAAAAAAAAGATTTAAGGTAATTAAGGAAATAATTAATAAGAGAGCTCTTAGCTATAAGTACTAATAAGGTTATATTAAAGACTATAATAAGAGGCTAGTAATATAGTAATAAAAAAGCTAGGCCTAGTAAGCTATTAAGCTAAGCTACTTATTTATATTAAGTATTACTTTTAATAATATAAAAGAGGTATATAAAAAGTAAGTGATTAAGGCTATATAAGTAGTGTTACCCCTCTGGTAGGGCAAGTCCTTCAGAGGAGCGGTCAGATTTATTGTGTAGTCTGACAGACCTTGCGGTTGATGTAGTGAACCTGCTTCACCAAAGATAGGATCTAGAAGATGGAGGTGAAAGAAGTTGATTCCCTTAATGACCCTGTGGGAGGTCTACCTTATATAGTGGTAGACCTCCCGTGTCTATTGGCAGGGGTAACATGTGCCCCCTCTGCCTTGAGATATCGCTGTGCCAGCAATATCTCGCAGGGTTATTGTCTATGTGGTCTAGCTAAAATGTCGCTATACCTGCCTTCTTTCTTGCTAATTCTATTGGTAAATCCGTTTCTATCCTCTGTCCATTGCTATGGCCTTAATGCTATGAATTCCAATAAAGATTGTAAGTCCTGGACCCTGCTTAGTGTCAGCCTTCCTGTGTAATCCGTCATGTTTCCTGTTTCCTCCGCCATTCCTCACAGATCTATATCCCCTGGCAGCCTGTTTGTTCCCTTGCCCTTGTTGGTGCGCGCCTTCTTGGTGGGGGTGCCGGTCGCAGCGCTAGGAGCGTCGCGTTTCTTGGTGGCCCTGGTGTAGGGGTTAGTGGCCTTCTGGGCTTTAGTGACGCCCTTGGCGCTGAAGGCGTGAGGTTCAACGTCAGGCGGGCGAGGGTTGCTGTTGCTGCGACTGCTAGTTGCGTTTCTGCCTGACTTGCTGCCCCTGGTGGTAGCCTTGCTGTGGGAGTTGGTAGGGTTAGCGGTGTGGCTGTTTTGATTCTCCTAAATCAAAAGCCGGTCTGCTACCATGTTAGTCTTGTGGTTAATGGCGTTAAGCTTGTTGGATATCGCGTTGAACTTCTCGAATTTTGTGGTAAGCTTGGCGGGAATTGAGACCTTGTGATGAACTTTGGCGGCAAGTTTACTGCGTAACTGGTTAATTATGTTGTTCTGAGTGATGTTGTTGTCTCTTTTGGCCTTAATCTTGACGCGAAGCTGGTTGATAGCTTTATTATGGGTCGCGGTAAGGTCCTTGAATTTGGCTTTAACCTTGTTTTGCTAGGTGGTAACCCCCTCTTTTTATTGGAGAAGTGTCTTGATGGTAGGCGTGCCGCTGGTGGCCCCGCCGGTGAATCTGGTGTCCTTGACTTGCGCTAGGCTTGACCTCTGCAGTTTAGTAAGGTATCTGCCGATAGACTTGACGAGATATCTGTTCTTGTGCAACATGCGTACTGCCAGAACCTGCGCGTGAGATGGTAGCTTTGCTGACCAACCTGATATGCTAGTCATCTTAGTATCCCGGGCTCTCTGACAGGCTTCTTTGACACTGTGGACGACGTTATTTGTGACGAATGAGGTGTTACTATTCTTTTGTTTGGATTTTTTCTTAAAGAACTCGTTAAAAATAACGAGTATCTCCTTGTGAAGCTCATTGTCGGGGGTGGTAGCTATCTCTCTGTCGAGGGCAGAGATGGTATCTTTGAGGGAACGATGGTAATTGCTAGCTTTGCCGCGGCGGTTGCTTCTGCCAGCTTTGTTGTGGGCAGGGGTAGGAGTGTCGACCATCTGGATGGACTTATTGTCACTGTCCTCCTCGTCGGAGTCGCTGTCTCTGTTGTCGTTAGAGCTGTTATTCTCATTGCTTAGGGAGGCCGCGTCGTCAGCTCTGTTGTCGTCTCTATCGCTAAGGCTGATAGGGCTCTCCTTTGGGCTGGAGGGAGTATTGGTGCCTTCGAAAAGTTTGTCTACGTCGTGACTTCCACCGGTGTCCGTGATGTTGCCTCCTCTGCCGGCGGCAGGGTCACCGAAAATCGAGATGCCAGTCGGGTTGTTGTTTTTGTCAGGTGCTGGCCAGGCAGCCTCATCGCCGGGGGCGTCAGTGACAGGCGTGGGAGGGAGAGGCTTAACGATGGCGTTGCTGCTGTTCTTGGCTTGGGTAGTCATTGTTGGGTTTGGTGGTGGATGTGTTGGGAAGAAAGGTAAGTCTGTTGTTGTTGAGGTGAAAATATTGAAATGAAAAGGTGAGGAAAAGGTTGCTGCTAAAGCTACTGCGCGGGGTGATAGTGCTGTTGATGGATCTGATAGGGATAGCAATTATCTAAAAAACGAAAAAAATAAAAAGAAAATTTGTGAGGCTGAAGAGAGAAGAAAAGGTGAGGTTGAGGTGGGCGATATTCCGTTGGCTGATATAGGTGCTAGCGGCCCGTGCCTGCGCTTATTGCGCCTTCCTTTCTTGCTCTGCCCTCTTGACAAGGTAGGTATGTCCGAAGATTTCCTTTCTTGCTGTGTGGGAGGTCTATTGGTGTCTGTTGGTCCTGTGAAGCTTGCTACTATCTCTGGATATCCTGGGGTAACTCGTGAGTTGTCTGCCCAGGGATGATCACTTTGATCTGAGATTTTGTGGGTATATTGGTGACGATTTCCCTGTCAGGCCTTAAGATATTCCTTCTACTGTACTTGGCTGTCCAGTTGATTGGATGGGCTGATTCAAACTTATCCACGAGTTCTTGGGCCGTTCTAATCAGTTCTAGGCGTGAGACCTAGCTGTTGTCCTTGGCGGTGAAGCCTTTCTATCTGATGAGGAATTTAACGCGAGGTTGGTTGTGTAGCCAACGGATATGTTGTGTGATAATCCTGTCCAGTTCCTAGACGTCCTCTCTGCTTGTACCGTCAACTGCTACTGGCTGTGGCTGAGTGCTTCCCTGTTGGAAAGGATCTTTTCCCTGGGCTGGTTTCCAGAGTTGTGCTACTGAGATTACTGGGTGAACCTGCTATGTGGCTGGGAAGTCAAGTTTAGCAGCCAGGACGCCTTTTATTTTGACTATCTTGAAGGGACTGGCTTGTTCTGCTGACTATTTCCGCTTAGGATGCCTGGGCAGATGGTATCCCTTTCTTAGGTGAAGGTAAACTGTGTCCTTTTGTTGAAAATTAACTGGATTGTGCTTTTTGTTGTATTTATCTTTTGCTATTGCTCCTGTGATGTTAATTGACCTGATAGCTTTTTTTTGGTATAGATGGTGAAGGACTTTAATATTGGTCTGGGTGCCCTTGTTTTTTGTGCTGATAACCAGTGTGATTACTGATTTTGGCCTAAATTCTATTACTACTTTGTTAGGTGAGTATCCTATGGAGGATGCTAGAGTGTTGTTGAGGTTGAATTGTAGAGCTGGGAGTATTCTTGTCTAAGGCATGTTTGGTGTTGTAGTAGTGTGGAATCGGATTGCGATTTCTACTGTCTGGTTTTTCTTCTTGTTTATGTTATTAGTTTGTGTGTGGTATGATGTAGAAAGGAGGAGTTTAATGTTTAGAGTGGTGAATATGTTCTGCTAGATAGTAGAGGTGAATTTTGGATCTTGGTTAGATATAATTTGTTGTGGTAATCCCTAGTTTGTGAGGAGAAGTATTTGAGCTAAAACCACTGCTTAATCTGCTGCTGTATATGTTGTGTGCCCTGTGATTAGTAGTGTCTGTTTGCTAAATAGATAGGAGATTGTATATAACGTGTCTAGCCTAGGTTGATTTGGTATTGACTAGAGGGTACCTGTTGATGGCATGTTGGGTATATTGGTAATAAAGTTAATAGCGATGGTGTGGAAAGGGGTTGTGTGGACTGGGATAGGCTGTAATTCCCCTGGCGTTTTTCTTCTTGATTTCTGGTATTCCTGATAAGTAGGACAGTATTTGATGTAGCTAGAAACTTTTGTTTGCTTTTGTCTGATGAGGAGGCCTTTGAGCTCATAGGTCATCCTATCTTCCTTAAAGTGGTGTTTGTTGTTGTGGGTAAGTCGTAGTACTTCCTGCTCACAGCTGATTGGGATACAGAGTCGTTGTTGTTCTGTTGTTTCTATGTGGTAAAGAAGACTGTGGTTGATAGCCTATGGCGAGACCCTGTTCTTGTGTTGGGCTATGTTAGGAGTGACGTATTTCTTGTTTTTTTTGGTTGCTGTTTGCTGTTGTGATAGAATCCTTTGGTATTTTTTGTCTTGTTGGTATCCTTGTTTAAGCTTGCTTCTGAAATCGTCTATGATTCTTAGCATGGTGACCCTAGTCCTTTGGTTAATAATTATCTTATCTCTTGTGTAGTATACTGCTGCTATAATATCTACTAATTTGTTTTTTGTACTGGTTTTGGCCTTGAAGTGATTGCCCTTAAATGTAGGTAATCGTGATAATGTGTCTAGTATAACGTTAAGTTTGCCTGGGATATGGGTAATATGGAATTCGAATTGTGACAAGTAAATTGCTGTTGCTGCAAGTTTTAGGTTGGCTTTGTTAAGGTTTATTGTTTTAAGTGAGGTGTGTGTTACTATGTTTGCTGTTGTTGTGTGGTCTGTGAGGATATTGACTGGTGAGCTGTTGGACTGGACTATTTTGCGGAGCTTATGGATAGCCCAGACGACTGCTGCGACTTCTGCTTCTGTAGCCCTGTAGGCCTTCTTGGCCTTTGAGGTGGCTCTAGACAGGAAAAGGACAGGACAGACGTGCTTAACAGGGATATTGCGGCTAGGGATCTTAGTCCTGTCCCAGTCAATGTCTAGCTGGAAGACGAAAAGGCTGAAGGCACTTTGACAGGCATTGATCTTGAAAAAGAGGGCTTGGTGTGGGTTGTGGTGGAATCTGAAAGCCTGGTGGCAGAGGTTGTCCTGGAGCATGTTGAATGCGGTGTGTTTAGCGTCAGTGCCTTTGAACGTGGCTTTCTGTACCTGTTTTTGTTGGGCAGTTTGGTTAAGGGTGGCTTGAAGTTTTTCTTTTGACCTTATTCTGGCGAGAAGAAGTTTCTTTCTGTTCTGCAGCGGGGCGGATATGATGTTAAACTAGGGAATGCTTTCCTTAAGCTAGCCTGTTATGTCTAAGTAGGTTTCTAGGGCTGCTGCTGATGATGGGAACTTGATTTTCTTGAATGCTGCGATATGGTTGTTTGTGCGAGCAATTCTGCTGCTATTAATGACGTGACTGAGGAGTTTGATGCTAGGGTATCCTGTAAACGACTTTGTTGCTAATAAGTAGAGGTGGTTTTTTTTGATAATTTTAAGGATAATCTTGAGATGCTTGGCGTAGTCTTTATTATTGTTGCTAAAGATAATAATATTGTTGATATATACCTTTATAAACTCCTGATACTTATAGAATAGTTGGTCTATATATTTCTGCGTAAACGCAGGTGTATTCTTAAAGCCTATAAGGATGACGTAGGACTTCTTAAGCCCTCTGGGAGAGATAATGACTATTTTGTCTTGGTGGGCTGAATAGATGGGTAGTTGATGGAAAAAACTTGTAGCGTTTAGGACTGTGATTCTAGATTTATTTTGTATAGCGCTAATGATGTTGTCTTGGTCTGGAAGAGGGTATGTGTTGGGTATAGTGACCTTGTTAAGTGGCCTGAGGTCTATAACTGGTTGTGCTTTAGGCTTGTTGTCTACCACGTGATTTATGACGAAAGTTGGGTAAGCGATTGGGGCTGGTTGTCTTATCTAGCTCATCTTTCTGGCCTTATGAAGTTTATTGTGATAGTCGTCAAGGAAAGCCTTATCCGCGCGCCCTAGGGGGTATGGCTGTACCAGCGTCTTCTGGTTTTGTTATCTTTCTACTAAGTTAACTTGCATTTGGTCCTCGTCTTTCATTGGGATGACACCCTTGTCTCGCTATATGTCAAATTTATCCAGGATTCTGGCATATACCTTTGCCCATTGAGGGCTACCTGCTGCAATAGAGACTCCCTGGCTAGACGTTTGACATGGGATATTTGCTGGTTTTGATACTCTGTAGTCAGGGATTGTGTATGGGTTAGGCCTTTTTGTTGTTGGTTGGGCTCCCGGGGAATTGCTTTTTGCTTGTCTATTTGGTTTAGGGACGCTCGGCGGGTTCCTTGACGGGTCTTGTAGTAGGTACGCTGTATTGGCCTATTCAATGTGGTATACGTTAGCTTGTGCTTCTCTATTGGTAATAGTCCTTAAGTGTTCTTTTGGGTGAATGATAAGGGTGCTAGGGCTGTTGTTTCTTGTAATAAGGCGTTTTGGTGTGTCCTATGATAGTATAGTGTCTGGTATGCTAGGTTTTGTAGAGTGGAAGTGGTATATGTCTTTGGGATCTTGTGGTTCTTTTGTTTGTGGCGATGGGAGGTCGTTAAAGTCAACTGTAAAAAAGACTTCTTGACCTGGCGGTATGGTGACCTGGTGTATAGCTTGGACTTGACGTCTAACTGGTGTTGGCCGTCGTACGATCTGGACTGGTACTGTGAGGTTACGTGTAGATCGGAAGGTAACTTGCGAAAGTGCGAAGTCAATCTTGACTCTGTGTTTGATGCAGAATGGTACGCCTAACAACAGTCTCGGGGCTAAGTGGTTGATAACCTTAGCTTTTACGTAGAAGTGTCTGTTTGTGGGATTGTTAGCTATGGTGCTAGGGATATAGAAATTGAAGGAGACTTTTCCTTTGACTTGGATGCCTGCCCCGACTCCGTTTAGTGTGCGCTGGTGATTATGATCCCACTTTGCGTTCTGCGCAAATGTGGTAATCTAGGCGCGGTCCACGAGGGTTGCTGCGCTCCCTGTGTTAAGGCATACTTCTGTTGTTTGTTTCCCTGGGTCCGATGTGATGCCAAGCCTTATATACGTTGCCATTATTGGGTCGTTAAGGATATCTGGTCGTGGGTTGGCCTCCACAATCAGATGATCTCGGGCCGTGTGATAGATGCCCCCACTGCTTTCGGCGTTTAGCAGTGGGGTAAGGCTTTTTCTGACACCGGGGGCGCTACTGGCAGAGGAGTTGTGTGCGTTGGACTTGTCGGTTTGTTTCCCGTGGTGTATGATTTGACGAAGTTCGTTGCTGATTTTGGAGGGTCATCGTTATCTTCTCTGTCCTTGCCTTTGTCTTTGACCTAGTATCCTTGACTTATCAGGTTACTAGCAACCTCCTCAGCGTCTGGGTCGTCCTTGTAGATCATGCTCTCGACCCAGTGAGCGCTAACGCCTGTGCCTACGTCCTTGACGTATAGTTTCCATGGCCGTTGTGTCTGGCGAGGGTAGTGGGGAGGGGGTTGCTGCTGGTCCTGGTTGCTGAATTGTTGCTCTTGGCGTATAGGTCGGTATGGTAGCCGATCCCGTATGCCTGGCGACGGGTATCCTTGGCGTTGGGGTTGGCTGTAATCCTTCTTGAATTCTTGCTGCCCTGGGTATTCCTGCCTTTCCCATGGCCTTGCTTGTTGTCTCCATGGCTGTGTCTTATAGTCACGTGGTTGGTATTTAGCCCTGTCTCTGTAATATGCGCCCTTGTTGTCCCCCCTGTTATCCTCTTCTTGACTTGCTGGGCCTAGGTCTGAAAAGTAGGTTGCTGGCTTTGTTTCCTCTTTGAGCACGTCTCGGAGTGCCTGCTGTTTTTCCTTAGCCTTGACGAGGTACGCGTTAATTGTGTCGCTTTTCTGTGGCTCCGGACATAGTAGGCGTAGACGTGGGTGTAATGTTGATCTGAAACGAATGAGCAGTTGGAGGTTAGTAACGTCTCTCTATGCTTTGGCGTAAGTAAAGGCTGTTGTGGTGAAGGTCCTGATTGGTTTCCCGTCAAGGTTATCCTGGGCTGTGTACGAGTGTGTGTCAAACCAATCTTTAGTGGTACTTGGACGTAAACTAAAGACTTTCTTTAAGGCCATAAACTAGTTATTAAGACTAAGGGTAAGTGTAACTTGCTTAACGGTAGAGAGTTGTTCTTGATACTAGACGATAGCGGCTTTCTGCAGAAGTTTAAATAGTTCTTGGCGTAAAGTGTTCCTTGTAGATTTTGTTATAGCCTCTGTTATGACTGACTGTATCCAGAGGTTTATGTTGCGGTAATAGACCTGTTTTTTGTCAAAGAATACCTCTTTTTTGGGGAATTTATTGTATGGGGCGTTAGGCCAGAAGATTCTATACTCTGTTAATCTTTATGCTTGAGTGGTTGCTTGTGAGGATGATGTTGTTGTTGCTAGGGTTGGTGTGTTTGACTGTATATTGCGAAGAATATTAGTGAACTTGCTGATAAGCCGTGTGAGTGTAGCGTCTGAGGTCTTGGTCTGTTGGACTGTATAGGTTGACCTTGGCGTATCCTGGGGTTTCTTTGTCGTTGCCAGTGGGGGGCTACCTAGGCGGGTGAAGGTCTGGTGATCTTCTGCCTTGCTTGTTGGTTCTTGTGTAAGGTTGGCGCTAGTTAAGGGTGTTAGATGTGGTGAAGACCTTGCCTTGTCCCCTGATGATCCTGATATGCCCCTGGTTGTTGGAAATAGTGGTGGGGCTGAGTCTCCTGGCTGAAAGGGGGTTCGGTGCCGTCCTTGCGGCGGGTTGCTTGCCTTGTGATCTATGGCTGCGATAATAGTCCTAGGCCGGTTGCTTGGGCTACCTTGGTTCTCTGAGATTGAAGACATGTTGCTAACTGCGTCTTTGTCTCTGAGGAGCCTGTCTTGGTGTGTGAGCCGAATAATCTGCCTTGCTGTTTGTAGGTGCCTCTTGATTTCTCCTTCGAGATCCCACTCGGGAGGGTATGACGGTGGGATGTAGGCTTTGTCGTTGAAAAAGGGGATCTTGTATTGTTTGTTGTTAGGGTTAACGCGCTAAGATACTGTAGATAGTCGGGTATAGTTCTGTTGGAAGCTGTCTGAGAGACCACGAACTGATGGTTTGTCTGGCTTTTGTTCGATAAAGCGCTGTATATAGTAGATATCTCGGATATGGGCATGGGTTAGTTGTGCCCTGTGGCGTGAGGTTGGTTCGAAAATTTTGCTTTTTGATTTGCTTAGCTGGGTATTTGCTGCTACTGTTATAGCAGCAACGGTATAGCTGGCTTGATTGATGAGAGGTGTTTAGGTGTATCTGTGAGGTTCCAGATTTGACCGTAGCACTTTAGTCCCTTAGGTCTTGTTGTCAGCTGTGCCTGGTGTTGGCGTTGGTGTAACGGTGCGTAGGGTAAGTTGTCGTATTGTTGCCTTTGTTAAGCCGAGGTTTGCTTCTTGGTCGTTTACCTTGACGGGAGACGAGATTCGTATGGCGAATTTGTTTCTCAACAAGAGCCAAGGAATGAAGTGGGAGGTTGTGCTACCACTTGTTACCCCTCTGGTAGGGCAAGTCCTTCAGAGGAGCGGTCAGATCTATCGTGTAGTCTGACAGACCTTGCGGTCGATGTAGTGAACCTGCTTCACCAAAGATAGGATCTAGAAGATGGAGGTGAAAGAAGTTGATTCCCTCAATGACCCTGTGGGAGGTCTACCTTATATAGTGGTAGACCTCCCGTGTCTATCGGCAGGGGTAACAAGTAGAGTAATAGCAGTAATAAGTAGTAGTTAAAAGGATAGCTTATAGTTAAGAAAAGGAGGTCTATTAATAATATAATGCTTTAAAGTATTAGATAGTAGATAGGCGGATAAGGTAACTAACCTTTAAATAGTAGTTATATTATACTAGAGAAGTTAATACCTATATTCTATTTAATACCTTAGATCCTTATTAGTATAATAAGCTGAAGGAAAAATTCACTATTAATGTTAATTTTATTCCTTTATTGTAGTATATACTTGATTGATTTAAGTATATAGTAAGGCCTCTTAGTTAAGGTAATATTAACTAAGTATTAGCTAATACTACTATAGAGGTAGCTAGGCTAGACTTTAATCTTAAGATATTTGTAGACATAGATGATCTTATTGATGAAGATATTAATAAGGCTATATCTAGCAAAGAATTAGTTGGTATAGCTAGGGATAAAGATAATAACCTTGAAATAGTATTAGTACTATTACTGCTAATAATATTAATACTAATAATAACATTATAAGTATTATTATAATATAAGTTATAATACTATATAATTAAGGATAATATAAATACCTAGTAAAATAGAAGTATAATAGAGAATAATTTACTTATTCTTTTATTAATATAGATTAAAAAGAAATAGTAATATATAGTTAATAATAATACTAGTAATAGTACTATTATAGTAGTAGTTTGAATTTTTAATTATTGTGTAAAAAGGGAAAAAAAGGTATTTTCTTAAAGCCTTAGATTAGGGCTATTAATTAATACTACTCTTATTATTGCATAACGTTGTGGTTACTGTGACCTTTTGAATTAAAAAGTAGAGGTTTCTGTGTATAATAGGCAAAAGTGATGCTATTCGTGATGCGAGGTGCAACCCCCCTTTTGCTGCTGCAACCCCCCTTTTTTCGCCCCTTACGTGAGTAAGGGGTTTTTAGCGCAGCAGCCTGATGACTAAAACCCCTGGGTACATGGCTTGGAATATTTGGAGCCAAAAGAGATAGCAACAACGAATAACTGCGGGCAAAGTTCATCAAAGTTAGAATAAAACAAAGTTGGGTGAGGGTCGGAGGAGAGGGCTGCCAATGAAGGAGATGAGAAGTTGGAGACTAACCTTCGAGAGGGTCACCATGAAGCACGACTTATGTGTTATCTAGGTTCCTCTTCGCTCCTTTAAGAGGCTCATTACTCAAGGGAGTACCCCTAACAATGGGCGTTTATGATTACCCGATCCGGCGTCATCGCAGGCTCTCAGGTCAAAGAGACCCAAGTGTTCAGTTTGCTGGCATAATTTGAATAACAAGACCTGGTTCTATGTCAAAGATGCATACAAACACGACACACGAAAGATTTTAAAAGGGACAGAGTCCAGACGTGTCTCAGAGAGAAGTGAGATGAGTCTTAGTTGCATTAAAATGGTTGCGGCAAAACTAAAGTCTCAGCAGTATCGTTTCTCCAGGCATGTTTTCCACAGCTATACAGGAACTGACGAAACATGATGATGGCTGTGTGTAACATTGTGCGAAAGCGTTTGGATTTACTCGGAACTATTATAACTATTGGAATTAGGATGCCAGAATACAAACTAAATCGAAGAGTGACAGAGAGGTCGTTCAATGCGTATCAACGCCATCCACCGATCCATCCCGTCCAAAACTCCAGACCTTACCACGGCGACCGACGTAGGTCCAAAAAAACGGCATCGTATTCATCGGAAAGCATCGCCGAATTTACCCAGTCAAAACCGCTTCTACTTAAAGTTCGATTACGTCTGGCACGCGCAAATGCAACGGAGGCATAGTCGCCACGTCGTAAGCATCCACCACGCGCAGGTTCACCGGCATCTTCCAGGGCCCCAGTATCTTGTCCGCGCAGGAATGGCATTTGATCCCGTCCATGAAGACCCCCTTCTTGCGACGTAGAGCCTTTGTCCAGCATTTCATGCCGATCGTGTGGCCAGCGCCGCACTTGAGGCGCATGGCGGCGTGCGCGTCCGGCGGATAGGCCATCTCCTCGCCGCAGGCCACGCAGTCCCGGGCGTCCGGGTCGGCCGCGCAGAGGGCGTCTATTTCGGGCTTGGTGAGCGGCTCGACCGTGTTCTCGATGGCCTGTTGTCGGGTGTGCTCGTCGTGCAGCCACAACTCCCGGTTGCGCTTGAAGTAATACTGCGTGTACCGCAAGGCATCGTCCGTGGCCAGCATTTCTCCGGCAAAGCTGTACAGCCTGTCCTTCATTGCCTTCCTGACAGTTTCGAGGAGTTTCTCGACCAGGCCGAGCAGCGCAGGGCCGACATGCTTGCCCCGCTCGATGGGGCTCACCTGCCAGACGTGCAGCAAGATTTCCGCAACAGCCCACGCCCGCGCGTCAGACAATCCTGAGTCGTCTGCCAACAACCTTGTCGCGATCAGGGAAATATCGTTCCGTAGATAGCGCTCGCTTTCCGCATCGACAGCGTCAGGGTCCTGGTCGGTCTCGTCCGCCTGGCCAGAGCTAAGCCACCAAGCTTCCCAGGCGTCCGGGCCTCCCATGGCCATGACGGCACTGAAGAAAACCCCTTTCCAGATCCTATCAAACCGCGATGCGTCATCTAAGCTCGGTTTGAGGAACGGGATTACCGTTACGTGTGTATTCTGAGGAAAAGCCGGGTTGGCAATAGTTTTCAGGACTTGAAGGTTGGGCTGGGCGAGGTGGCGATGGACGCAGCTTTCGTAAGATGGCTGGAACAAATCAGGGCTGCCGTCACCCTGCGGCCTCTCGTTGTTTCTGTACGACACAGGCACCACGTATTCCATGCCTTGCGCGACTAGAATCGGATCATATATCTCGGGTTCGCTGGGCCAGTATCCTCGATACGGAAACAGATATCCCTGGGACACAGCCCGGCGCATTGCTGCACTGATGTTGTGCAGCTCGGGACGCGTGTTGGTTGGGATATCCTCAAAGTGTTCTTTCTGCTTGGGGTCTTCGCAATGGGTCCCTTGGCATGAGGCGCCGTTATCGAAGTGGTCTTTATCGAAGCGACAGGCCGTCTCCATCTTACATACGCGGAAAGCTCGTTGATCGTCGCTATCTTCGAAGATTGGGTCCGCCGAAGCAAAGGCCATGATGAGGAATTCGATCAATGACTTGGCGTATTCTTGGGCGGCGGCTTTTGCTTCCAGGCTACTTTCATTAATAGAATCCAGGTTCGTGGCAACCCGCACCGGGCTGCGTCGCGTTTGGAAGAAATTGTTGGTACATGAAGGACAGGGGATATCGTAGTTCTCTCTCACCACACCGAGGGCTCCTGGTTTGATGCATTCGGCGTATCTGGGGTTTGCGCAGCGGTTGAGGTATGGATAGGAGTGGTACCTCCAGGCATTGGCCTCCCAGCATCTGTAAGTCCTCTCGAGAAGAATACACATCTCTTAAGGCAGCATAAGACGTCGGTTTGGTTTGGTTGATGGTAAATAGAGCTCCCAGAGTGAATGGAAACGGTGCAAAATATGAGAAAATTGTAGGAAACTCGACCATCTTGAACTCTGTAATTCGTGGCATGGGAAGCGTCTTCTCGTCCTATTCCTTCAGGAAGTCGAGAAGACGGTATAGCTCACCAACAAAGACCCAACGGTTTTGGCCGCGGCATGTCAAAGGAGCTAAAATAGTCACATTGTTACTTAAAATGAGATTTGTTTAATGCTGAAAAAATTCGATACTTATGTCTTTGTTTTGCTAGTGCTTGACAGCTCCTCGTCGCTTGCTCGGTGGTACGGGCATCATGGTCTCTTCCTTTCCAGGAAGGTTGCAAATGACGAGAGCGGAAGAGAACAACTCAGAATCGAAAGACAATGAGCTTCAAGGGAGGAGGTGGCCTTGCAGGCTCGAACACAATAATAGCCCTGGGTCTTTTATTACGACCCTGTCAATCTGAGTTGGCAATTGAAGTCTTGTCCAACTGCAAGACATTGTGCATGGACACTTGGCATTCGCTACGAGCATTTCCGTAGACTTGGGAGTGATGCCAATCTCGACTGCAATGTCGTCTGTCAGGCTTGGTTGATGCCCAATGAGCTACGAGAAGAAAGGCTGCAGTCTGCAGCTGCACGGCGGCTCGTGGTGTAGGCTGACTGGCTGAGAGGCCGCTGCTCGTTCGCCCTGTCTATACGATTCAGGAAGTCCAACTTATTTATGAGCGCCCGACGACGGAAATTCAGAGTTGCTGGGCTTTCGTGAGAACTGAAAAGAGGCTACGATGAATTCAGAAATTGCCGTCATGTCATGGCGACGAGTGGGTGAAAGCGACAAGATGACGAGACAGGAAGGAATGAAGTGTCCATCAAGGCCTGCTGAGTCATTAATGCGATTAAGTAAGCCGTCAACTCCAAATTCTCAAGCTCCCCACGCTTCCATTCTCCCACGTTCCAAGCTGCCCCAGAGATGAGCTGGCAAGACCCATTCTGCGAGATCCATCACTCCAGACCCTCCCGTCACCGACTCGACTCTTTCACGATGGCCATTCCTCAACCCCGCCGTACCCTCAAGACAAACTCGACTAGCCTTTAGCAAGTGTGGACGTGTTTGATCACGAGTTCATCCAACGGCGGGGATCAACTGACCCCTTGACAACCTTGATGCCCAACCAGCCATCTTCAATCTACGCCTTTTCCTATGACTGCTCTGTCGTCTTCTCGCCCATCGCCCCGGCAAATCAGTGTGGTAGCCATTAAAGGCGAACCTTAAGCTTTTAAAAGAGGGCCAGTCCAGTCAGACCTGATAGCAGACCTGATGGTCTGCCATTCCAATGGGCAGCAAAAGCCTCACCCGACGTGACAGGCGGAAACAGCCCCCCCCACGACACCATCAGCAACAGGTTCCAACGGACCAAGCTTGGGCCCCAGGCAGCCCGACGAGTGCGGGAACCGCTGCGCAAGGGGACCATCACCACGCCTGCCACCGGTCCATTGGTTTGCCGGCTGCATGAAGCCCGCATAATCGCACCAAGCATGTTGTCCTTTCGCTGCACTCGGCTCCGTTTCCTGCTGGGGATATACAGTCTTACACTCCCTCCACCTCCGCATTCGCTGCGCGATGCTACTCTTGCATATGCGCTCCCCCCCGGTGTCGTCCTCTCGGATTCCATCATGGAACCTCCTTCGGCTCAGGCGCGTTGCCAGCTGCACCGTCGGCCTCCCCTATTCATCCTGCCGATGGCCGATGGCAGCCCGTGGCAGCCCACGGGCAGGTTGAGGTTAAATATGTGACAATAGCCTTCGTCAGTTTGTTGTGCCGGTTTATCTGCCTTGTCTGTCTCTATGTATATCATGTTCCAATCTCTTCCTTCCGTACGATTTCGGTCCCCCTGCTGCGTGAACCCTTGATCACTTTTTTGTCCTCTATAAATCCCTGAACTCAAATTCCCCTAGACCACCAACACTCTACCCTCATTGCATTGGATGTATATCACTCTGCGCCCTGAGGGCCGAGCGCCGAGAAGCTTTGGACCCAAGACAGAGGGGCATCCACTTGAAGCTTCATGGCGACGAGCAGTTGAGGCGCCCGCCTCCGTGGCCCAGCTTGGCAACGGGTTCACGAAGAGGCAGGTCTCCATATCTGGAGGGCAGACAACCAACCTCACCGTCGGCATCACGGTCGGCGTCGCTGTCCTTCTCTTCCTTCTTGGTGCGGGTGCGTTCCTCTATTACTATGGAGTGTCTCTCAAAAAGATTGGCCGCCGCAAACGTCGTCGTAGCCGCCGGAGCCACCGTTACCAGCACAAGTCGGTCAGCTCTAGGAGTTCCAAGAGCTCAGCCGATGACCCTCCGGCGTCTCATCCGCCTCCTTCGGCCCCACCTTCCGCTGCTCCAGCAAGCGCTCCTCCCGCCGACCCTCCTGCCGACCCTCCGGCTGACCCTCCCGCCGATTCCCCGGCTGACCCTCCAGCTGATCCGCCCGCGGATAAATAGGGAGGCGGACCGGGTACGGGTTTCGATACTGTGTTAGGAATATCTGGTTGCATGGGCAGGCAAGGGAGAAGCGAGTAGTCTTGGGTACGTCAATGTGCCTCTAAGTGATGGCAGTGTGCTAACACCAGTGACAGGGTTTCTCACATCACATGTTTGTTGATGTGATGTAATTTATGTCGGTATGTGATGGTAAAAGACTTGCTTTGAGCGGGAGTTTGCGGGTGGGTGGCCGTGGCGATACCAGGCGCCAACAGGACTGGCTGCTGATCCGATCAGCGTTGAGACATTTGCATTGTGTACAATCACTGGCTGATTATTCTTCTCCTTTTGGTCGATATTTATATACCTTCCTTCTTTCGAAGCGAATGATGGCCCCTATGTATTCCCAGGCGTTGACAATCGTCTGTGTCACACCCCTACCTTTTGCGAAGTCGGGATAAGGACAGCGAACTTTGCGAGCACATCCATCGGATTATGGAGTCTACGGCGATGGGGTTTCTGGCCCCCTGCAATGCAGACGAGGTCACACCGCCGCCATCTCATTGTCGTCCAGAACCACCTCCCCATCGCCGGCAGCCTCCCTCCTCAGGTCTCGAGCGCCTCTGGGCACCCCACACAAAGCATCAAAGAACGAATAGCAACATTCGTTGCACGTAGTCTCCCTGTCGCCTTCGAGATCTCTTTCGGAGGCGAACTCTTCTAGGCGGAAGTTGGGGTTCATGCCCCATGCCATCTCCAGTCCGAAGTCTTGGTCCGGAGCGGGCCCATAATCGACAAAGTCGTCCCCCAGCGGCATATCCATGCCTCCGTCCATACCAATCCCCAGGCCCATACCCATACCCATACCCATCCCAGCCGCCGGTGCTGGGGGCATGGGCATGGCGGTCATAGGAGGCATCGGCATGAACCGAATTGTCGGCCCGCGGGGCTGATGCGGGTGTTTGTTGCGACGGGCAGGCCTGAACTTGGTTTTCCGTCTGGCCCTGGGGCATTGCTTCTTTGGCTTCGCCTTGCCATTATGCTGATGAAAATGGGTGTGCTTGCGGTGGCGATGCGTCCACTTGTGCACATGAGGATGTAAGTGTTTACAGGTGTGGGTGTGTGAATGGGCTGTCGGATGAGTGTGTGAGTGTACGTGATGGGGATGAGAATGAGCCTTATGGGCGTGAGGATACGTCGGATGGGCTGTCTTTTTGCGTGACTTTGGCGCGAAAGCGCAGTTGAAGCAGAAGTAGATGAGGGTCACGGCGGCAATGCCGCCTATGAGACATCCAACGAGCATGCCTGCTATCCGGCCCTCTTCGCCGCGCCTGGCGAGGTGGTGAAGCGTAGATGCTGTTGCTGCAGCATTCTCAGGAGGTATCGTTGGAATCGGCGCCATTGCGAAGACGATGCCTGGAGAGCATCGATGCTCAACGCACTGCTCAAGGATTTTCTGGCTTGGCCATCGGGGCTTTGTCTGCTCACTCATAACAATAAGGGCTTCATCTGGTCGGAGTCAGGTAATCTATGGTAGATGCATGAATCATTCTGCTCAGCAGCCTAGCTAGCATCAGCAACTTCCTTCCATATGCCGTTTGTTGTCTTTCGGGAACGATGAGACGAAAACATGATTCAGAGACAATCTTCAAACCAAGAAGGACAAAAACACAATCACCAAGCCATCAAAGTTCACACTGGTGAGGCCTTCAGTGTTTACGGTCCGTATCTGGACCCCAGACGCAAATTTGTCAGATCCTCCATTCCAGGCTACCGGAATCTGTTGCACAACGCAGTACACACTCTCAAATGATTGCCATCCATTTCAAGTTTGCGTCCATGAACACAATGCTGTCATTGCTGACCTTGCATTCTTTCCCCGGGCACGTACGTGCCGCAGCAAACACGTTGCACGGCGGAAAAGGGGCGCAACTACTCTAAAGTTCTATCCTACAAACTCATACGTCAGATAATCCTCCCCGGCCCCTGATGCATCGCTCCCGAAAACCGAAAACATGGGTATAGTGATCGAAACCACAGTTGAAATCCACATCGTAGTATCATCGATAGGTGTCGCTAGGGGTATCTCGCAATCTAGCACTCTCGCTCAAACTCTTTCTGTGACTCGCCGGCCTGTAGAAAGGTCCTCAGCTCCTTCGCCGACCACGCCTCTCCTGTCTCCTCTCCTCCCTCTCACGGAGCTGCACAAGCACCGTCCCGATCGCCTCCTGCGTCTTCTCCGACCGCTCCACAAACGCTTCGTAAAACTCGCAGTCGGCGTGGCCGGGCTGCCGCTCGTTCAAGGAGATGATGGTGTTGGACAAAGTCTCTAGGCTATCAACCAGCGGGGCGTAGTCGGTCCCATGCCTGCGTCTGCGACGGTAGCCATCGTCACGATGGTGCCTCGAGGGCGAAGAATACCCGTCCCTGGGGCTATGCCGTCGCCTCCGCTCACGGTCTCCGTCCTTGCTACCGCTGCCGCCGCCGCTGTCGTCGCCGCCGTGGTGGCGGCTTCGTCTGTGGGAGCGTTGCTGTGAGCGTTCTTGGGAGCGTTCGTGCGAGCGGCTAGACCGGTCCCGGCTGTACCCCCTCTCCCTCCCGCGACCGCGTCCCTTTGCGTTCGCTCTCACCTCCTCACGATCATCTTCTTCGCCTCCGCCGCCACCGCCGCCAAAGCGGTCCATAGCCTTGGAGAGGATGTTCTTGCCCAAGTGCTCCAGCATCTCCATGTCCATGTTCGGAACGCCGCCCCTAGCGCGCTCGTCGCCGTCGTGATTGCTGTTACCTCGGGTGCTGAGACGTCGGTCGTCGTGGTGTTGTCCTCCCTTGTCATCATCGCCGCCGCTGAGTTTCTTCATGTACTTTTGCACGGCATATTCAACCAGTCCCCGCGCAAGGGCCTCGAGGATAATCTCGATCTGGCCGTGGTGGTTTCCTCCCCCGCCGCCGCTTCCGTTGTGGTTGTCGCCGTATCGGTTTCGGTTGCGGCTGCCACGGCTCGGGGACGGCGCGGTGTTGCGGGAGCGTGTTAGTGTTCGTAGTAAGCCGTCCATGACCACGTGAGATGGGGATGCATTCGAAAGTGTGCGTAAACCGGGTGAGTGAGCGAGTGTGTGTGTAAGTGTGCAAGAGTGAGAGGAAGAATGTGATTGATCTGCAAACTGGAGGGGGAAATAAATTGGTTTTCTTCGTCTTTTCTGAGGCCCGCTCGCTTCTTTTCTCGCGAGTTGAAGACGACTCGTGGGTGTTATTTAGCTTGTGCTTGGTGGCGCGGGCGAGTCGCGGGTCGTCGTGGTCATGTGGTGATGGTGTATTCCCATGTGATTGAGTGAGCGCCTGCCCCAAACTTTTGGGCGGGTGTGAGACAGTTCCGAGGGAGTTGTGGACATTAAGAGTCAGTAGGTCGCTATTTGCTCTCTGTAGGCAGAAACAATTTGACTTGGTGACTTTTTCATGTTTTGCATGACCTGCGTCTGCTGCAATCTCGGCGTGGTTGGAATTATGTATTGTGATGGTTCTTATGGTGGTGGACTAATCTGGTGGTTAGTGTGGCGGCTATGGTGTAGCGTGAGGCAACCCAGGCAACATCGGCAGGGCAGCTTGATTTTATGTTTATCTTTTCATAATCGGCTTTGGCAATACTGCGACGGTTGGAAGACGTCGGCGAATTTGATGCTTTCGGGGGCTCGTGTGGTGCTATGCCAACGATGTTCCCTGACCTTGTGGGTTTTGAAAGGCAAACGTTTGAATCCGCCCTCAAGCACTCGTTAAAAAGGTCCTATAATCCACAGCTTCTTCAAATGTTGTGCTCAAAATCAGCAGTATCGGACGTACGGAAATCCCGAGGCCTCCTGAAGCCCCCGAACCGCTCTATCGTGCTGTCGCCAACCTCACAGTAGCTTCATTCAATTAGTCTGCTTCGGCCCAACGTTTTCTATCGACATCGTTCAGCACCGAGGATTCTCTATCCGCGACAAATTTGATAATCAGGTCGACTTATATACACGGTTCATAGTCAGTTGGAGGGATGCTTTGCCTCAATATTGTGAATACCAGAGTGTCATGTCTAAAACGGTCAGTGACATTTGAGACGTAACTGCCAAAGCCTTCTCTGGCACTCTCTATAAGTAGGCATTGCATTCAGACTTTAAGCGGTAATTCCAGCTATGCCAGCATTTAGCATTGTCGACTAGTCTCAATAGAAGGATTGTCTTACAACAGATCAACATGGATGGGGAATAGGAAAAGGTGCCTGGGGTGGCATCCAAGACTTGAGAGTTGAGGGCCGTGATGGCCGTGATGGCGTGCATGTTGAATGTATATTACGAGGTTAGTTTGTCAATAAGGCCAACTGAAAATGCCTTAGGAAGCATATGAAGGCTACAATTATACCCAAGGTCGTCAAGCGCAAAGCTGCGCGTTTATTTACTGGTTCGTACCGAACCTGGGCACTGTCATCCTCGCTAATGATGTCGAGATGCGAGCCATGTCTTAAGTCAACGACACAGCCGTGTCACTGCAGGCGACTTTTACACCGTTGCGCCTGTTCTATCTATACATACCAGCCATGGAAACCATTACTCGTAGCTCCCCGTTTAGCTGAGCAGCTCCTTGATGTCCTCAATCCGCTGGAGCTTCTTCTCTTCGTCGCTCATCATGCCCAGAGACGTGGCACTAAGCAAGGCAGGTCAGGAAATAGTCATCAGCGCACGAGGGGACAACTCACATAAACTTCTTCCGGTCCTGGACCCGGAGCATCCTCTCCTCCACGCTCTCCTTGACGATGAAGCGATACACCTTGACCTCCTCGTCCTGCCCCATTCGGTGCACGCGATCGATCGCCTGCGCCTCGACTGCAAAACTCCACCAGGGGTCCATCATGTAAACCCGCTTTGCCGATGTCAAGTTCAGCCCCACACCACCGGCGCGGAGACTGAGAAGCAACACGGTGAATGTCTTGGACTCCTGGAACTCGGTCAAGACCGCTGCGCGTGCCTTTTGCGCCATCGAACCGTCGAGGCGGAGGAACTTTATGTTGACCCGCGCCAGAGCCGGCTCGATGAGTGACAGGAACGATGTGAACTGGCTAAAGACGACGGATTTGACTCGCGGTTGCTCTTTCCTGAGCTCGCGCAGAGCCTTGATGAGTGCCACAACCTTGGCTGATGAGTTGTTGATACCCAGGCGCTGCAGGCTGATCCTGGGCTTATGGAACATGTCTGGTTCGTCATCGTGGCGAACGACTTCGAAGAGGTCCCGGTAGTTGATCTCCGCACGGCAGTTAGGACACGTCGGCACTTTGTGGCGGTCTGTCTGGTGCTTCATATAGTCCAGAAGACACTTTTTGCACGCCGAGTGCCAGCATCCGGTGACGGTCTGCTCGACCATTGGCTCTTCGGCGCAGATTGGGCACTCGTTTTCAGCCTCGTCACGAATCTGGCCAAGGATGTGTGCCCCGAATGCGGCTGTACTAGACTCTGATTCTGATACTGCGGCCGTGAAGTGCTCAATGAGAGAGCCCAGGTCCATGTCGTCCGCAAGCCCTGCTGCCAAGTCCGCCGCTGCTCCTGCTTCCACTTCGTCGGCGACGAGCTCCTTGTTTCTCACCAGAATAGGATGGCAGCACGACTGACGAAGGCGCAGGATGTGGGCAAAGATACTAGTGAATGCCTTCATGACCGTGCCCGCTTCGACGTTCTCTCGGAACGATTGCTTGGCTCTCGTAAAGATATAGTCGTATATCTCACGTTCTGTTTGGCTTAGTTCTACGTCGACAATCTCGACGTGTTTCGGAGGCAGTGGCACCAAGCTTGTAGAGGTTAGCAACGCCCACCGACCAAAGGAGGCAGTACTCACGGTTCACCATCAGGCGTCTTCATGTCCTTGGTACGCCTCAGAACCAGGGGCTCTAGCACCGTTTGCACAACATCAAGCGCCCTCATGAAGTCCTTGGACTCGAAGGGTACTGTAATGAAGGTCTTCCAAAACGAAAAGTTGTTCCAAGGCTCCACACGCAGGAAACGGACCAGACTAAACAGATCCTCCAACTTGTTGACGATTGGCGTTCCAGTCAGCGCCCATCGGTGTTCGGCAGATATTTCGTAGCACGCCTTGGCAGTTTTAGACCCTCGGTTCTTGATGTGATGGGCCTCATCGAGAATGACGCGGAAGAAGTTCAGGGAAAAGATGCCAGTATGGGAAGACTTGTCGATCTTCTTGGAGGCGACTTGATTGAACTCCGACAACACCACGCCGTAACTTGTGATGACCACATCAGGAGCGGAAGCCGCGCTTGCGGCACAGCATATAGCCTGGAGGTTGCTAGCCTTGTCGTTGCCGTAATACACCATGGCTTTGAGGGTGCCTTCTTTCGAGGCCTTTTCCGCCTCACTCTGCCACTGGGACAGCAACGACATGGGCGCCACGACGAGTGTCGTACATGGTGCCGACAACACGCTTGATGAGTTGGAGGCGAGCCTCGGGAGTTCGTTGACAGACGTGGGGGCACTGCCATTGGCCTTGGCCGATTGGGAAATTTCAGAGCGGTGAGAGTGAACCAAGCTGAGCATTTGAATGGTCTTGCCGAGACCCATCTCATCAGCCAAGATACCACCCAGGCAGTTCTGTTCCTGAACGGGGAAATCCAGTGATAAATCGCCCGAATATGGGTTGACGTAAAAGTATTGCTGGTCTTGAACCTGAGGAAGCTCCTTTTCGTCCGTATCTTTGAGTGGCCAGGCATACTCCTCCCACAAGGGGTGCATGCTCGGCTCTCGGTTGCTCTTCTGGTCCTTCTCCTTTGTCATCATCCAGTGCAATGCTTGCTTCTGGTATGGCCTCAGGTCCATGGCGAAGGTATCTGCAGGCTCTGCCTCCGGTGTGTTGAAGTCAAAGGACTGGGCTTTGCGGTACAACGCATCTAGTTGGTCTTGCTCCAGCTCTTCGCCATCCTCTTGTTCTTCTGAAGGAGGTGAAGATCCCGGCTCTTTGGCAGTTGGCTTGGATGAATCCTTTTCCTTGTTGTCATCCATCTCTGCGGCCTGAAGCAGCCCTTGTCGTTGGCTTTTGCTTGCGGTCGCGTTTGCCCTAGTGGGCTCGAGGTTGACCTCCTGCAACAACTTCACCAGTGCTACCTGTCGAAGACGCAGTTCCTTCTCCTCTGACGACTCCTTTTCCTCGAAGAATCCCGCTGCCCTGTTGTCAGAGAGGGTGAATCCAGGTCGATGAAAAGCTGAGGCTAGCAGATAGCACTTCAACTGGATGAAAACGGTGTCGTTGGTTCGCAGTCGCTCTGGGGCATAGACGCATACGCCCTCAAACTTGCAGATTTTCTGGTCTATCAACGTCGAGACCCATTCGGCCGTCTCCTTGGCCAACCTGCCGATCTCGGACCCGCTGCCATTTGTAAATCGTACCATTACATCAACTCGTCTCGAGGCGGCGGATGCACCACGGGGAGCAACAGTTGCAACGCCAAGCTTTGTCTTTATCCGCGTAGCCTGGGGCGGCTGGACCTTCTGCCGTTCAATCTTCACTACGTCTCCATGATTGAGCAGATTCGTGCCGCTGCGAGTAGCCCAGCCTTCGACGCCAAGTGAGCCAATATATCGAGCTCCAGCCATCGTGCGTCGGATGACGGGTTTCGTAGGGTCTTCCATCGGCGAATCTTGTGGCGGCGGGTTGGCGGTGGGAGGGGAACGTCGGGTAAAGGCATCGAGGGAGGGAGGCTTCTTCTTGAAGTCCTTCCACGTGCCATCGAAGTACATGTTGACCGCACGCTCGAGGTTGTTCCCACAACTGTCCCGGATTACGTCCAGCACCTCTGCCGCAACCTTGTCTCCAACGAAGCTCTCAAAGGCCTCCTGGTCGAACGTCATGGCAGACTCGTCGCGCTGGGTGTCCGCAGGTGGGACGGAGCGGTTACAGGCATCTTCAACCGGTTGCTCGACAAGAGGGCCGTGAGAGTTTGTGGGCGATGATGGGGGATGAGCATCTTCGCTTTTGATTTGGGTAGACTCTTCGTCAACATCCTGGAAGAAGCGCTGCTTTGGGTGCGTTGGCGGGGTGGGAAGCGCCGGACTGGATTGGTGGCTCAAAGCATCTTCGTCGGTCGCGAAGAAGCGTCTCCTTTTCGCCGGGGGCTCGGGAGATCCTGGATATTCCATGGCAGCTCAATCTCCTGCCGCCATTGAGGAAACGGGCAAAGCAGGGCGTACTGGAATTGCCACTGTCACTGGACAAGACCACAAAAAAGTAGCCCGGTCTTGCTGACCCAGGAAACTGGAGACGCGTGGCGATCGGTCCGGCGCGACTGGACCGCGTCGGGTCATCATGTGACCGCGTGTTGGCTGACATAATTCAATTAAGACTTGCCTAGCTAAGACGTCATTACAGGAATTGCAAAAAGTTCGACCTCGGGAATTGGGTGCATCGAAGGCGGAAAAAAAAAGGCAGGGTCCCACAGCCATCGAGCTGCACCTCGCAAAGGACAGAACCAGCAGCCCCGACATGGCGCATCACACAAGTGCACTTTCCTGAATGAATCGCACACGGATCGCCGGCCATGGCCTGAGAAGGCTCATCCAGACCCCTCCACGGGGTACTCGGGGCATTGTTACCGATGCAGACGTCGTCAAGGCGAGGAAGTACTGCCAGTCGCAGCTCCAGTACGTCTGCCTCGCGATCCCACCTCCAGTCCTCTCATATCCATTGCTAACACAAGTCTTAAGACACAGCGACTACGATGCCCACCTAATCAGCCGCCTTGTCCCGGCCCGCACGACGGATGCCTACCTTGCCCTCCGCAACCTCAACCTCGAACTCGTCCGCCTCCCAGAGCTTGTCTCGAACCCGGTCATCGGCCAGATGCGCATGCAATTCTGGCGGGATTCCATCGACAAGACCTTTTCTGGCAACCCTCCCGCCGAGCCTATCTGCGTGCTGCTCCACCAGGCCCTTCAAGACTTACGCGCGCGGTCGACCAACAACACGGCGAGCTCGATCAAGTTCTGGGTGCACCGGCTCATCAAGACGCGCGAGAAACACATGGACAATAGGCCGTACGCGTCGCTAGCCGCATTGGAGGAGTATGCAGAGAACACATACTCGACGCTGATGTACGCCACGCTGGCTGCGATGCCGCTGCGCTCGATGCACGTGGACCACCTCGCCAGCCACATCGGCAAGGCGTGCGGAATCGTGGCTGTACTGCGCGGCATTCCCGTGCTTGCGGCGCCGCAGCAGCAGCCTGCGAAATCTCACGCCGGGCCTGGTGGTGGGCGCCAAGACCCCGCGCTGCTACTTCCGCTGGACGTTATGGCAGAGGCCAATCTGCGCGAGGAAGACGTCTTTAGATATGGGCCGCAGGCGGAGGGGTTCCAGGACGCCGTGTTCAAAGTGGCGACGCGAGCCAACGACCACCTCATCACGGCGCGCGAGATGCTCAAGAACCTCAAGGCCGGTCAAGAGGCAGGGCACGAGTTTGAGCATCAGGGCGAGGCGGAACATGTGTACGAGCACGAGGAAGACGACACGCAGCGGGACATCCGACGTGGCTTCGGTGTGCTGCTTGAGTCGGTGCCTGCTCAGGAGTATCTCACGAATCTCGAAGGGACCAACTTTGACCCCTGGGCTGTGAAGGCAAGCTGGAAGCTGCCTTGGAGGCTTTGGCGGGCAACGAGTAAGAGTCAGATCTAAGAGCCGTAGTGGCGTTGTACAGCTGCCATTTTGCGGAATTGTAACAGCATCTGGTTGCTATGTAGTATATCGCTGTAAAATTAGCTTGGCCTTCACATATAGGCCGTGTAAAAATGTAATCTTGCTCTACTAAGCATCTTTTAGACATTGTGGTGGAGTGAAGCGTATCAAGAGACCCTCGTTGATGACAATTCCGTCACCTGGATTGGCCGGTCCATCCACGAGGACAGCGCGGGTGATCGCGCGACACCGCCGTGGCTGAAGCTCTCCTTCAGCCCCACCTTTCTCTCATGTTGCATCAGCCACACCTCGGAAAATTCCATCCTGTGGCGCATGACCCCGAAATAATTTGGCAATCGCAAGCTGGAGCTCTCTGCGAACCTCGAATCATCTCCAGTATAGCGTCAATGTCGGTCACAAGATGTTGTACGAACTCATAGGAATCGTAAGTCATTATTGCCTTTCTTTACGACGCATTACGCTCGAGAATATAAAAACTGACATCGCCGCTAGGTGCGACCGGGCAGCCTCGCCGAGGTGAAGGAGTACGCGCTCCCTGAAATCCCCATCCCCTTCAGTCCCAACCCAACGCCTCTCCCTCTCTCCGATCCCCAGATTCCGCATCTTTGGAGAACGTATCCTAACAAAAACTCCCTAGAATCGCCCTCACCGCCGGCCAAATCATCCTCCGCAACGGCGGCGTCATTCGCGGCATCTCCAACTGGGGCGTCTTCACCCTCCCGCGCCCCGTCTCCAAGGCTCAAATGAAGCACAAGAGCGGCCACTACTTCGTCATGCGGTACGATGCCTCCTCGTCCACACACGCCGACATGCGCACCACCATCAACCTCGACCCTCGCGTCATTCGCACCGCCCACGTCAAGCTTGGCGATGGCAAGCTCGAGACTATGGCCCGCTTCGGCGACGTCAAGTGGGATCGGTAGACACTCTCTAGAGGGGATGTGGGATGTTGAGAAGGGGTAGAGCAGATGAAAATATATGATCTGGAAAGGGGATGCAGCCCCAGGACAGGACGGCAGACCCCCGCGCCGGGTGGCTGAGAACCAGCACCAAAAAGATGGACGGTGTATGATAGGAGAACGCCCCGAGCCGGCGCCGGGGATATTCAAATGCACATGTAGAAAGCCGACAACAGATCGGAGTGTACAATTACGTGGCACGCCACTGACACAATAGACGGAAGGATGTCCTGAAGCATAGTCGGTCAACATTCAAACTTCTACTTGCTTGGTATCGTCACTTGGAATCCCAACCTAGTGTCAATCTGAAGTTTGTTCAAAACTGCAAGCGCTTGGCTAATGCTGAAAATCTCATACACTGGTTATGATGCTCAGCTCTGTTTCCCCGACGCCTGCTCTAGTGAGTTGAGCGACCAATGCTGTCAACGGACAGCCCGCTTCTATGTACCAAGTCTGAATGTGCGCTGATTCGCATTTCGTCCTCTGTCGTGGGAATCATCCCAGTCATTATCTTAAGTCTTCCGGGGGCTTTAGCTTCGTAGCCTCCTCTGAAGGCTTCTCCGTGGCTTTTACGCATCCAAGTCCATCGTCTCGGCCTTACCGACTCCTCTTTCCTTGCACCAAGCCACAAAGTCATCGATCACGCTTGGCCACGCACCATCTTCGCTCCAGAATGATAACGTCTCGTCTGCCATCGACTTGGTGGCAAACTCGAGGATCTGGTTCCACATGTCGCGGTTGACAGACCGGGTCCACTTCTCTTCAAGGAACTTCAACCACAGCTGCAACCAGTCCTGGTTTTTCGTCTTCCACAGCCAGCCAGGGGGCGAGAACAGAACGTTCCAGTAGACGATGGCAATCTCGAGGTTGAGAGCCTTTTGAGTGGGCTCCTTGCTGGCGACGAAGGTGTGTCGGTATACCTTTCTGAAGTACGCCGGGTCGGTCGACAGGCTGCTCACCAAAGACTTGATGTGGGCAACGTGCGCTTGACGCGTTGCGGCACTACAGACTGATCAGTCACATAGACTCAACATCGAAGGGACCGTCTTACCCAGTTGCCTTCCAGCCATCGACATAGCCTTTTCTCGTGACTTCGCCGACAGAAGGTGCCTGGAGGAGCTCCATGACGACTAGAAGCTCGGCATTCTCGAGGTTGACGCCCAAATCCTGGAGGTACGCCATCGTTGAGTCGAGACCGAGCGAGTCCTTTTCATCCTTCGAGTCATCTACACAGCATCAGCAGTGTTAAGGTAGGTACGACTCCGCGCTCCGTACCTCTGAGCTTGTCGAACATCTGATTTAACGAAGTCTCGAGTGCTGAAGTTGTGGGCGTGGAAGCTCCACTCCCGCCAGAGAAGTACCTAGTGATGGCATGTCAGCTTCTAGTCCAGATAACCGGTAGAAAACGGCAAATGGTCTATCAAAGCAATGCAGAACGATGAAACCCCCGACCAGGTCCCCAGAAAGGTGTAAGTCAACTGGCAGCTTTGCTCAGGACACATCAAAGTAAATGGGCGGAATACCCAGATTGGTTCTTCTCTTCAATAAGCAGCCCATGTTTGGGTGTTTTTCGTTTCGATGACCACAAGTTCAGGCCTTTGGTAGGCAACGCTCTCTTGACTCCTTTCCAACCCATCTTGTCGTGACAGCAGTGTTCTCGGCGTCAATCAACTCACAGGCGCAAGGCTCACATGCGCAATGTAGAACTAAGCACGTTGACTAGCACCAAACCTAGGCAAAATGAATAGTTGCAGAAACAAGGTGAGACGTGTGCTTGTCAGCCTGCAGTCGATTTGCTGAGATGTTTGGGTAGACTGAGTGATGTTTGCCGGATTCTCCTTTCAAAGAACGTTCGTGATCGTCGCGTATGAGTGGCACCGGGAAGTCAACCAGTCCAGTCCGTGAGGCGAGGCGCTGGTGTCAACTAGGTCGACTACTGGAAAATAGCTGCTGGCTGGTCAAAGCAACCCGAGTGGCGGCTGCCACAATAGTTGGTTTCTTTAAGGGCCATTTGTGCAGATTGAATGTTTCAGGAGCATTTGATTGTCGGCGTCGCCTCGGCCTTTCTTCTGCTATGCGGACAACAACGCATCCCCAAACGGAGAGTCGACTGTGACCTCGTAGCTGCAGAGTGCCTTTCTCTAGGGAGCGCAGTGCAGCGCAGCGCAGCGCTTCGAGGGAGGGTGGGCGCAATTCCCCCGCAAAAGGTTATTGTAGAGCGAGCCCACGACCCAGCAAGTGAGGTACCAAGGCCATATCCATGCGCTGCGCTGCAGGCCCAATTGTCCGAGAAGGGCCGCCGCACGCTTGAGTCCGATTGATGGATGGTCCGGAAACCCCTCGGAAGGGCGGTAATTGGCAACGGCAGACCCAGCGAAACCGGGCAAATGACAACGGGCGGGATGAAATGAAACAAAACCGAGGCAGAGACAAAGGAAAGCCCATGTTGGTTATGGGGAGGTGCACTTACGCATCGACAGCTTCATTCAGCTTGTAACCGGCATTCTTGAGGTACTAAATGCCATGCATAGTCAGCATTGCGTCCTCTTCGTGCAATGGCACGTTCCAATCGTCTTCTACTGCCTGCCCCCCTCCTCCCCCCCCAGCGAGCTGCAGCTCCGGAGTCCAGTCAATCAGCCGGACAGCGCATTGCAACGCTCCATTAGGTAGCGAAGCACGACAGCTCCGATGTTTCTCCGTCAGCCCAACGACATGGCCCAAGTATTGCGAAACTGGGGAAGACGACGGGGAGGGTGAGAGTAAGAAACAAGCAGAAACGGGAAGGAGAGCAGCGTAGGCGGAAGACGGCTGGACGGTATCACTTTGAGTGTTCTTCAGTCGGACATACCCGTTGCGCAGTTCGATCGCTCGCGCCAGTCAGCTGGACGAACTGAGTCGTCATGGCCTTCTGGGACGTGGATGAAGGAGGCATTGTGACGGCAGATATTCCACCTCAATCTGGCCACAGTATCGCTGCAGCAAGGTCGGTTCTGGTATCGGCGACCGAAGTGAGGGGGATCGCGTGACGCAATCGGTCGCTACCGAATCTCGTTGACGATGCGACGGGGAGGAAGAGTCAGCGACGTAGTTACAGGTGCTGGACTCGTCGGTGGGTCGGCTATCGTGGATGCGTAGGCGATTGAGTCGACGACGCGAGGTTCGTGTAGATCGGACGCAACGTTCTGCGTGCGAGTCGGGGGTCGTCAGAGAGATGGGTGATATGCTGGTTCGAAGGGCAGGCGTGGAGTGGAAAAGAGCTTTGGGAGGGGAGCAAGGCTGAACCTCAGGATGGTGGGGTAACAGCCAAAGAGCGGCAGCTGGAGCGATCCATGGCGGGGCACTTTGCGGTTCTTTGGCGGTAAGGCTCTCAGCGGCAAGCGGTCCTTCCAGCGTTACCTGGGCTGTCCCGCCGCGACCATCACCTTCCATGCGTTGACCCCGCCTTCCCCCCCATTGGATCTCATTCTCATGAGAAACCTTCTTCCTCACTTCAAGCCACAAGGCTCACTTCTTCAAGTTGACTTCATCATTCTTACTAGGAATATATCAGATTTTTTTTCGTTCTTATGCGTCAATTTCATCCCAAATGCACTTGTCTATAGGGACCGTCATGCTTTTTAAATGAGACTGGTCTACAGAAGCACGGTTGAGATCAGACGATCTATCACGTTTGAATCACCGAGAACCTCTGTTCCCGTTTCTCTCGAATTACGATGTATATTTCTACAATAACCCCAAGATCTATTGCAAAGTTAAACATCTTTCGAGGCTCAAAGCCTCTTACTTTTCCAACAACTGACTACAGCCGTATTATAAGTCATGACCGGGAAAGGCGCATTCATGATGCTTTCGGAAGACTCCACATCCTATTTCTCCATACAGTAGCTACTTAGGCGATGAGCATGGTCGAAAGGGAACCCCACTGGACTTTCAGCAAGTTCTTCGATGAAGGAGATCGCAGATGTGTTCCGATACTCATCACTTATACGCAATCGCTCACTCACTCGAGTCTCGGGAACGAGTACAAATAAGCAGCACGGCACGGTGCTAGAGTCCATCTTTAGCGACACAATGGAGCATCTAAACTGCCGGTATCGTACAGTGCGGACGCGAAAAGCGTCGAATGTCACTGTTCAGCCCCACAAGTCATGACGTCTACCAATGACACGGGTTAGACTTAGCAACTGGTTTAATTGATTGGAACAGGCAGCAGACGCGACTTTTTCTCGACGCGCCGTCCCGTCGCCCCAGTGAACATTGAAAGTACCTTGAACTGTGACAGCAACAGGTCCTAGCATCCACACCCTGAACCGGCTTCCTGCTCCTCTCACAGCTACACAATTACCGACATGCCATAGAATGGAGTCTCTACGCAGTCGGGACTCGAGCGAGCCGCCGATCGACCCTGCGCACCCTTTCAAGGGCGTCGTCGTGTGCTGCACCAGCATCCCACCAGACCAACGAGTAAGTCGTGATGCACACCCTTCGCCCCTCCACCAAGTCTTGCCTTCTGTTCGCCTTCGGGTTGTTAAGATGTACGCGTTCTCTGACATCTCAAGTAGACCCAAATAGCAAAAAAGACAGAGGAGCTCGGCGGCATCCACAAGTACGACCTGACTCCGGACGTAACCCATCTTGTTGTAGGCGACTATGACACGCCCAAGTACCGCCATGTCGCCAAAGAACGAAACGATATCAAGGCCATGGACGCCAGGTGGATCGATATTGTAGGGGAGTTGTGGATGAAGGACGCCGAAATCGACTTTGCCGCTCTGGAACGAGAGTGGCAGTTGAAGCCGCTCGAGACGTGCGGCGATGTCATTGATACAGCGAACCCTACCGAAGCCAAGCGTGGGACGTTGTTGCTTTGTATGACAGGCTTCGACGATCGTGAGTTGTCTCCGGCTCTACAGTTGCAAGCTATTCTAACGCATGACAGCCGAGCAACGTGCGAGCATCATCGAAAAAATCACAGCCAACGGCGGCGCCTACACCGGCGACCTGACAAAACGAGTCTCCCACCTGATAGTCTTCAAGCCCGAGGGAAAGAAATATAAGGCCGCTCGAGCATGGAACATACGCACTGTATCGCTGGCATGGCTGGAACAGAGCATCGAACGCGGAATGATCTTGGACGAGCAGTGTTTCGACCCCGTCCTGCCTCCTGAGGAGCAAGGTCAGGGGGCTTGGAACAAGCTCAACCCTCGACGGGTGTCATTAGGGAAGAGGTCGAGGTCAGGGGTCGTGGAGGTGGGTCAGAGGAAGCTGAGAAAGACGGCGAGCATGAAGCTCAGCAGCCAGAGAGACACACTCTGGGGCGACATTCTTGGCAGCAAACCCACCGGAGAGTCATCCGGACCCGGAGACAGGGCCGACAAGATCGAGGTCCAGGATTCCGGGATCCATGACCGCATGTTGCAACCCGCGCCAGACGCAGGCATCTTTTCAGCGTGTTACTTCTTCATGGCCGGTTTCGAGTCGTGGAAATCCAAGATCCTGGCCGAGACCATAGGCTCTCTGGGCGGTCAAGTATGTTCTACTTTCGAAGACTTCGCCTCCAAGGGTTATGAGGCCAGCCCCAGCCGCAGGTTTCTCATCGTACCGCAAGAGTCGCAGCCGTCGACACACTTCCAGCTTCCTCCCGTGCACGCCGACAAGATCCAGATAGTGACGGAGTTTTTTGTTGAGCGATGTTTGCACAACAAAACCTTATGCGACCCGGATCGTCACGTCTTGGGCCGCCCCTTTCCCATCTTTCCCATCCGCGGCTTCGAAGACCTGTCCATCTGCACGGCAGGCTTCTCCGGCATCGATCTTCTCCATGTAGAGAAGGCGGTCAGGCAGATTGGAGCCAAGTTCGCGGCCAGGCTCAACGATGCCACCTCGGTACTGGTGTGTAGGACGCTCACGGAGACGAGGAAGGAGAAGCTCAAGTTTGCATTCGACAACAAAATCCCCATCGTCAACTCGGAATGGCTGTGGGAGTGCATTACGACGGGGTACAACGTGCCAGTGAAGATGTATATGTTTCCGGCGCTGGGACAGGCAGATGATCTCCAACCCAAGTCAAGACGAGCTGAGCAGTATCGGGAAGACATGAAGCAGGCCTTTCAGAGGACACGATCCGAGCCCATCCCTCATATTCCAAAGAGGCCGACGGCTAGACACTCGACTGTCGCCGGAGGCATCGACACCACCGCCTTCCAAGACGATGAACACCAGAAGCCCGCGATCACACAGAAGCCGACGCCAGCTATAGGGGAGGACTCAATCGCGCCATTTGTAGAGCCAGAGAGGGACTTTGCAAAGGGGGACTCGACCGCATCGTTACAGTTTCAGACTGCCAAAACACACCAAATGGACAGCTTTGGCGCAGGAACTGTGGTGCCACCACTCTCCGACGCGACGTTGAACGCGCTGAACAAATCGCCCACCGCTGAGCGAATGGCGAAGCCCTCAAAGACGCTGGTCAGAACCACGAGCGTGGCCGACAGCATGGAGCCAACTCCTCTTCCTGTCGAGGAGGAATCAGCCCCTGTCGAAGACGAGGGTGAGCCAGTGCCGGCCGCCGGAGAAAGCCAAGTCGACACAAGGCCGAAAGACGACGAAGAGGCGGAGCTGAAGCGTCAGAGGGACGCACAAAAGGCGGCTGAAAAGGAGGCATTAACTTCGAAGCTGGCATCCCTCATTGACTTCAAACGCAGTGCCGAGAGCGTGCCCGAGGAGGAAAACTCGGGCCAGCACCAGCACCAGCAGCCGAGGCGTCCTCGCAAACGCCCCTTCGGAAGGGCCGTTAGCAACGCCTCGGCAGCATCGAGCGGGAGCACCGAGTCGCGCATGGACTCGATGGCCCGTACGGCCGACGAGTACCAGCCGCAGCAGCAGCAGCAGCAGCAGGACGCCGAGCAACAGCCGCCATCGACGCAGATCCAGTACCAGGACCCAGGCGCGCAGCAGCATCGCGACAAGATCATTAGCAAAATGCGCGGCGAGGACAGCAAACCCCCGGCCATCACCCAGCCGACCAAGAAGAAGGTGACGACGATCGGCGGTTTCGACTTTAGTGAAGAGGGTCGGCCCACCACGAGGCAACTCCGGCGCAAGTAATAGCGTAGGCCAGAGATTCGGAACCCGCACGTATCTGGCAATTTTCTGTATAAAGCATTTGGATTACTCGTTCGAGTTCGTTGTCAGGATCATCCTCCCAAGGCGTTGACCAGGGAGCACTCGTTTTTATAGCATTGCATAGCATGACAGCACATGGGTAATGAGGCCAAGACAGGGGGGTTCGGGGTTTATTCTTAGCATGGTAGCAAACAAAACATCAATCAGGGTATCTTTCATTTCGTACGTATACACATCTACGTTTCTCAGGGGGCTTGGTCCCCCGTCTCTCGCAACTCATACAGTCCCTCTCGGCACAGGTATCTTGATGCTTTCTTGGAATCGTACAAAGGGGAAAAAAAGAGTACATAAGTCTGGTTCTGTGTTTTTCTTTTTGTGTGTGTGTGCGTGTGTGCAAATCTTTCCTCCCAACAGAGTCTTTGAATGTCCTGTATTCCGAAAAAGAAAACGTCTGTTGAATCAAGTTGTATCTTGGGCGCAGCCCCGTTGCATGAATGGTAAACAGTGAAACAAAACACAACGCTGCTAGTAAAAACACCAAGTTGATACAGGAGGAAGTCATCCCAAAACACACGAATCATCGTACAAGCGAGGTAGCCAGGGAGGGGCTGGGAAGGCCAGAGGATGGCCTACAACACGGACGCCGCCTCGGTGAGGACGCTGAGCAGGCTTGCCGCAGCACCGCCAATGCCCACGGCGCCCAACGTCTCGCCCCAGGCCTTCTTCTTGTCCCGCCTCTCGCGATCCGAGCGCTCGCGGTGGTGTCGCCCTGGGTAGTGGTCGCGGTCACGATGTCTATCCCTGTGCCCGTCACGGTCACGGTCACGGTCGCGATCGCGGTCGCGGTCCCGCTCGCGCTCACGCTCACGGTCTCTGTAGTGCCCGTCGCGGTCCCTGCTGTCGTAGTCCCTGTGCTCTCGACGAGAGGGGCGTCGTCTCCTTTCGCGGTCGTCACGATAAGACCGCGGCGAAGAGGCGTGCGGGTCGAGCTCGTGCGGCTCCGGGTCGAAGCGCACATGATTCTCATTCTTGTTCTTGAGGATTGGCTTCGGCTGGACCGTCGCAGCGGGAGAGGTGCCTTTCTCGCGGTCCGAGGGCGGTGGGACGATGTAGTACGTCTTGTTGCCCTTCTTGTTGTCGTCCGGGTAGCCTGTGTCGGAGGAGTTGTCGGACGAGTCCCAGAGGTGTTCTTCCGAAGAAGAGGTCTGGGAGTCGCCGCGGCGGCGTTGGGGGAGGCGTGGCTTGTCGGTGCAGGACCAACAGGGCCGCCGTTAGCGCTGCCGTTGTGACGTCTCGACGAGCGTGCTGCGCGTGCCTCGGCGGAAAGGCGGGCGTAATTTGTGATTTCTTCGCGGGTCAGGACACCGAGAACAGCGACGTAGTCGGGGCGGGCCTCGTAGCGGACGCCGGCACGCTCAAGAATCTCGGGGGAGACGAGGGCACGGCGGATGCGGGTCCATTTCGCTTCCATGGGGATGTTCAAGCCGTAGCGATCCGGCGCGATGCGGGTTTGGGACGTCCGCGGGGAGGCCCCGTATGCTGAGGGAGAGGGACCGCCGTTGCTGACATGGGATGGAATAGGGGGAATGAAACGCGGCGAGACGCCGGGATTGTTGGGGGAGGAGGAGAAGTCTTCAGCAGCGCGGGCGGCTGCTACGTCTGGTGGGAGGTAACGCGAGGAAGGCGAGGCGGAGGAAGGAGAGGTGCTGTAGTTTTGGGCGGCGGAGATGCGGAGGTTCTCCATGCCGCTGTTGACTGTGTCCATGGCCATGAGATCGCGGGTCGAGATGAGGGCGAGTGTGTCGTTGTGCTCGTCCTCCATCCCGTTCTCCTTCTCATATGTAGACAGGGTGCTGTACTGATTTGGCATAACGGGCGCGGATCGCTGGTCTGCTGCCATGCGGCGATCCCCTCTCACTGGCGGGGCGTAACGGTCGTCGTATGAGCCGTAGGTCTCTCCTGGGCTACTGGCGTCACGACCTTGGTAAGTTGCTGGCGTCGCAGCCATAGCTGGATGCGAGTGTTTGCGCTCCTGTGCGAGGAGGCCGCGGACAGAGGGCGGTGCTGTGGCATCATTGCCGGTTGATTCTTCCAGCTCGCGGATGTAGGCACGCAGGACCTCCTGGATGAGTGTGTTAGTTATGTTTCCAGCTTGAATATCTGCTCATGACCTCGTACCTTGTTCTTCCGCAGTACTTCTTTGGAGAAACCCTCCTGTTCCAGCTCGGTGCGGAACTGCTGCCACAGGTCCTCGTCGTCATCGCCAATGCCACTATCTCTTCTAGCGAATAACCTTGCAGCGATGGCATCCACCTTGTCCTTGATGTTGTCGAGGTTCCCACCCTGCTCATCCACGATACGCTGTGCCTTGCTTGGGTTGTGCAACTGCACAGTATCGAGGAACATGTCGATATTTGTCTTCTGGTCCGCGAGCTTGGAGCGAATCATGGCGACCATGTCGCGCTCGCGCTCCTCGAGGCGGGTAGCCTCACCATACTTTTCAAGGATGGTCTCGAGCTGCTTGAGGGCGAAGTCGCAGTCCTCGACGAGGGGCGTGAGCTGGCGTGCGTAGACGGACGAGGCGTCTGAGTTGAGGAGCGAGTCCGGGTCCTCGGCCTCGACCCTGAGGTGCTTGAGAACGGTGTGCAGGCGGCGGACGGCGAGCGCGATGTCTGCAAAGTCAGGCCCGGACGTCTTCGCGCGGCGGTAGAGAGCGCGCGCGAAGGCGTCGACGGCGCCGAGATTGGGGACTGGGGTACCGTTGCTCATCACGGCGGCGTGACGGGATCTTTGGTGGTTGTGGTCAGTATCGGTGGCTTATTCTGCTCGGTCGACGAGCAGATGTCTGGTTGGTAAATATTGTGATGTTGTTGGGTGTGGACGGTGATGGCGAGGGTGTCAATGAGACGGAGAGGAAGAGAGACGGAGGAGTATTTCCCCTTCCAAGGCCTGCGTTGCTCGCGGGACGGCCGCAGGTGTAATTGTACTGGAACACCGCGTCGGGTTGGGATCGACGGTAATACGCAATAGGGAGGGCGGGTTAAGACCAGGGAAAGTGATGACAGTCAGGAACAGTAATAAAGATGCGGCATCAGAGGAGATGCTCTGAGGATCCCAGTTAACCAGGGGTGTGCGTGCGTGCGTGCGTGCGTGAGTGAGAACGTGGGTGACGGAGGATGAGGGTTGAAAAAGGAAAGGCTGGTCCGCAGGTGGAGGATATGAAGAGAGAAGATCACGAGGAAGAAGGCGAGCGAGGGTGATTTGTGATGTGCGACGTAAGGTCCGAGAATAACTTCAGGTTCAGTGAGGGCAGATCAGAGCAAGACCGGGAGATCCCAGTGTCGACAGGCAAGGAGGTAAAAGTACACACAGTGTTGCGGGGGAGAGGGAGAAAGGTAGTAAATTGCAAACCGAAGACCTTGCTTGTCTACGGGCGCGACAAGGCTAGGTCAGTAAACAACGACTAGGCGAGAGAGAGAGAGCATCAGAAGAAGGTGGTGGCCCAAAACGGGGGCCCTCATGGCGATATTGTCATGGAACGTTTAGAGCCAGATGGGTGATGGTGACTTCGACTGTCAATTCCCGGAGGGGGAGAGGCAATGGCAGACGGACAGGGGGGGTCGGGTTGTACCTCGCCGGTGTACTCTACTTGAGTCCGTCGCCTTGGACGCGGCAGCAAATCATGTGGTTGCAACTCAAGGATGACTCCCACACGGCCCCGCGTCGCTTGGAGAAACAGATGACTTTTTTGGGATCGCACCGGGAGAAAGGTACCTCGCATGGAGGGGGGGAGCAGAGGGGCTCTCTTTTCTCAGTCAGCAACGTCAATGGGTGGCTTAACGAGGACGTGTTTGCGTGTATGCGTTCCTCCAGCAGCGGATCTGCGCCGCATCCAATACCTTCTTTCCATTTGTAACGATGGTGTGGAGGAAGGGGGACCGAGCCTTGAGCAGGTACAGGTAGCTAAGCTGTTTGGAGGGCGGACAGACGGGAAGCCGGATGTCGAGGAGGACAAACGTCAAGGCAGAGAGGCTTTGCTGTACTGCGTAGTGTAGGGAGAGTCCAGAGTGACAGTGACGGTGACAGTGACGCCCAAGCTGCCACGGCGATCAAAGAGGCGCGCCAGGCATCAGGAGGATGTCGAGGCACACAAAGGCGACAGAGTACACTAGGTACTTTGCTTGGCCTTGCTGATGTGGCCCTCGGGAGCCGGTGACTGTGAGGGGGCTTGTGATGTAGTGGTGGTGGTGGGATGTGGGAGCTTGCGCGATGCGAGACAAGAGCAGAGCTTTCCAGCTTCCTGCAGGTGCTGCGAGTGACGTATGGCCGCCAGATCCATGAAATCATACCGTCCGGGGGCCACAGAGAAGACGAGACAGGGGGACCGTCAGCGGCAGGGAGGTCATTGGCTGAGATCGGCACCGTTTGCTGCCCGGCTGAGCTTAGTTTCGCGGGCGGGCCAAAGACCCTTCCCCCCCTTCTCAAACCCTTTCCTTCGGGTCACTTGTCTTTGCCTCTTGTCTCTTGCGTACCTCTTCTGCCTGGGTCTGCTGAGCGGGTACATGGGAAGACAAAAGGCACTGGCAACCGGATTCGATCTGGTGAAGGTATCATCCGTCCATCCGTAATGTACTGTGGTGAACTTGTTTTTCGCCCTCGAGCTTCAATGAAGATGACACTCGCTCATGCCCGTTTCTCCATGTTTGCGCCCTCGCAGCGGGCCGGAAATAGCTGTCGAGAGTGCTTTGTTTCGTCGAGTTGATTGAATATGAAGAGTCTCATATGGAGGCGCTTGAAATAGCACACGACGCGTTTATGAGATACCTTTGTTTCCCGATAAGGCTGCTTTGCCAATGCAGCGGTTCACCTCAACCTTCATCACAGTCGTCATGCTAACGACAGGGGAGGTTCGGCCCTGCATGCTGTACCTAGATAGCGTGTGGGTATGGGCACAGAGGTATTCTCAGTGGGATTGCAAGGCGATGGCACCTCAGCCCCTCGCCATGCTGGCCAACCATGGTCCGGGTTCGATTTCTTGCATCGTCACCATTACTCTGGGGATGCTCCCTGGGCGGCTGGGGTGTCCCTGTTGACGGCTGCGCCACCCGTCTGGATGAATCGAGAGAGAGGGGACTTCTTTGACTTCTCTTGGCCCGCCGCGCTCGCTAACTCCCCGAGGCCCCTTTGCAGGACTCGCAGAGAGAGAGAGCCCCTTGCAAAGCCTCGAAGAAGAATGCAACCCAGAAAAGCCATCATGGTCAGCAAGGTGGAAAGCCAAAGCCAAGGCAGAACCCCAAGCACCGGCGAACAAAACCCCGGAGACGGTGCACGACACAGCGACGTGAGCGCGGGAAGATGGTTGAACCCTTCTTGGCCCCCCGGCTGACGCTGTGCGCTCACGAACACTGCGCGGCAAGCTGCAGCAAGGCAGACAAGGGTACTATGTACACACGAAGGCGCTCTGACAAGAGCAACACAAGCACTGGGACCGTCTGGGGGCCGTTGGTTCTCTCTCTTTCCCTCTCTCTGTCTCTCTCCATCGGCGGTCCCCGAGACGGCAAGTAATAAATCGAGAAAGGCCCCCTCGTGTCCTCGTCCTCGTCCTCGTAAACCCCCCGGTTCATGCTCATGTTCGTGTCTTGCATACCCGTAAGAAACGGGTCCAGTGAATGTGGGTATCGTTCGACTTGCTGCGCAGAATACGGAACAGAACTTGCAGCGCTTGCAGCATTGGAACCGATTGGAATACGGGGGGGCAAAAAGGGCGTCTGGGTTCGGGTTTGCATGTCGGTTCGTCTTGGCCTCGCTAGACCAAAAGGCGTCTCCGGTGGGCTGCCGCCGTATCGAATCGAGACTCCAACACGAAGAGGCGCTAACGCAGGCTTCTAGAAGCTCTGGTCCGTTCGGTCCGTCAAGGGTCTGTGAGCCATGTTCCAATGGCAAACGGGCAAACATTGCTCAGTCAGAAACCCAGACGTCCGTTTCGAAAGCCACTTCGCCAGCAGCTGCATCCCCCTACCTACAGAAACACGAGAGCACAAGACGCACGGAGCTCGAAACGACGAGACCACGTCCAGAGTTTCTGCTGACGAACATCCTCGCGGCAACAGAACCGTCGCTTGTCGGTTTGCATGTCGTGTCTTGCCTTGCAGAAACCGTGTCGGAAACATGCACTTTTCGCTGCGTCTCCGACAAACCCACCCAACTCTTTCTCTCGTCTGCGCCATTGCTTCCCAGATGATCTGATCTCTTGTCTCCTCCTGTAGCGCATGACTGGGCTTTGCGCAACCTCCTTCTCCTTGTCCGCCATGCGTCTTCACGCGAACCTTGCTTCTTGTCCTGCCTGCCCATCCTACACGGGGTTCGTCAATTCGTCGTGATCTATTGCTGCTGATTCCTGATACTCTTCCTGCAGAGTACCGATATTTGCCTTTTCCTATCTGGCCGCAGGATGAGTGGCCAGCAGCAGAAGATATTCGCTAGTCATGCAGTAGTGTTGCAGCAAGCTGCCCGATAAGCCACATCAAGCGCAGAATCAGGCTCGGTGAATGGATTCTGAGCGTCGTAGCTGTCCACAGCCATACAGCACTAACCATTCGACAAGAGCTGTCGCCTGTTGTCAGCACCAACCAGAAGCGTGGCCAGCGAAGCATCTCGAGCTTTGCCCACGCTCTCCACGGTGGCAGCGCCCCGAATGTGCAAAGCCACCACCCTACCATCTGCATGGTCCCATTCGGAGGGCGGGAAATCGATAGTCACTCTTTCTCCCTTTCCCATCTCTTCCTGGGGTTTCGTATGGTGGGCTGCTAGGCTGGTGAGACTAGTGAGGCTGTCAGATTTTCCTCGGCATCTCAACTTCACCACTGGCCAGGCAGCAACCCGCCCAGCGAATGGGACTTTGGACGGGAGCTTGCGCCGGTAGGCATGTCCACGTCTTTCGAAACGCGAGTCCAAGAGAGCTTGGGCCTCTTTGCGTCGGTACCGGTATGCCCTCTGTCGGGATCATCGCCCTTTGACCATCTCTGCCACATGCCCGTTGGCAAGCCGAGGGATGGACTAACTGCAAAGACAAGACGCTTGGCTTGGTAATTCAAAAAAACGTTGTTGCTATGCTCTCGATCGCCTGACTTTGCGACAATGGCCGGTCGAGGAAAGCCAAAGGTCGGATCTTAGCTTTGATACAGCTGATTCAGCAGAATGTGTCAAGCTCAGGCCTGGAGATGGAAATGGATGTTTAGAGACCAGTCGAGTAGCTCGACAAACTGTGTACATTCACCATGGGAAACTGCATCTTAGTCTTGGCCTGAACACCGGACGAATCGGACCCCTTTGAACTTTACCGTCGGTGTCATACGGAGAGAGCTGCCACGACCTTAACCAACCAGCCCTGCCGGGTCATCTTCATGTCAGCTGCGCTAGAGCTTCGTCGATTGTTAGATCAATGCAAACTTTATTATGCTAACCATGTGCGGCTCTCAGTCAGTCGCCTGTCGGATAGCTTCACCGACTGGAACCGGTGTCGCATCGCGGCGACGAGGGAGAAAATGTACGCTTCGGTATCCGTTCATTTGGTATCTTTTCAGGGCTTCTGACTCGTCTCCTGACATCTATTTCCTTTTTCCATCTTTTGATCTTCATTTTTGGTTCACTGCCACAGGGCGCGTTGCATTGCCCCGGATCAATCAGTCCGTGCAGCGCCATCCCCTCTTTTTGTGTTCAGCCTTAACTCCAAAGCCCGTAATCTCACATGTGGGTGTGGGTGGTTCCTTGACACACATCGCCGTCTGACATGCGGCTCAAATGGAGATTCTCTCCAGAGAGTATGCCTTGACTTTCTGACTCAGCAAATGTCCCTTCTCACGGGAGCTCCTCTCGAGCACCTCACCGCCCGAGACAATCTTGAGGTTGGACACGTTCTGCTTGGACACGAGCCCCAAAGGCAGATGAGGCGAGCTCTCGACATCCAGCGATACCGGCTTAGCAAGGGCTTGCGCACGCCCGGAAGGAGCCGTCTTGACTCCAGCCTTGACTGCTCTGCCGTATTGAACCGCCTCGCCGACGATACCGTCCAGGTAGACGGCCTCGTTCAGGCCCTCCAAGGCTGCGCTGACTTCGAGCTTCAGTGCCGTGATGAAGTCGGCCGCGTCCGCACGGTCACCCAGGGATGTGCCATTTGTAAGCCATCCGCTGGGTCCGACGGAATCAATGCATCGGGACAGAAGTTCCGCGATGAGCGAGATGGCGCCATCTGGTGGTGCTCTCGCGGCCTCGTCCTTGTCGAAGTTTGTCGCGTCGACGTACCTTGATGTCCAGGCACTACCAATAAGCTGCACCCGCAGCAAGTGGATGAGTGACAAGACCTCCGTCGGGTTGAAGGTTTCACGAAGAGCCCGCACTGTAGCGATTGAAGAGTAGTTGGAGAGCTTCTCAAAGGCCGTCGTCAGGGCTCGTGCGCGGAGGTTCGAGTCGTCGCCCAAGTGATACTCGGCCAGCTCGAGCTCCTTCTCAAGATGATCAATCTCCATCGCCACGTACTCTTCCTCCTTTGTCTCCGTGGGTGCAGGGAGCAAAAGTCTCGACTGCTGGTCGAGGCTACGCATGATGATACGAATGACCAGGAGGAGCTCCTTCTCGCCAAGCTTGGTGGCTGAGACGTAGTTCAAGAGAAGCTCCATGGCCGGATCCATGTCAACAAGTCGCTGGACAAGCTTGTCGATGATCGATTCCTTAGAAGCCACCTCGGCCAGCTCGCTCTTGAAGGCGGCAGACATGTTGGCGTTGGTGAGATGGCCGGCAGCGATGAGATAGATCATGACATTGCTCGCGGGGAGCATGCAGCGAAGGAGACCACCTTCCACAGCCTGAGTATCCATCGAGAACACTCTGCTGATGGCGTACAGCACCCACCGGCGGTCAACTGCAGGATACTTGTCAGAACGTTCCAGCCACTTCCAGTCGGGCGTCTGGCCTCCAGTAACCTCGGCGTCTTGGTCGATGGCAACTCCGAATCGCTGTGCCAAGAGACCCTCGAAGGCCTTCCAGTCCTGTGCCAGGAGGTATCCGTCCGCCTTCTCCACATCTGCCAATGATTCCTTGACGTATTCGTCGGACAGTGTTCCGGGAAGGTAGTCTTCGAACGTCGAGTTTCCAGTCTTGGGCAGGCTTGCTGGTACGCGATCCGATCTCGGTAAGCCTCGTCCAATGGAGTCGATAAGAAGACCTTCCTTGCCGTGGGACTTGGGGCGCTCAATCTGAATGGAAACCAGAGTGTTGCCAACAACCGCAACTGCCATGTCCAACTTGGATAGGAAGGTGATCAGAGTTGGCTTTTGCTGCTCGGTACTTTCGGGAAGCTGGATCGCTGTCGAAGCCTGGACTGAGTGGAACGTGGGGTTCATCATACTAGCAGAGTTCTTGGACAGGCAGAGGACTGAGTGCTCTGACAGCTGGAGGAATGAGGTGAGTTCGGGCAAAGGCAAGCGACCCTGCAACTTGGGTACGGCACTCGTAAGGTCGTAGGTTCGGAGGACAGCACCGGACAGTTGGAGGAGCTTTCCAGACTGGATGTGAAGTTGGTAGGTAGCGGCCTCGGCTACGACATCATCCTGAGAAGGCAAGGGCGTAACGTGAAGTTGGACCAATGGCTGCGAAGAGACAGTCGGCAGGACGCCGAGAATGATGAGGAACCTCGAGGTCGAGTCTTCGCTGTTGGTACGGACGACTATGGCGAGTACGTCCGGGTTGAAGGTCTTGGGGTCGATCTGCCGCCCAAAAGAGCCAAAGGCGTCTTGCCTGCCCTGGAACAGCCCATTAAGGACTTCTGAGGCCGCAGCGTGGAGAGAAAACTCGACCTCATACTTGGAGATGGTCGATGGAAGCAGATCTTTGCACAGGTTGTAGGAAGATGCGCTCCACTTCTGCTCTAAAGCTTCTCCGTCCAAGCATAGAACCTGCCCGTCTCTGCAAAGGCCAAGCACGTCGCCCCTCTCGGATTGCGAGACGTCGCTCACAACAGTAGTATCAACAGCAGACGACGTGAAGAGGTAGGTGATCGGGGACTTGTGGCGCACTCGCTGGGATGTGCTGGTAGAGTTCGTCTTGCCGGTTACGTCGATGGCATCGCGGCAGAGGGTGACCTTTGCGCCTGTCGAGTCTTGCGTCGAGAGGTATGTGTAGTTGTCGCGACCGCTTGCGCCGGCTCCCTGGTATCGAATCGAATGCGGCGCGCAAGTGAAGGACTCTTGAGGCGGGATCGGGTAGGATGTTCGCAGACCGGAGGAAGGGACCTACCAGGGTTAATCGGATGCCGTGATGGGTTGAGAGATCAGAGTACTCACATGATAGATATTTGCTGCTTCTCCGTCGACACCGACAACGACCTCCAACCTCTTTCTCTTCTTCGAGCCAGGCTTTTGTGTGTAGACCTCTCCGATATGGTACTGGCCCTTTGTATGGTCGAGCGGACGAGGCAGAGAAGCCAGAACGTCTGGTCGGTGGATACGGAAAGTGGGAGCCATTTTGGATTTTCGAAAAGCTTCAGGTTATGACAGCGATTCTTCTGGGTTATTGGCAGTGCCTGGGTCTAGGTGCAACTGCAATGGCTCTGGTCAAGCTCAAGGACCCGGCAGTGTAAGTGATGGCTTCGATCTCGAGAAAAAAAAAGTTGGGAGGACTCTGCCGTGGTGGGGTGCAGCCACAAAAAGCAGGATAGTCTCGCACTGTCATGTACGGGAGAATAATGCGAAGAACCACAGTGCGCGCATCGATGGGATTCTGTTGTCGGATTAAGCCACCATCCGACCACCGATATCGATAAGATAGTCAGACGAAAGCATCGGCGATAGGTGAAAGATGGCCGATGTGGATACCTTCATGCGTACCTTAGGTAAGGTGTGGCTGACATTACTCCGTCATCAAAGTGGATCATGTGGCTGGTGCACTCATCCTGGACAGAAGTCTAAAGTGTGGTTAATGGAAGTCGCGGTACGCGCTGCCGTCCCCAGCGATTGGGACGCGGTTGAAAACGCGACTGGGGGTGATTCTTCAATAGACAACCCACCCACCACGACAACTCCTCCAAGGTTGCTTTATGTTATACATCCGAGTTGAAAGGGCTTGTCCTATGCCAGTTTTGTTTTTTAAATGATTGTCGGCGCCGAGGAAGTTGCAATTCCTTCTAGATTCCGTTTCCCTTCATACCTCGCAGCGTCTATCCGGTCGCATGCCCTCTGACGTATTCTGAAGGTGCGACGGCTCCAGCGTAAGTTCCAATGTCCACCACCACACAACCCGCCTCTCTCCCTCTCCCTCCCTCCCTCTCCACCTCGCGCTCTTTTTCTCAACATATGCTGAGGAGTCTTCCCAACTACAGCATCCCCTGGACTCATGGGAACCCTTTTGGTGGCCAACATGGCTCCAGAAGGCCTGGACGTCTCCAATCAGAAGCTCCATCCATTCTTCGTCCCAGGAAAGAACGCCGATGCCTCGAAACCCGATCCAGCGGTAAACGACCAACTTCAAGGTACTAACGAACAGACTCCGAAGAATGCAGAGGCGCGATCAAAGAAGCAGACGCGCACGTCGCAGCAACCATCGAGCGATGTCGAACCTTACTCGTCGGACATTGGCGAGGATGGACACGGTAGTAAAAGGCAGAAGACAGGCGGCGGCAACCCTCCTAGCTCTGGGAAGAAGAGGGGACGCCCCAGGAAGATACAGCCTGCCCCAGCTGTCGCAATAGCCAACAACTTCTCACAGGCCAATGGCGTGCCATTGACATCCCTTGTTAACGAAATCCCGCGAACGCCTCTTCCTGCGCCATCGCCTGCCAACAACACTGCTCTGCCCCCACTCCAGGCCCCTACTTCAGCAGTTAATGCCGACGGATACCCGCAGTCAACAGAGACCTTGGCTCCGAGTACGGGAAAGGTCGAGCCGTCAAAGCCTACGAAGGTTCTCAAGTTCAACCCCAAGACCGGTACTATTGGGTCACCGCCGAAGCCAAAACCAGGCCCTGCAGATACGGTCAAAGGCGCAAAGTTTACCAAATCGCCAACTAAGCAATCTCGCATTGTAACAATCAAGTACGGGGCTGATACAGAGTCGCGCGAACGAATTGGTCCGAAAATCGAGCAGATCCTTGCCACTCCCTCGCAGACCAAGACAACTCCGACGAAAACCACTCCTCGAAAGCCTCGTTCCAAAGCTCCCAAACCGGACCAAGACAAAATGAAGGCAAACAACACGCATCCTCTTTTCCTCGCGAAGTCGAAAAACGCTGTCAAGTCAGCAGAGACGCCTCCCGCTCCTCCAAAGCAGCCCAGGGCCACCATTTTTTCTTCAACCCCCTGCTCCCCCAAGAAGCAGCGGTTGACTCCAGCGGCTGGCAAGGTTCAGCTTCCGCAGTTTGGCGTTCGATCCATGGGACTCAAAGTGCCAGGTGCATGTCATCCAGCGTGGCCAGCCCAGGGAACTGCGCATGTCAGGGGTTTGTCGCCTGGCGAAGAGCACCTGCCAGCAAGGCATCACAAGAGTCTTTCGTCCAGGAAGTCAAAAGGACAACCCACAAACATCTTTCCGGGAGAGTCTGTCATAGATCAGCTCTCCAGGTCATTCGACACCCTCAACATCGCAAAGACAATCCAGGAAGCCACTGACGACTATGAGCCACCTCCACCGCCAGAGCTCCGACTGCCTGAGAAGCACTTTGAAAGTGGTCGCAAACTCCGCCAGAGAATCAGACCTGAACTGCGGTCTCACCTGCCGCTCAGCTCGAGCCAAGATAGCGACGATGAACTACTCACTGCATCTACCCGCAAACCTCACCCCGCAGTTGCTCGCCTTTACAACTCGCTGGAAACCAACCTCTCAGCTTACGACAGGTCGCAATGCGAGGAACTTCCCTGGGCCCATAAATATGCGCCGATCTGTGCAGAAGAGGTCCTCCAGAGCGGCCAGGAAGGTGTGCTACTGAAAGAGTGGTTGCAAACCCTCAAAGTCCAGTCCGTCGATACCGGTGCACCCATTGCAGATCAAAAGTCTACTTCCAAGCCTGGTTCAGCAACGAAGAAGAAGAGGAAGCGCAACAAGCTGGATGGATTTATTGTATCGAGTGGTGATGAAGCAGAGTTTCTGCCCGCTATTTCGGACGACGAGGATGACTGGCTGCCAACACCTGTTCATGGCAGCGCGAAGAAGACTGTGGTTCGCAAGGACGTTGGCAAGGACGCGAGCCGCCTCACCAATGCAGTGGTTCTCAGTGGACCTCACGGCTGTGGAAAGACGGCTGCGGTGTACGCTGTTGCAAAGGAGCTTGGTTTCGAGGTTTTTGAGATCAATGCCAGCAGTCGCCGCAACGGTAAGGATGTAATGGAAAAGGTTGGAGATATGACCCAGAATCACCTTGTCCAACAGCACCGCCAGAACGGCCAGGGTGACGGCGGAGACAACGTCGACAACGACACGGCAAACGACATCAAATCTGGCAAGCAAGGCACCATGACATCGTTCTTCAAACTCAAGACGGCGGCCAAGCCCAAAGTCACAGTTCAGCCTGAAACAACGGAGCAATCCACCGTGGCAGCCAAATCTGTAAAGGCAAAGACACAAAGCCAGAAGCAGTCGTTGATTCTTCTCGAAGAAGTGGATGTGCTTTACGAAGAAGACAAGCAATTTTGGGCGACCATCGTGAGCTTGATTGCTCAGTCTAAGAGGCCCTTTGTCATGACCTGCAACGACGAGACTCTGGTGCCATTCCACAACTTCGTCCTGTATGGAATCCTCCGATTCACACCACCGCCAGAGATCTTGGCAGTCGATACTCTGCTTCTCATCGCTGCCAATGAAGGCCATGCTCTTCGTCGAGCAGCCGTGAGTGCGCTTTACGAATCGAAGGGCTACGACCTCCGAGCGTCATTGATGGAACTCAACTATTGGTGTCAGCTTGGAGTTGGCGACCGTCGCGGCGGTTTTGACTGGTTTTACCCGAGATGGCCAAAGGGCTGCGACACTGACGAAAACGGTGATGTTGTGCGCGTGGTCAGCGAAGGAACGTATTTGGAGGGTATGGGTTGGGTCAGCCGTGATCCTGCAATCGTCTCTAGCCCCCATGCTGCTGAAGAGGAGTTGATGAATCAATGCTGGCAGGGCCTAGAGATGGACCTGGGAAATTGGCACGAGTCCCTCGACATGGTGTCATGGGCAGACAACGTGGCGACGTCCTCGGCTGGGGACAGAGCCGCAGCGCTGGATGCGTTTTCAGAGTTTTCCGATCTCATGAGCGCAGCCGATCTCTGCTCTGGCGGTGACTTTGGACTCAGATTCCAGGTGAGTTGACATACAAACAATCGATGGCGGTGATGCAACTAACGTGGTTGTAGGAACCACTTGATCCTACTCAACCAGGGATCCCGGTTAAAGCACGCGACGACTTCATCATGGGACGCCGCCTGCTAGAGGCTCCGCCTCTGACGACTTATACCTGCACGGCCAAAGCCATCGCCACCAGTCTCAAGTGCGGAGCTCGACAGGCTCTTCAAACCGCACCTTTCAAGAACGATACTTTAGCCAAAATGGATTGCTTCCAAGAGGACAGCGCGATCCGACGAATGAGACATTCTTTTGTCCATCCTACCCGGGACACGGTCATCAACCGCTATGACATGGCATATGCTTTCGACCCAATCGCTGTCTCGGAGAAGGCTTCAGCTGCGGTGTCCGCCAGTCTGGAGCCATCAGTCTTTGACCGCACAATGCGGATGATCACTCTCGAAGTAGCGCCCTACGTGCGTGGAATCATAGGCTACGATCATCGTCTGATGCAGGACCGGATGCAACGAAGCGGCCTGCTCAGCGAAAGTGGTAGGCCAGGTAAGCGAATGCGGAGTACTCGCGCTGCGTACTCGGCTCTAGAAGGTGTTGCGCGCGGCAATGCGCGCAAGGAGAACTACTTTGCCGCGGAACTGAGTACACCTTTGGTGATGAGAACCGGTGGCGAAAGCTGGCAAGCGGCTGTGGACGAAGAAATGAGCCTGATGAGCCCAGGGTCAAGTCCTGTAGGCGCGAATGAAGTGGACGCAAACGAAGCTGGTGGGGAGATGACAGCGCCAGTTATGAGCGTGGAGTCGATGACGTGTGATGAAATGGCTGAATTCAATAGAAGTTGAGAAAGCGAGGTTAAGTGGAGGAGTTGAAGGATATATGGAATGGCATTAGACCTGGCTGGATATCTACCTCAAATAACATGGCTAGATGCATACTCTGACACACGGAATCGCAAAATGCTGCATATCGGAAACCGGGTCTGTTGACTGACATGGACTACCGTCTCTTTTAGAAGTTATCTGACCTTCGCCGGGACCTCCTGTCTGCATACTCGGGCTCGCCTCTATAGCCCCGCTCGTCCGACGGAGACGGATACCGTTGACTTCCCCGCCGGCTCCAATCCTCAACAGCTTCGTTGTATCGCGGCCGCTGCGGACGCTCTTCCTCGAAACGACTCCTATCCGCCTCTGACCTGTTTGACTGCTTCTCATAACGAACCACCTCGTTGTCCTCCTCTGGGCCGACCCTGCGTGACCTCCCTCGGCGGTCCCCCTCGATCGTCCCCCGCCTCTTCGAAAAGCGTTCACTTGGAGAAGGCAGGTAGTCGTCGGAGTAATACGAGTCCCCGTCGCTGTCGCTTTCGTAGCCCCTCGGCCGCCCGTCGCTGCGGCTGCGGGGCGGATAATACTCCCTCTCGGGCAGCCTCCTCCTGTCGTCACGCGGGTAGTCGTTGCGATCAAAGACATTGTGGTCGTCGTAGTCGATGTAGCCGTTGTGACGGTCGCGTATGGCGTTGCGCCTGCGCGAGCGGCGGCCCGAGGGCGAGGACGAGTGCTCCCATTTTTCCTTCTTGGAGTGGACGATGCCGCGCGGCCAGAACTTGTGGACGCAGATGGTGGCGACGGCGACGGCGGCGATGAAGACTGCGGCGGTCTTAATGCCGGGACGTCGGTGTTCGCGGGGTCCCGCGGAGGAGGAGCGGGAGCGGAAGGAGGGGGAGTAGGAGCGCCGCGTCCGGGTCATGGTTGTGTTGTCGTCCCGGGTTCTGGTTAGGGCGCCACTGCGGGTGTCACGGCTGGAGTGAGACATGCGCAAGGAAGAGGGAGGCGGTGAGTCGGTAGGTGTGAACTATTGTGAGATGTCTCGGGTGGTTGACGCCGTCAGGAGGTCCGGCCGACTTGGGTATAGATGGTGATCTCGTTTCGAAGCTCACGCCGCGGTCGGGAGAGGAGAGAAAACAGAGAAGAGAGCTTCGGTCGGGGTGCTCAGAAAGGGGGGACGCCAACTGAAATGAAAATCAATGAGCAGTGAAATGATGATGGCTGTGAGTGAAGCTGGGCAATGCAAAGGTAATGAAACTTTAGACCGGCACGTTGGGCTTCTTCCCCCGGTATCAGAGCCCGAACTCTGAAGAGGAGGATCATCCAAGCGGGGGTCAACCCAGTATGCAGATCTTGGTGTTTGGCTCGGTTTTGGGATCACGCAGGAGGCGAAGAGTGCAGCGTCTGCTATGGCATAGTACCGGAAACCGATACGAACGGTGGTAGCGGCGGCGGCTGTGCGTAAAACCACGCAATGGGGGGGGGGGGGGGGGGGGGGGGGGGGGAGATGTAGAAAACAGTCCGGTCTACGGCTGGCTCGGGACGATGCCGTCAACACAGGGATCTATCTTGCGGAGTAGAGGGGGTAACGAAGAGCAGCGAGTCAAGATTTGAGACCGGCGGCGAACGGAGGGGCGGGTTGGGCCTTGGGTTGCTGGGGACGGACGGAGATAGAGTGGCAGTTGGATGAAGGTTAAGATCTTTGGGAGGATGGGCGGGCAAAGGGTCGAGACGGTAAGAAGGGGGTGGCTTTTATCAGACGGTCTGAGAGTCGGTCAGAGGAAACAGACCGAAGAAATGTGGGTAAGGGTCCTGGCAGAAGGATATATCAAAGACTGCGATTCATTTCAAGACTGCCAAACTGCCTGTCAATTTCTACGTTGCGTTACGTCAAGGACACAACCACTGGTCACATCTCCCGAGCTTGCGGGGAAATCAGCCCCAGAACGATGGGGGGGAAACGTGATGCTTCTTGCATGACGGAGAGCCCGCGGTGCAGTGGTGATGCCACTTGGACAGTTGTGCGCGCGGACGGACAGGGAAGGGCGAGACAAACCTTCCCTGGCACGGATTTGTTCCCCGGAACTCTGATGCGGTTAACGTACCGAGGGCCACGCACGTCGGGAGTCCGGATGGAAAGAACCTTGCTCGCTTCTCTCCTATCTGTTGCCTCCCAACTGTTCCGCTGCCCACCGATGGTGGGAAGCGCATTCAGGTATGTGTCTCCGATCGAGCGATTGAGTTGGCCTCGGACGAAGGAGCCGCAGCTTCTTTTTGGGACAGGCAATCTGGGAAGTTGATGCACATCTGCATTGCAACGCTGATCGGCAGAGGCACGTCCCGGTGAAGATGGGGTTGGATTCGGGCAGGGAGAGAGAGGGCGAGCCTCAGTCCTTACCGTCGGACGGCGAGACGATTGGATGAGGAAGAAGAAGGTGTGTCGGCCGTTGAGTTGGTCCAGATGAGACACAGCAAAGAGAAGGACGAATGATGGAAAGCGTGAGCGATCGATGCGGACTAGCCAGCGTGCGTGGTGTGACGTGATGGCTGGTGATTGGCTAGGCGTCGCGATCCCGTCGGGTGTGACAACAGATCGCCACGGCTTAGAGCGACGGTTCGCTCTGGTGAGTGGGAGGTTAAGGAATCAACATTCGCGATTGTATGTCTACGTTCTTTGCGAGCGACAGACGTCAGCATATACTTGTGCACGAGTGGTTCGGGCCATGCATCTATCAAGTTGCGCCCTCACTGTCATGAGAGGAACAGATGAAATGAGAAAAATGACATTGCTTGCATCCAGAGACACTCACCACAGCTCTCAGTCTCACTAGCTATTCATTCCTTCCCTCCATGATGTGGTTGACTAACACTTGAGGCACAAATATCATCGTCGTGATGAAGTTTCGTTGCTATTTGCCAACTGCAGACTAGAACCACCCGAATCACCATCTTACTTCACTTGATACATGACATATACGAAGGAGAAACGAGATGGAAATTCAGAAATGACATCCAGCCTACCTAGCCCATCCTCCAAACTCTACCTTCAGCATGATTCGACCGAGCTTTAATGACTGTCACATAGTATTCTTTTAGAGCAACTGGTCCACAAACGACGTCATCGCGGAGTTGTGAGTAGGTTCTAGTGTGAAGGTAGATAATAAGCATGGCCTGGTTGTGTGGCTGTGGCGGGGATGAGAGGGTGTTTCGTGCTGTTGGGCATGACTTTCGTCTCGCAGGTATTTTGGTTTGAGAACATGAATTGTGGCATGATCAAGGCTACCACTACCCACTTCGATGGGTATAACGGCAAATAGGGCAATCTACTTCACAGATCAGTCATCAGAAGGAAAAAGGATTTCCACAAGATCCATTAGCTTACAATAGCTTTGTTATACCTAAATATTTACGGCATCCGGCTACAACATCGCAAAATGGAAGCCAGACCGTCTAACATAATGTGAGGAATAACACCCAACTCCTTTCTCAAACCATAGAAAGACAAGTAATCTACAATATGTGGCACAAAAGAGCAACCAGGAGAACGAACCGAGTGAAACCCACCTGCACCCGTTTTGCCGCCATGGCGACCTTCCCAAGGAGACTTCTCTCCCAGAGCTCCTTTTTCGCAGCCCTTACGACATCCTTCATGTCTTCCACGTCCTCTTCCAACTCTTTCTTCTCTACAGCGTAACACCTCTGGCTCTGCATCTGCTGGAGCAACTCCTTGGCGGTCGATCGCCCAAGGGGATTCTCATCGAGCATGTTAGGCAGCAATTGCTGCAACCAACCATGGCCTGAGCCCTCGCAGCCTTTGGCTCGGAATGCCAATGGCCTGATCCCCTTCATCGGATTGACCGATCCAAGTGTGAGGTCGGGCTGGACGAGGTTCTCGGACTGCCAGCTGTTCTTTCGCGACGAGACAATCTCAGAGTCCCAGTGGGTGCCGTAGCGGTGACAATGCCAGAGAAGCATGCCAAGCTGCCAGATGTCTGACTCAAAGGTCGGCTTCACCATCCCTTTGATCTTTTTGCCCTTCTTGCGCGTCTCGGCGTTCCTGACAAGAAACTCGGGGGCCGTGTAGCCGTCATCCTTGGGCCAGTAGCTAATGACGTCCGGGACGAGACCGTGGCCAAAGAGCTTGTAGCGATCGCGACGGGGGTACGAGGGGAAGGAGATGACGTTCCGGGGTCGAACATCACCGTGGACGATGCCGCGTGAATGGAGGTAGGCGAGCGCGAGGAGGAGGTCCCAGGCGATATCGAGGATCGCCGAGTCCTCGAAGCGGTCTCGTGCCGGGCGGATGGCGCCGTCTCTGGGGTGTTGCTCGGTGACGATGGCGTTGAGGGGCGGGATATAGTCGAGGTATCTCACGACGGTTCGCTAATGAGTTTCTTGTCAGTGGAAATTTCCTAATACTAAAGCGGTCTTTCCCTCGCCGGGTGTGCCAAATCAAGCGGGGGACAGACGAAAGGGGGTTCAACTTACACAACAAGCCTCTCTCGACAGCCACATCTCCTTTGCTGCAAACTTCTTCAGCTTTCTCTTTTGGGTGAAATCAAGGCATGTAATCTTGACAATGGTGGCATCCTTAGTACACGACGCGTCAACATCATGCGCTGGGACGTATCTGTAACCGTCATACAACTCCAGCAGGCACTTCTCGCCCCCAACGTATACCTCGACGGCGTGTAAGATGCCCTTTCGGCTGATTTCGATATGTGAGCTTGTGATCGACATCAGGATTGTATCAGGTACTAACAATTGGTTGAAGCTGTCTGGTGGTGGCTATTATCCTGAGCTGGCTGTTGCTTGAACGCAGACATCCAGCTATTAATACGAGTTCCTCGTCTCTTGGCGTTCAATCATCTCCATGTTCTATTGGTGTTCACAAACGCCCACAATGTTCTTGTCTATTCTGAAGACTGCGTGTGTTGCTGCTGCGGCTTGTGCTGTTCGGAATCCCGAGTTCTTTGAACCTGATGAACCCTACCTGTTGAGATTAGAAGAGATCAAAGACGAGTCTATCGTTGGTATTCAGCAGGTCAGGGTACAAAAGGCAACAAGTACTTGTAAAGCCGGTACCAAAGAACCTCTGTAGAAGACAACTCGTTGACTATGCTTAGACACTGCTTCTCCCTAATTTGTTACATTTAAGACCTGTGTCCGTAGAACAGTGCTTGATTCGACCAATGCAACGTAGAGTTTCGAAACAACAGGTAGAACTAGAATCGAATACCGTATCATCGTCCAGAGTAATAGATGTCGATAAAACTAGAGCCTTCCCATTAAGACTACACTATGCTTTCTTCTAGTAACAGTGGGATACTCTAAGAAGTCGAACAATATTCGCATGAGGTTAGACGACAGAGGCGAGAATATTTCCGAGGCGTTTTAGCCCATACGGGACTATTGGGAACTCAACTTCTAAACTTGAGTCTTGAGCTCCCAAGAGACCGGGGGTTAAAAACCTTTCATAACAGCCAGTCTGCAATTTACTCAATCGGACTCTATACGGTTCCCTAACTAGTCAAAATCACGCATGCGCTGTATGGATTGTAGTCTCCATACTCAAAATGGAATAACACAAATGGACCCATTAGAACCGGAGCCTCGCAGCTTCTTAAAAGATGCCCTTGCCAATAAGATTACGCCATGTCTCTTGCTCTCACTTGCCCATTGACGTGGACGAGATCAAGGGGTCCAAGAAGAAACTGCACACAGCAGGAGGATACCGGCAGCGAGGAAAGGTCATCGAAAGCCACGGCGATGCCCGGTCTGGGGTTTCATAGCAGACATAGCCCTACTAAATATCACTGTATAGCCATATCCTCCCTTCATGCTACGGGGAATGAGAAACTATGTGATGAAGAGAAAGGTAGTTGGCACCTTCATCTGAAATGTTCACATCTTTTCGCAAAGAGAACGGACTTGTCTGGACCACGTAGACCAGTCAACATGTAAGCCATCATTGGTGAACGTCTTCGAGCCGTGCCTGTGTTCGAAAGATTACAGATGGTTATCCGTTGAGGCGTAGCCGACGTCCAACGCTTCCATTTAACAACAACACTGCTTTTGTCTATGTGGACCTGGATCCCATCGACCTACATCGTTCACATCTCCCATTCTACTATCTCCAAGACTTCAATTTCGCCGGTTCTCCATCTTGTGAGATGAACAATCAGGGCAAAGGACTGAGGAATGGCACCGCCAGCAATGAGCCTCATGCACTGCACACAAGTCGTCCCACGCGGCCACTCGCTTGAACTGTGATCAACAATGTCAATTCTTTGAAAGGGATTTCTTTGAAGGGGGATATCGCGACAGCCCTCGAAGTATGTTTCCCCCAGCGCTAAGAAGCCGAAGACGGCCCAGGTGTGTCGAGCGTGAGAGTGCGCTGCCTGAGTCTCTCATCCTCAACTGCAGGGCCTTTTTGACACAAGGTTAAGATACATATCAAAACAGGTCGGGGGCGTCCATTCCTGGCATGTCTACCAGGCACTCTCCCGTCGACTTGCCCGTATGCATCTGTGGACGTCCATGAGACGAGGAAGCTGGCCGGTAAAGGACTGGGAAGTACCGCCCGCTCCCGTTTTTAGTGCCGTCACCCTTCTGTCGGCTACATCCATCTGGCACAGAACTCCACTCTTTCCAGTGAGCAGCTCATCGCTTTGAAGATAGACCAACTCGTTAGACACTGAAGAGTGAAAGATGTGACTTCGAAATGCAGAAAATATCTTTGGAAGACCGCACGACTGGAGCGTCTGTCTGCTTACTGAGATGGCCGGCAACCCTGAGGAGGCTTGCCATGGTATTTTCTGCTCATGAGAGCTCAGGGGAATTCGTTTCTGATTGATTCGATATGATGGACCTAGCACCTTATTCCCAAGCGAATCTTGGAATAGCTGAAACCACCTCCATCGCTGTATGAGCCTGAGGTTTTTAATCCTCATTACTCATGACACACACCAACCCAGCTGAACACCAACCATTGGAGGGTCCTTCACTTTGTTCATGGCATGATCTGGAAGGGGCAAAAAGCAAGGGTACAGCAGCCAAAGTCTCTTTCAACTCTGGTCGTTACTGAGCGCCAGTGGCCATCACTTGAAAAGCCGATACTGTTTGACACAGAAGGGGACGACCCTTCAATTAAAGAAAGACCCTGCACAGCCTAAACGATGTGGTCTCGTAGGCCATGCCGGCCAAGCGATGGGCCAGATCAGCAAGCATTGCGGCATGCCATTGTCCTCGGCAGTAGGAATGCGAATCGACGAAGCCACTTGGAAGACAAGTCCCCAGAGTAGTCTCAGATACACTTGTATCAACCAGAAACAGCAGCCACTGCGCCATATGTCGCAGCGCCTCAAGCTCGTCATGGGAGACACGAAGCCTCGTCCCGAGCTTCGCAATCGAGCTCCCGATGGAGACTGACGTCGTCCATCATGTAGCTGTAGATCAGCAGTCCACACACGTGCGGATACAAAGTATATAACCGTCGAGGAGGTGGAGTGGCGTCTAGTGCCTACGGCTTTGGCTTCCCACCCGAAGAGAAAACAGCGCCAACCGCCCAGAGAGATCGAGTTCGATGACCCAAATCGTCATGTTCGTAAACTACCGTCCAGGAAATTCTCCCCCGCGGTTTCCGGACGGCCGACCGGGTGTAAGTTGGTGGAGACGCTCCAGCGTTGGCGGTGGGTGGGTTGGGGGGGTTTGAACCCGTATGGAGAGTCGAGCCTGGAAAATCACCAAAAGGTGTGAATATAGTTGGGATGGGCGCGGGGCAAGCTCCGAAGCAACTGCGCCATGCCATGCCATCCAGCGCCCGAATCACGGACGGGTGTCCACAGCAGCAAACGAGCAAACCAGCAAGCGAACATGTAGACAAGCGCCTCCCAGTATTCCTACCACTGAGTAGCCGGTAGCCTGCAATGGGGGATAGGGGGCGGCCGTGACTGCCAATGAAGGGTGGTCCCGTAGTGGGGAGGTTGTCATCACCCAGCGTGATCTGCCTGAGTCGTTACGACAGCATCTTTGCCTATCGTGATTCGGTTTATTGACTGAAGCGGGATCAAGGCCAACCAAGAATAGGGGGCAAATTCGTGAAAATGGGCAATTTTCTCTATCCCATCCCATCCACCCCTCGGAGCAGTGATTGACGAACCAGGACAGTCAGTCAACATGTAGACAATGTCAAATCTATGCTGTGCCGTAGGAATGGATGGGATGCAGGTTCCGCAGGGAAGTGAGAAGAAAATAAGTGTGCCTGTAAATCCTTTCGTCATCAGCCACCACCGGCCCCAATGGTAGCTTATGTCTCTTCCTTGCGGATATCAAAGGGAGGCCAACCCAGCGGGGGTGAGAGTTAAAAAAAAAAAAAGAAAAAGGAGATGGATTTTCGAGATTTGCAGGCAAGGTTCAAAAGGGGGCCAAAGTCACCCCAAACCATGGCAGCTGCAGCGCTGCAGCGCTGTAACCAGTAACTGCTGTAGTGTATGACCGAGAGACGGCTCCACAGTGAGATGATTGATGGATGATGACAATCCTCGTTTGATGCCGAGAAGGTGGAAGGAATCCACGGTCAACCACACCACACCCCAACAGCTCTTTGTCCGGAACCAATGTGGCCGCAAGAGCCCTTGACGATCATCCCCCTGGCAGCGGACGTTCAAGGCAACCCACAATCGGAAAGTACGGCGTGCGCGTACGGTGTTAGCAGCTGCCCAGGGTGGTTGACGATGCGAGTCATCCAAACAAGATACTTCGCAACGTCGCCAGTGGAGGATGCGCACTGCGGCAGGGCGGCAGTATAGGGCTTTGTTCCGCAGTGGGGGGGCATTGGGCCATCTTTCGTCGTCAGACTTTCGCCATGCCATGACGGACCGAGACTTCCAGCTGCCTCACCCATCTGAGACCTATGGTTCTTCTGACACAGGGTTGTCCGGCAGCTCGTCGACGGATCAAACAGCAAACGTGACTGGACAGTGAGACGGATCCGGGGCCATGGTCGAAATCCTAGGCAGCGAGCATGCCGCTTGGAACCAAGATCATGTGTAGCAATAGCGGCGAACCCGATGACAATGTCAACGTCGGATGTGTGGCACAAACCTGCTCGACCTAGGGCGAGGGTTGGCAAATCGGTTAAGGGAGCTGAGCCCCGAAAGTGCTGATCTGGTTTGCTCCGAGGGGGTGTAGTAGCGACAAACACAGCCGGTGACACAGCGGCAGTGCCAGAAAGACCGGGCGGTGCTTCGGTGCTTCAGACTGACCGGAATCAACCTCCAGCGCCGCCACTTAAAGGTCAGACGGGAACCCGGTCACTCTAAGTGAGGCTGTCCTGGGTTATCAACCCCACCACGACGTGCGTATTCATGCTTGTTCATGATGTTGGCGATGCCTTGGGTGCATTTGAGATAGAGTGGCCAGTGGATGGGTTTGCAACACGACTGAAATGCCATTTGGACGTAGGACAGCCAGCTCGATGGCCATCTGTGAGTCATATCTTAGGGGGCATGAACAGCGCAGCCTGTGCTTTGACTACTGCACCTGGTTCTGGCCTGCTGAGGTTCACCATGCTACGCTGCGGTCTCGACAACACGGTGAACCATTCCGTATTGCATTCCAGAACCGAGGAAATGCCCGCACGGCAGCTGCTGATTCACGTTGCGGGCTGGTGGCTTTCGATTGTGGTGAAGTTGGTTGGCCCAAATGCCCAACACTGAGATCAAACGGAAGACATGAGT